TATATATAAATATATAAAATATATGCTTATATTTTCAAAAACGTCAATATTCAAGAAAGTACGGTGTAATTTAACAAAAGTCATTATTTAATAAAGCGAAATTTTTGTTTATTTATAATTCACAAGTCACGGTAGTCACATAGTGACTAATCATATTACTAGCTGCGATGGTATAATAATTACCATCATGATTGTACAATTTACAATCAACATGATTTTAGTGGTTAACATATATTATGATTAAGTTTACCATCTTCAAGTTACCAGCCAAATGGTAATAATTATTATCCAGATGGTAAATGTAACTATCTGGATGTTTCAGTTAAAAATTTGGATAGTTCTTCCAATCAGTCATACTAAGAAGCCGTTTTTACAATACTCGGATAGTTGTATTTACTATTAAATTCTCTCCGTGTAGAATTTAACGAGCTTTAAAACTATCAACTGAAATTTTACATTTTATGTTCACTCATATTATTTTATAATATTAATAGTATTGCCACAAAATAGTTATTCGGGCTTGACGTCATGCTGATATTATTTATGCAAGGTACAATACAGTTAAATTTTATCGCTTACACTAGCTGCTGTAAATTGAAATTTTTATTATGTTATTTGACTATTAAGAATTAATTTTACTTTATTTTTATGGCCAGTGAATATGAATTTTTTTTTTTGGGATCATTAAAAAATGTATTAGAGAAAAAATTATTTTAAATAATTTATCTAGCTAGGGTAAATGCACCAGTTATTGACCGGTCACCAATTAGTTGACCGATGTATAAAAAAGTTAATCAATTAATATTTTACAAGGGTTTTTTTTCTTAAAGTATTAAAATAAAAAAATATGGCATTTAATCATCATAATAAAAAATTACGCAATTAATTGCGCAGTGATTATAGCTTTAAAAAAATATTTCAAGATTCAAATAACAAAATTAATATAATTTTGTTAATTTTTATTATAAGTAGTTATTAATTATTATTAATTAAGTATTTAACTTTAATAAAATCCATTACAAATTGTTTTTAGTAGGTTAATAGATTTTTTATAGCTTAGTACAGAAAAAGAAAACCTTAATCGGTCAATAATTGGTGCATTTACCCTAAATAAGATTTTTTCACTAAATTATTGACGAAAGTACTTATACTATGCTCAAAATATTTATATTACACTGAAGAAAAAGATTATTTCGTTATAAAAAAAAATATTTCTTGTTGCTTTGTTCTGTGAATTCAATAAGCTAAATCGTGTACGTATGTATTAGAACTCGTAAACGTAGAGCAAAAAATCTCCATTCAAGAATTTTACTTTTCAACGAACTACTTCATAGTTTTCAAACACGATACATATGCTGTTTTCTCAAGAATTTCATTCTTTTAGATAAAGACAGGTAATAACATTTTTTATGACTTTCAATATCATCAAAGGAAAACTTAAATACTATTTGTAATTTGTTGATCTAAGCTAATAAAATTTTGAACGAAAAAACTAATTAAAATAAACATATATTTTAGCTAGAGAGAATTGTTGATGAGTAAAAAAATTTGATTATGTAAATTTTGAAGATAATATACTTTTGAATTAACTGACCATAATTTTAAATTAGAGATCAAAAGATCCCAATCCAAGAATTAAAAAACCAAAAAAAAAATATATTTGTCGCAAGGTGATCGATTTTATTTCAACAATTATCTAAGTCGAAAATTATTTCTCTTTATTCCATTCAGTTTTTCTATCAATTTACTCTAAAACTTCAGTTGTGCGAAAACTTCATTAAAAAAAAAATAAAAAAATATTTTCACCGATTTTATTGACAACCACCCAATAATTTCCTAAAGAATAATTACTTTTTTATAATGAACTAGAATTTAATTTTCGCGCGCAAGCGCGCGTCTTGACTATAGAGTTTGTATATATTTTCATGCTTATGATATATTCGACCAATCACGTTACGAATAGTTTGATGCCACATACATCCCGGGTCAATTTTATTATAGGATAACAATAATCTATTATATTCATTACCAAGAATAATTAAGTGTAAATTTAAATGACAAGTACAAGGGAAAGTCCCAGTTCTTAGGAAAAGAACAGATGTCTGTCGAGACTATTATTACTATATAATTACCGTGTAAAGTATTAACTCGGTCGTTTAATTTTGATTTTGAACTGTCATTGGCGCCAGGCTCTACCGAGCCTATAGATACTTTTTTCCAAGAAACCTTTTTTATTATGATTTTGTCAATAAATATAATTATAATATTATTAGAATTCAATTTGTAAAATAAATTATCTTAACCTTAACCATGAAAGTAAGAGTTAAGATTTTAACTCTCATGATTTTATTGGCAGTTTTTGAATTTATTAAAATTTTTTTGTTATATGTATATAAACTTTATGTTTTAGTCAAAAGAAAATGACACTTTTACTTCTAAGAAACAGATAAAATATATTGATAGGTACAATAACTATTTTGCAAATAACGAGAAATATTCAAACGTTTAAGGATTAAAAAATTAAAATTTTGACCGAAATTGAAAATTTTTAAATCAAATTTAACTAAAAAAATTTCAAAGTATGTTTTTATAATTTTCATACAAGTAAAAACATTTTTTTACTTTTCTTAAAATAAAAACAATAAAAAATCCTCTACACTCAGAATTTATTTTTTAAGTTTAAATTATTTTTATTTATTTAAGTTTAAAAAAATATGTATTTATGGTTTAATTATTAACAATAAAAACACCGGATATGATTTTTAATTTTAGTTTTATTCTTAACCTAAATATACAATCATATAAATTATTAAAATTAAGTTTAATTTAATTTGAAATAATTATTTAATTTTTACCATAATTCTGACATTACCATTAATATAATTACAATTTTTTTATATGAACTAATTATTTTTTTCTTAAATATAAATGATATTTAGCTTAAAATCAGTTTAAATTTTTCGACTCGGGATTTCATCTCAATTTTATATTAGGATTATTATATTGCTTAAAAACAGCAAAGTACTGAAATGACAAAAAAAGCTAAAATTATTTGGAGCTATTAAAATGCGAAATAAAAATAAATCAAGTGGTATAAAAAAATATTTGACTAACTTTTTTCATTACTCAAGACAACTCAGCATAGATGTGATTGTCCTCGAATGTCACAAACAATGAAAAAAAGTGAAATAAAAGACTACTTGAGAGTTTTTATTTTCTCTTTTACTTGAATACTTCCATTTATTATTTATCTTTGTTCTATTGTTTATTTATTTTTATATTTTTCATTACTGTCATGCACACTAACAAATATTTATAGCTACTTAATAACTTAAATTAAATAACGAGAGTGATTGTATCCATAAACTAGTTACGGTTTGAAACTAATTTAACTTTCGCCCGTGATTTTGTGTTTCAGATCTGGACACAATGCTGTATGGCTACACCAATGGTATATACGTCCTAGATCATACGCCTGAATCCATGCCGGTGAGGGGATAATCGAATTTTATTTAGACCGCAAATTTCATTAAATAACTTTTGCCCAACATTGTATACTGTCCAGCAATTTCGGTTTATCGTTATCTAAATTGAAACGCTTTGAAAAATCTAGCTACGCCAAAACCAAACAACTAAATAAAGCCGTTCAATTTGGAATTAACGCACAATTTCATTCACTGGACAATATTGATTTTATATACTTCCATAACCGAGAGAAAAAGTTGATTTTACTTTTTCTCTTTTTTATAAGTTCATTCAATCGATTTTGAATAAAAGTTTTATATAAAAATAAAGTTATCTCACTTAACTTTGATATATATCTACGATAGCGATAATTCCAAATGAATACAAAGATTTTATTATCATAGTTTTCCAGGATCAACTTTTATGAAATATGAGAATTATTCCTATAATTTTATATCAATATTCATTATCTTAGATGCCTTCCAAGTACACATAAAAGTTTTAAAAAATACATATAAATTTTCAAGTTATTTCAGTAATCTATTTAGTTTAGAGATTAACGAAAATTTCGTCTCCGGCCTATATATATCTATATGATAAAATGAGTTCTTATACAGTTGAATTAGGTATCGTCGCTAAGATCTTGATCTGAAATTATATCTTTTCATGGTTTTATATATTTTTTTATTATAGATAATTTATTGTGTTAAATTTTCGGTAAAGTTTTAATTCGATTAAATTTTTGCGCTTCTTTGTTTATTTTTTATTTTGTATGCATGAATGTGGTTAAGTGTCATATTTTAATCATTAAAAATTGATTAACGGAAAAAAAATCTATACTAATATTATAAAGAGGAAAAATTTGATTGTTTGACATAGGCTATCTTATATTATGAATAATTTTGAAATTTTTGTTAAATACCCGTGCGAAGCCGGGGCAAACTGGTAATATACTAATAAATATGATAAAAAACAAAGAGAAAAAAATTGTTTTTCGTTGAAGAAATGATCAATTCTTTTGTATTATAATTTAAGCTTAAATAATTTTTAATTTTTAGCTAAATCGAGACTTCAGGTTGCTAGTTTATATAATGAAATTGCAACTTTAAGAAATTATTATTATTATTACATCAAAGGTAATAATTACTCAAGCATTTCAAAGGCAAATAGCCTCTCTTTGATAATTTAAACCAGTGCGCAACTTGTTAGTCAATCAACATTTTGATATACGTGAAAATCTAATTTATATGGAAGTGTTTTTGCTCGACTATTCTAAGATGTTTATTTGTAAATTTTTAATGTTTGTAAATTTGTATTCAAATAAATTACTCATCAAGAGCAAAAAATGCGATGACTGAGCAGTAAAATGAAAGTAAAAATTAGTTCTTACACTCATCAAAAAAACTTATTTTCAACGAGAAAGTTACGTTGAGAAAAATTTTTATTTCTTCAGCTAACAAAATTGTAAAATTATCAAAAAATTAATTTATTATTACAACGTTGCTCATTTTTTTCGAAAGAAATTTTTTCTCTTAGTACAAGAGGTGAATAAGGTTACAAGAACCTTAAATATGTTTATTCGATCGAATAATAATTAATTCTAATAATTAATCTTAACAAACTATTCAAGTTTTTAATTAACACACTTTTGAGAAAAAAAATCTTCAGTCGAAAAATTCTATAGTTTTTCTATATTTTTTATTATTACACTGCATACTCTCTCTATTACTCCCTAATTAATATGGCGGTGACATCTACTGTACATTTTGTATTATTCTACGTGCAGTGCAGCTATATTACTCTATAGTACTATATATTACTCTATAGCGGTGCATGGCTATAAATTTAATCAATATTCGAAATAGTGCTAAAAGCAATCCATATCAAATAATCAGTAATAGTATATTACACACCGAGGGAAGTAAAGTAAGAAATGTCTCAGATCACATGTAATTGTTGGCCGAGGCGAAGCCGAGCTCAACAAACATGTGATCTGAGGCTTTCTTATTTACTTCCCGAGGAGTGTATGCTATTTTTTTGCTCGACGAAGGCAGAAAGTGGCAATTTCGTTTAGCGCAGCGGGCCGAAATTTGACGCTTTCTGCCCGTCGAGCAAAAAATATCGTTTTGAAAATTTATATAGAAGCGATCATATCTATATGAATAAATTATTTTTTCCATTTAACTGAAATATATTGCTAATATATAACACGAGCGATATGTTTAAATTTACAGCTGTTTGATGTTGAAATAACTTCTCATTTAATATTCAACAATAAAATTATTTTATAAATTCTTTTGTTAATTTTTTCCACAGTGATGGACCAAGAATAATTATAATTATAGTCTGCGAATTTTCTCACTTGCAATGTCCACTAAAAGAGTAAATTAAAAAAAATCGTGAGGAAAAAATTTTAAGCATGAGAGGACGAAAAAAAAAAATAAGTGAAAGAAGTAAAAAATGTAGATATTCACTATGAGAGTTTTTTATTCCCACGTGCAATTAGCAATAGAGCTCGGCTCGAGTAGCGTTAAATTTCCTGGGTATTGGATGTCCATACAATTCTATAGAACTTGAATGGAAATGGTATTGGGTAGTTGATGAATGGGGTTGATATTCCTCAAGAGAACAATTATGAAAAACTAATATTTCAAAAAATTTTTTTTGTATTTTTGTAATATTTTGTTATTTTCAGTACCTGGAATATTAAAATTGATATTGATATTAGAATATTCTAGGTGAAATGGACACATGAAAAAGAATTTTTTTTTCATTCCCTTTTTTTCAATTTTTGAAATAATACTTTGTAAAAAAGCAGAATTATAAATGAACTCAATTTAACACCGCTCGGTGTTTAATTGGATTAACGCCGGTGTAGAACTAATACTTCTGGGGTATTAAAATACCGTCGTTAAATGTCTGAGTGTATTTTTTTACGGTACCTACTTTAAATGGTGTCACGACAAAAGACCCGCACAAAAAATATTCGCGATCATGTAAAAAAGAAAAAAATTTTTTCTTGTAGGTAATTTGATGTAATTTTTGAAACCACCTTTTAATTTTTTATGCGATAATAATTAATTGATGAGACATTCATCTTCGGGTATTTTGTTACGTTACCCTTTAAATTTGTCCATAGTAAAACCCGTGTTTTTTTTTTCTTTTATCAACGTTTCCATTTAGCCCGAATACTACCTGCTATAGAGTAATTGTTAAATTGGATGTAACAAAAAATAAATAAATATATAATAACGAAGCGTGATATAATACTGAAGTTTAATGTCGGAAGTGATTTTAAATTACAACAAAGTATACATATATTCAATGGGTACTTGAGTTTCACTAGAATATCGAGAAACGACACGTCTACGGCCCCGGAAGGACCGGAACTCAAATGTCGTGTGGTTATCGCGTACCCTTACACTTGGCTTACTCGACACGATCACCTCTGTCTATATATATATATATATATATATATATATATACCCTAGTCATTTTGTTCACTTTCTTACGCCATTCACCCTCACTCATCTGACCCAACTGTTTTGCCCTGACCTCAAGTCTACACCATCAAATATCTCCAACTAACGTTATTTTGCAGATCGTCTTTAAAAATAAAAAAAAAAAAAAATAATAACACTAACAATAAAATTTTCAATAAAATAAATTTGAAATGCTAGAATAACTTTACACTGAAAATGTGAAAAACAAAATATTTTTCTTTGTGTGACATTTTACGAGTTTTTTTTATCCGTTGTTAGTTTTATTTTTATTATTTTTATTATTTTTCTTTCTCCCCAAAATTGGTTCCTCAGTAGAGAAAATTTTTTCCTAATGCTTGTGAGAATGTATTGATTCAATTTTATAAATAAATACGATTGAGTAGAAGCTTATAAATAAAATCGAATGGTCAGAAAATAACCACAGATGTAACAATATTGTAAATTTAAACAAACGTTACTTTGACATACTTTAAGAGAAAAAATAAATAAATATCATCGCGTGAGATATTTTTATAGTGATAATTTAATCATAAAAAAAAAGCTCACATTCTATTTAATTTATATGGTAGAAATATTACTTGATATCAAATTAAAACGATCTTATCATTTCAGTTTAATTTATTTTTTAGCTTGGTTCATTTTAAAGTGCCCATTTTCTAAATAAAAACAATATGTTTTTTTTATAGCCCTTTCATTTCTGGCAGGATAGCACCACTAAAGCAGCTTGTAAACTGTAAATTTAGAAAACAGCCATTCGGCAGCCGAAATGGAAGTAGATTTCCGACTAAAATAAAATCACAACTAAACACTGACACTACAAATATTTTAATCACATTTTAAGAATCCTTTTTCCCGAAGTTACGAAAAACTTAATTATGGTTAAGACGAATGCAATAGTAAAAAAAAAGCCGAAATAGAAGTAGATTTCTCAAATAAAGAAAATTTATGTTTTATAAAATAATATTAGAAATAATATATAACTTAATTCATTGATAAAAAAAAAAAAAATTCAATAATAAATTTAAAACTACTTAGAATTAATTATGTTCAAAAAATTTTCTTGTAAAGTAAAAAGTCAAATTCCTATTATAAAAAATTTTGAAACTATCGATAAAATAAATTTATCGTTTAAAAACGATCTTCATAAAAAATCTCTCCTTATAACCAGAGTATTTTTTTCACTATTTATACAGAAATAATTCCTGGTTTCCATAATAAAATAGAAATTATTTTTACATTATTATAGAACTATTCTTATACTATTTTAGCAAAGTTCCGTGTAATTTTCTTTCCGTGTAAATTTAATATTTATAAAAAAGAATGTATAATAATAATTAAAATATTAATTCCAGGACATGGATATGCTCCAACTCTTTGCATCTCCAGCAGGCCGAGCTTTAGTCACTGAAGATAATCACAGCCGACGACGTGGGACGACATCAACGTCCTCATTATCCCGAGAATCATCACGATTAAAAAATTCACGTAGAACTAGTACGACAATAACCAGTCTCAGCACTCAACCATCTGGCACACCAAGTCCACCTCCTAGGCAACGAAAATCCAGTGCTGAGCTCTACAAAGAAGCTGTTGAAATTCTAGGCCTCACGTGTTCGCTCACCGACAGCTGCCGATGCATCGAGTGTCAAGTGATTTTTTTATTTATCGGATTTAATACTCCTTTACTTAAAAACCCTTTTCACTCACTTTTTATTCAATTTTATTTTATTTTATTATTTTTATTTAAACTTTTTGAATTGATTTCATTTGACAGATAATTTAAACTGAAAAAAAGTTCACTGCAACTCAAGGTAAACGACTCGAACACTCGGGTTATACAATACAAAACCAATTGAAATTTAAAGAGGCGATATTTAAATTGAACTGCTGACAACCCTTTCATCAATAATAATTTGACGATCAATTTGATCACTATTTTCAATCGGATTTTGTTACAAAGGGATTTTAATTTAACGCAAAGCTATATAAATTTAATCATTGAACCTTTCAAATTTTATGCTATTGAGTTTGCAGAAAAATCATCTCTAAATTTCTGTATAGTTATTAAAAGAAGAAATCTTGCGAGTTTCTAGACTTTTATGTTATTGTCCAATAAAAAAAATTTTGGCAACCTTTAAATTTAGTTGGATATAATAGTAGGGGAGCCCAAGCGGGGATTTCGGGATTTACTAAAGCGCGACAGATTAATATACAGGGGGATACCTTGTACCCGGTTAAGTACCTCCACAAAACATGAGGCCCATATATAAGGCCGCCCGTGAAGGATACAGGATCAGATTAGTAAAAAAAAATTGACCATCAGAAATTCTCGAGCGGGTCAGATTAAGGTAGGGTGAGTTAATTACATCCTAAAAAGTGTATATTCCACTAATCTGACAATTTGAGAGTGACGTAAAAAAAGCGGAGGGCAACAAAGTTGTAAAAAAAAAAAAACGTCATCTCGACATTCTCGAGCGTAGCTAAATTTTTTTTTATTTTGAAGGAAATAATTCAAGAATAATGAAAAATATATAATCTGACGATTTCCGCAAGCCGAAATAACAAAAATTCGTCGATAAAGTTAAATGCGTGCAGTTGCGTGATGCCTACATTTCCTTCTCCGCGTTTCTATTCCTCTCTCACTCTTTCTCTATCTATTACTCTCTCACTCTGTCCCCACTCTGGTTTCTGTTGCCATGACGCCATCACAGCTGATCATAAAGACTCGTGGCATACTGTTTACAACGTGGTTTTTTTGGAATAACTTTTAACCGGCTTTATCGATCAACTTCAAAAACTAATCCGCCTTTGAGCTTGAAAAACCACGTCGATCGCCACCAAGCTGGTCAAAAGCGGTTGATTCGTTCGAGAGATATCGTGAACGAAAGAAACCCGAAAAAGTGTTTTTTTCGGGATTACTCCGAAATTTGTGGTTCGATTAATTAAAATTGCAAAGTTACTTATGAAGATGATAAAACTGCGTCGAATGCCGCCAACCGCGTGAAAATCGGTTGATCCATTCAAAAGTTATTGTGGTTTGAAAATTCCAAAAATAGTGTTCTATGAAACTTCTATCAGACTTTCGAGCTGGGAGAGCTCAAATGCATAAAAATATTATTTCTTTGAACTCAGCGAGCTCAAAATATCACATAAATTATATTTTGAGCTCAAAAACGTCATAAGTACAATTTTAAGAGCCCAGGAATGGAATTAGCGGGAAGTTGCAGGGATGGCCTTTAAGGTGAACCGTTTTTCTAATTTTTTTTTGTCAGAACAGGCCAATCCCTCTAGATAATCGTCAGATTATGAGACAGTACGTTTAGAACATAAAGATGAACCATATATATCTTAATCTGACGCGCTTGAGTATTTCAAAATGGCGAATTTTTTTTGCACATTATGAAAATGGCCGCGAGTTTGCGTCACATCGAAATCATCAGATTAGTGAATGAGAGCTTTTTTTTGGTGCACTTAACACTCCCTTAGAAAATCTGACGCGCTCGATTAAATTTTTTTTTTTTTTCATTTTCAACTCTTAAATACAACCACCCGCATCATGCAAACGATCAGATTAACATACGTACATTATTAAAAATACGCAGGGTATTGATGCTATCAATATCTGACGCGCTCGAGGATGTCCATGCAACAGTTTTTTTTTACATATTTAAAAATCTATAGCCGCTTCCCCCACCGATGTAAAGGTATATATCATATAACATTTTTTTCTTCATATCATCTAAGCTTTGCATCCCAATAGGTCTCTACGACGCTCGAGTAAATCCCCATTTAGCCTCGTGGGCTCCCCTACTATAACTATCAATAGTTGCATTTACAACCATTTTTTTTTAATAAAATACTAGTACCGGTGTTATCCGCACAGACAAGTAGCAATATCGTAGATTGACACTTCATTAAAATTTTGAACAATTCAACTTTATGGGGAAAATCCATTTAATAATCATGCTTTGAAATCAAACTTTAATTTTGATATTAAATAAATTAAAAAATACCTTAATTTATTATTGTCATTATCATTTTCCGTCATTGATATAAAATTTTCAGTATGAATAAACATGATTTAATATTTTATATTTAAAAAGTATTCAAAACACACAGTAAAAAATTTTACGTCATTGCGACAAAAAATTTTGTGTTAAAAATTTTTATGTTAACAAAATTTTTTGACGCAATGACGCAAAATTTTTTACTGTGCATGTATTCAACAATGGATCTGCCATAATAAAGTAAATAAATATTTTCATTAAATATAGTCATTCTATTTATCTTTTTCTTTATCTATTAAGAGTTAATTTTTTAAAATTGTCACCTCTGGAACTAAGTTTTTAAAAACTTTTTGCAAACAATTAATTACATCTCAACCAACAGCTTTTATTTGACTACCAGACGTCTTGAAAAGAAAAACTCTTTCACGGATAATATTTTTTTTTGTTTAAATCTTACATTATTAATCATTTGCTAATAGTACTAGGGGTTAAAACATACCATAAATTATTCAAATTACTTTTTCATCACTCACTAATAACTTGAAATTTAAATATATATAATATATACTTAGCTTAATTAATTAAAGTATGAAATTAAAAACTCTTTAGGAGAAAATACATCAATGTCAAATGTTATTATTAGTAACTATCATCATTAGCGTCACTCAAACTATTTTTAGTCGGTACTTGACGCAAAATTCAAGCTGAAACTCAATTCCGGTATAGAATATATTACATCTATGTTATATATTATATATAATACTGAAGAACATGAACGTCAGACGTCTATTGATGATAGATCGACATCAATAACTGGGAAATTATATTAGTCATCCAACTATCGTTCTACGTTTCTAAAAGCCATCTGGTACATTCTATACATTAATAGTTTCTGCTATCTGCATCCTACATTTCAATGTCATTTTCCTACAGATAGTTATACTAAATATATGAGAGAAACCTGAAAGCACGATCTACAGATATTACTACAACTTTTCCGTATAATCAGTGTCCCTAAAGAAAATCGCATATCGCAATTACCCAATCACCGTAAATCCAATTTAACTTTATTATCTTTTTCTTTTTAACATACTTTGAATGAACTCGATTTTATTTCCCCTGCTGTTTATTGTTAACTCTAAATTTAACGAATCGATGTTAAACTTATCGATTAAAATTTTATTTTTATCTTTTATTTCATTTCATTGTCTTCATACTTTATTCACTAGTTAATACTTCTTAAAATGTTGCTTGTAATTTAAAATAAAAACCCAATTAAATAGTCTCATTTATTAATTAAATATCGTAATTTCGAAGAATTGTCTATTAACTAAGCGACAATCAAATTTCATCAATTATTATTTATATATTTGAGATTTAATCAACCCGATAATTACATTTAATAATTGTTAAAATAATATCTCTAGTGACTTTATTTTTTTTTTATTACTTAGAATCAACTATTAGTTTCATGCATATTTTAACCAGCAGTACTCCCATTTTCCTAAAAATTAATTTTTATTCAATAAATAACTCTTTTTTTATTTATTTATTATAAAATATGTGAATCCTGAAATTTAAACACTCACTAAATCAAGAACAGAACGACAAATCCACAATAAATTAAATCTCAATTGAACAAATATCTCAAAGTATTAAAAATTTTTTTTGGAATGTACATCTCTATCTTGTTCCTCTATTTCTCCGAAATTGAAAAAAAAAAACATTGAATGTTGTATAGCTATAAGATCAACTTTGTTGTAAATTTATTTCATTTTTAATAATTGTACATAGAAAGAAATATAGCAGATGACGGTCCTAACATTTTTTTTTTATTTTTCCTTTTTAGAATTTTCGAGATTACCCATAAAAAAATTTTGAAACATAGCTCTTCATTCTAATTTAAAAACGTCAGTAGAAATTTTATTATTACCATTTAAAGAACGTAAAACCTTTTTTTCAAATTGTTATTTTTACGATGAGAGAAGCTATATTCTGTTTTATCAATAACACACTTTTATAACATACTAAACTTTCAACAAAATAGCCTAAACAGTCAAGTTTGCATACCAGTAAATTTTTAGTTGTACAAAGAAATTTGAATTTAATTTTTATTAATATGAAATGATTTACATTCTAAAATCCACATTTATTAAAAATTTTATCTGAAAACCATCAGCCATCATATTTTTTACTGAAAATTAAGTTAGCCGACATCTAAAAATTTTTAAGATTTTTTTTTCATTAAAAAAATGATGACAAAAAAATAAAAAAAAAAATTTCATTTGAAAAAAACTTTAAAAACTGTAAGTGTAATTTTTTTTAAATATTTTTTTTGTTCTAATTTAATTATTAAAAAAAAATTAAAAACGTCGGCTAACTTTAGTATCATATTTTTTATCGTTTTAATATAAACAAAGAATATTATTTTATTCCCATTAATTTTTATCATAGACTTAGCTTAGAAATAAGCTCAATAGTCCCCGGTGTATTTAATAATAAATATCAAACAACAATTAAATAACATGTTGTAGCTCAACTAAGTGATTTATATCTTAATTTCCTTTTCTCTTTGTATTGCAGAGCAATTACTTTGACTGCGACGATGACTGCGGAGACGCAAGAACCGAATTGGCAGCCGGTACACCGATACTACTGGATCACGCTTTGTCCCATCCACTTACGTGCTCCATACAGTAGTAAAGACCAGTAACATGTGAGACGAAACCAGGAGTCTCGATCGATCTGTCAGCGGTCTACTGTACTTGGGAGCAAATGTGCTACTATATCTCGCGCCTCCTTCTTGCGAGAAATCACCCAAGAATAACTCTCTCTTTCTCTCGTTTTATTTTATAATATACATACATATATCTATGTACCTTTTTTGTTCGATTATCTGCCACACTTTTCTTATTTCTTCTTCTCACCTTCAACCCGTCCTCCTTTATTTTCTTATCCTCAATGACGTTTCGCATGTACGTGCGTCAACCAAGGATCCTTGCGATAAAATACAATAAACTCTACAATCTTAAGCTTACTCACTAAAATAATGAAATAAATGAAAGTAAAAAGAAAATAAACGTTGAAACGTCGTAAAAATTAATTAATTACAAAACATGGAAAATTTTATAAAAAAAATAAGTGTATGGCCTATATATATATGTGTATTTATATATGTTTTTTTTTCTTTAAGTTAGCTAAAGAAATAACAATAGAATTTATTTCCTTTTTTATTTTTAAGCACTCTGAAAACTTCAGCAGCAATAGAATTACGATTTTAATTGTATTTTAACATTTTTATTCATCTCGCATAATAATTTTGTAAATATATACATACTTGCACAGGTATATATATAGATATGCATATAGGAAGAAGCGAAGCGAATATGAGGACACAGTAATTGCATTAAAAATAGATATTCACTTTTTTTGTTCTTCTCATTTTCTTGGTAAAAAAAAAAAAAAAAAATTAAAAACTACTTTTGTATGACGATGAAGCGTGCCAAAATTACTTTAAAAAGTAACAGACGAATAAGAAATAATAACAACAATTAACGTGGTGTATAGTGAAAAATAAGTGAGGCGCAATAATGGAAAAAAAAAAAAAAAAAAAAAATCATTTATGAGGGAAAAAATTTACGAAGTGAATGAAATTAATGTCATAATATAATAATAATTACAATGAAAAAACCTGCATAAAAATTCAAGTTACGTGCCAAAACAAATACGCCAAATGAACCGTTTAACTCAATGTACGATTAGTAACGCACACGTAAACTCAAAATCACGTACCATCGCGTGAATAATGTCAACTCATCAATCCTACTAGTTTCTACTCTCATGCTCTCATTATATATATGTAAAAGCATTAATGCTAATATTGTACAGTCGTAATTAACGAACACTTGACCGATAAGTGTACACGCACATCATAAATACAAACTACATTCATAATAATTTATTAAAACTTTTACTAATGAAAGCTAATCATAGTAATAATGATAATAATAATAAAAAAATATATGATAAAAAAATTTATAACTAAATAAATGGGCGCGATAATTAAATTGTATTGATAAAATTATTTGAATAGTAATTATTATATTATATCGTAAGAGAGAATGTTTTTTATCGATACTGTCTGTTCTAATTCTACTCTAAGCCCGTATAAAGTAATGAAAATACAAATGAAATAACTATTATATAAATTTATTGTAATTTTAGGTAAATAATTATTTAATAATCGAATGATGATAGTTATCATTACTGTTATTATTATTATTATTATTATTATTATTATTATAACTTAAATCGTACGCAAATTTTAGTATACTAATGAAATAATAAATTAGGAACAAACAAAACGAACTTCGGCCTGAGGCGCAAGCACATAAGATAAATACTTTTATGAGAAAGATTTTATTGATAATAAATTATACTACCAATTATTCAATACTTGCGACGATATTATTTAAAAATTTACTCTCATTTTCATTTTTTTATCATAATGAACAATCATAAAATTAAATTGATCGATTGCATACTTAAAGCGCGAAAGCTATTTCTTTAATCAATTAAAATTTTAACCACGTTTCAGTTTATTTGACATCAAATTGGTCAAAGTTTATCAAATTATTATCAAAATATAATTTAAAAATTATAACAATTTTTTTATTAAAAAGATGTTTTTTTGTAAATCTCATCTCAGTCTTTCTTCATTTTGTTATAATTAATTTTTTTAAATTAATACACACAATATTTATTTTTAGCAGTCATTTTACCTTCTATTATGGTTTTCAAAATTTTCATAAAATGATAATAATACGAACTATGCTTGAAAATGGCATTTTTTACGTTAAAAAGCTGTATTTTTTTTCAATCATTCAAAATTATCAAAAACTCATATTCTACATATAAATAATTCACTTGTATACTTAATGAATACGAAACAATTTAAAAAAAAAACTCTATTAGTCAACTATAAATTTTTTGAATTATTTTATTCAATTAATTATTTCTATTGATTGATTTATAAGCGTTTTTTGTTATAATTAATTTTTTTAAATTAGTACACACAATATTTATTTTTAGCAGTCATTTTACCTTCTATTATGGTTTTCAAAATTTTCATAAAATGATAATAATACGAACTATGCTTGAAAATGGCATTTTTTACGTTAAAAAGCTGTATTTTTTTTCAATCATTCAAAATTATCAAAAACTCATATTCTACATATAAATAATTCACTTGTATACTTAATGAATACGAAACAATTTAAAAAAAAAACTCTATTAGTCAACTATAAATTTTTTGAATTATTTTATTCAATTAATTATTTCTATTGATTGATTTATAAGCGTTTGAAGCATGCAAATTTTTTCTAATCTTCAAACAATTTGTATGCATTTATTAAATATTCACAAAGGATTTACATCTACAATTTGTTTTGTAATAAATTATCTATTTATGAGTTCAAAACTTGAATTTATCAATATTCTTGTTAATATCCGGCTTGGTACTGAACTTCATGAATTACTGAAACTGTAGTATTACTCTTCTGCTCGATAAAAAATTCATTATTTTTGTAAATTATTGAATCGAAGCCAAATGCGCAATAGTAAAAATAAATCAGAAGTATTTCTTAATACGATGTATTGTCTCTAAATATAGAAGCGCTCTATAAAAAATTCATAAAGTATCCGAGGATTTAATGTAATTTTTATCAATTTAATTCGTAGTTAATATGAAAAAGATAGTTAAACAAAAAATAAATATTTGTGTTGTATATTTAATCCATAACATGTTATTTTAATAATTAAATAACCAACCCGTAATTTTTTTTTAATACTAATGAAAAAAAGTTATTCGATCACGTAGAAATTAAAGCTTATGATTCCCACTATTTTACTTTTTTTTTCGCATGCATTTTTAAAACCTCATTAATTTTTAATTTCAAAACTCCAATATTATATCTCAGAGTTTCCATTTAAACTTAAAGTTTTACTTTTATGGAGTTTTTTCTATTCTACTACGGGTATTAATCATCAAAAATCGATCCCTCGTGACCAGACAACCAGATTCATGTTAATATTGCGTTTTGTCATTCATGAAAAAAATCTCGTTAACTTTCTCAGAGTAAGAGTTTTAAATGTTTCATCATAAATAAGGATAATTTTTTTTTTTAGATTTATCTTATCATTTATAAATTATGTCGCAAAAAAATACTACGGAACTATTTCAACTTTACGCAAAATACAGGAGATTTAAAATAAATTTGCTTTATTATTCAAAATTGATAATTCTTTATCGCTGTTAAAAATTAAATTTTATAAAATAAAGAAAAGTAATCAACTAAATCTTTCTCTCTATAATAGAAAAGCAAAGGTTATAGTAAAAATATATATTGTTATCTAATATATGTAAATTTATTATTAATAATTATTATTATAGAAAAATAAATTTATTGTGATATTTAAATTATTTCAATTATCCTAATTAATTTGTATTGTAATTGTTGGTATTTTTTCAAATTCTTTTTTAAATATTCTATTCGAAATAGTCATCGAGTTGAATGAATTAATGTGATAGTTACAATTTATTTATTATTATTCAACAACATTTGAATTATTACTAAAAAATTCATTATTATTAATATTTAATATATACTATAAAAATAGTAGAAGACTTTAACAGTAAGGTATTAGAAAAAACTGGTATATTGCGAGAGATGAGCTTTGTAGAGGAGGTTTTATAGTTATGGTATGAGCTGTATTTTATTTTCTTTGTCATACGCTTTGATTGAATATTAAGTAAAGGGAGAATTTACGTAGTGCTGTGTTTTAAAATTTAGTTTTTTTTTATATTAAATTAATGTTAATTAGAGTTTAAAAAAAGACATGTTGCTTGCATCATTTCTATTCATTAGTTACTAAATGATATTTTTATTTTAATCATTTGTAATTTATGACAGTAACATTAATTTTTAAATGTGTAGAATTATAACTATAAACTTTTGAAAAAAAATTATGTTTAACTTTTTGTAATAATAATTTTATATTTATATATTTAGTAATTAATTGTTTTTTACATGGTAAATTTTGAGTCGACAAACAGAAAATTAATATTTTAAAGAGTAAAAATTATTATATGCTGGTAATATTTTCCCAATTGAGTCAAGCATTTATTTTTTTATTCACTCAGTTTTTTTTCGGAAAAAGCAACTATATTCTTCTGAAATAATAATAATAATAATTAATTGGAGTAAGTTAATTATGTTATTAAAAGAAGTAAAAAGTTCTACTAAAATGATAGCAACCATAAATGTCAAAGCTCGATCATTTATTACTAGATCGAAATCACTCATCCACGAAAGTAAATAAAATGCATAAATAAAAATGAATCAAAGCAAAATAAATAAATGCTATTAATTATTAGTTTAATAAAAATAATAAATGTAACTGAATGAATTAAATTAAATGATTAGAAATCATGTAAAAAAAACTGGACTTGAAAACTCTGCAAGTGAGAACCCTGCCTTTCCGTCACTCGATTATAAGTTTAATGATTAAAATTCAAAGTATAACGATAACGAACAAGGCAAAATATTATTGCAACTAAATAAGATGTAATTTAAATATAGTTATTAAATAAAAATATTATTACACATTGTAATTGCGATTCAATAAAATTTATGTCGTTTTAAATTAAAAGTTTTTATTTATCTTTAAAAGTAAGAATTTTATTGCAGTAGTTATAATCACTAAATAGAATAGAAATAATTGTTTATGAAATGTTAGTTGTTTATTTTAGATTAAAATGAGAATAAAAGAATATTTAACGAATAAGTATGATTTACGATATTCTATTTCTATTTTAGCGTAACCACGAGGTCAACATGTAAGTATCAATTAACTAGAATAGGTCATATGATATGGATCAATGAGTTGGTTGCGGTGGTCTAAGAGATGTCAGAGAAGTTTTCAGAAACTTACAAGTTAATTTTCGTAAGTACCTTAAGTAATCAAAGAGATATTATAATTCTTTTAAGACTTTAAATTATTTATTTATATAGCACCATAAAGAAATTTTTGTTTTTGATTGTTTTATGTAAATGTTATATTAATTTTATTTATTTATTTGTTAATTTGTTGTTTTATAATATTAAAAAAAAAAATAAGAAAATTCATCATATAAACTCAATGTCCATCTATTGGATAGATGTCAGAAAAGTGTCACCAATAGATGTACACTAAATTTTATTATTTTTTTTCGATTTTATCATTAAAATATTATATTTCTAGCTTTGTTAGTGAAATATAAGCGTAATCAAATGTATAAATCTTACTTTTTTTATTATTTTTAATAATAATAACAAATAACGTCCACCAGCTATCTGTCGCATGTTTAATAGGGGTGGCGCTTTCGGAGCAAAACCTCGAGACGTCCAATTTAAATAATTTTTTTAAACTATTATTTTAAATCAAAAGTTAAAAAAAAAATTACTTTTCGCTCTCAGAACCATATGTAGACATAAAAAAAAATAATGACTTAAGATTTTTATTCTTAAAACTAATGTAATTGCTTCTGGAAATAATATTTGTCCATCTATTGGGGTATTTACCCTAATTTATGAAAAATAAAAAAATAAATGTACCCAAGCGGCACAAATTTTTTTTCGTTAATGTTTTATTAAATTTAAGTTGACAATTATAAAATTCTGACTTCTTGTTAAATAAAATCTCCCAAAAAGTCAACATTTTTTTTTGTGACGCTTGGGTATTCAACAAACATCTTAAAGTTACAATTAACTTAACTTCCTTTATAATAACCTCTAGAGAGTAGCGCTATTTTATATTTCGAATATTCGCTCCCTAATATGGCACCCACGCATGCGCATTTCATCATGAAAAGATACTTCTTTATCTACAGTAGAGGTACAAAATAAAATCTCTCAATAAAGTTTCGTAGTAGAGACACATATGTCTCAACTTTTCCGCAAGTTACTAAAAAGAGCAAAAGAGACAATAGACAACCTGCAAAACCTTATTGAGAAACTTTTTTATAGCTCAAACACGAGGATGATTCGATCAAATAATGGAAGCCAGTACACAATGTAGATATATTTATAAATATATTTTATATATACTCTCAGTGTATAATCTCCTTAGTGTGAACTCTGCGAATAACAACGTGTAATCGTAAGTTGATACTCCAGATTTAATTGCACGATAAATGAAAAAAACGGTGAGTTTTATCCCCAACACAAACGTAAATTATAATTTTACTAAATAACATTGAAACTAACATAAATATGACAATGTTTTAACAGACAAATAAATTAACAATAACACATAGTAACAAAATTGCATATCAAAACATTTCAAAAAACTTAATTGACACATTTTTATTTACTAACATATTATTCGCTTCAAAAACTAAACAATGTTATTGTATTCAGTATTTTGATAATATTTAAAATTTAAAATTATGTTTATCATAACTAATTTGTTTTTTATTAGTAAAATTCTTTTGATTCTTTATTGTAAATAAACCAAATGACGTAGATAAATATGATGGTTACGCTCATAAAATTTAATGCTTGAAGTGAATTTAAAAATTACTTTACATTTGGATATTATTTTCATAACAGCTGGTGTATTTATAATATTGAAAATTAATTTTTTAAATTATGAATGTGAATGTAGGTATTTAATGTAAAACATTTTTTCAACTATAAATGGGCTCATTCAAGTTTACTAAGGTCTTAGCTGGACTGAGCTTATTTATTTATTTGAATTGATCATAGAGCTTAGGTTAAGGGGTTATATACAGTTAGAAGGTCGAAAAAAAGCAAATTTTCCAGAATTTTTTCTGAGAAAACTTTTAAATTTATTGATCTAAAAATTTGTACACATATTATGGTATCTTTTAACTGAATTTCAAGACTTAGTATTAGTAAAAATATTTATTTGGAAAGGAGCTACAGCTGATCTTCGGGAGCTCTTCTCAAAAAAGACGTTTTGCGGTGACTACTATACCTCTGAACTGAATCCTCTGAAATTAAAAAATCGAACAGATTTCGTTGAAGTAATGTTAAAACTCGTAATTAATCGAAGGAATAAGCAAAATAAATTTTTTTGACAAAATGGCGGTTTCTCAAAAAAAAAAAAAAAAATCGATTTTTGACCAAAATTTCGGCCTTAAATTGTTTATAAAAAAAAAAAAATATTTATCGGTGAGAAAAAATCTTCGATTAATTACTAAAAAATATATTTAAGAAGCTCGTGTTAAAATTTGAGACTAATCGGGTTAATTTTTTATTTACGTGTTACTTCGAAAATATTCACCGGAACGATATGAAATTTTCTGTGTATATTCTTAAATATATGTACATTAAGAAAATAAAATTTAAAAAAATTGATTTTTTAAAAATTCCAACTGTATATAACCCCTTAATATACGTTGCATTGTTTTCTTATAGATATTCTTTAGAGAGAATTTAATCACTTTTAGTTTTTGATACAAGATCTGCCAAGAGCTTAGTAAACTTAAACGAGCCCAATAACTTAATCTAATAAAAAATTTAATTAATGTAATTTAACATTACAGGGTAATGAAAGAGATGTAAAAATCAGTAAAAAGCTATCATATTTACTGCGACATGGAGCTCTCAGAGAAGGTCTCAATATAGCAAAGGATGGTTTTGTACTAGTCACTGATATTTTATTAAAACTTGATGGTATTGGATTACAAGATATCGAGAGAATTGTTAAAAACGACGATAAGCAGCGATATACGTTGATTAATGATAAAGTTTGGAAAATTAAAGCCAATCAAGGACATTCGATCACTACCGTCGATAATTTGAGTTTAAAACCGATTAAAATAAACCCTGATTTTGATATAATACATGGTACTTATTATAAATATTGGACGAACATAAAATATCAAGGATTATCGCGTGTTAACAGAAACTATATTCATTTTGCAAAAGGCTTAAATTTTGTTTGTGGACTAAGACAAAGTGCTGAAGTATTTATTTATATTGATTTTAAAAAAGCGACTGATGAAGGATTAGAGTTTTTCGAGTCAGAGAATGGTGTGATACTCTGCAGTGGCAATCACAAGGGTATTATTCAACCGAAATTCTTTTTGAAAGTCTTAGACAAAAATCAAAATCGTATCTATTAAATTAGCCTACTGCATTATTAGTTTTAATAATAGTTATAAGAAATTACTGCAAAGTATTAAAAATGGCTCGACGATGCGAAATTTGTTCATTAGATTTGATCGATGAGTACTCGTTTCACGGTCATTTGTTAGGTAAAAAACATTTGAGAAATGTTGAGTTAGAACAATTAAAAACTAAAAAAGAACAAAATTCCATATTTGTATCGCCTTTACCAAAGTGGGCTCAACCTAATGACATTATTGAATTTTTTACAAAATATGGACCAATACATTATTATAAATTCGGACCTAGGTACGTGATAATAGAATTTAAAAATAAGTGAGTATACTGTTAAAAATAATTATTTTTATGAAATCTAAATTATTATTTTATTTCATTATTTAAATCATTATTATTTTATTTCAGAAAAACAGCAGATGAAGTATTATCAAAAAAATTAGTGTATTTTAATAATTGGAAATTAACAATTATACCACGAAAAATTATTACTCCTCGTAAGTACTCAATGTTTTTTTTTTAATATCTTAATTTTTCGATTGAAGCAATGTGTTTTTTTTTTTTTTTTTTTAAAGAACAAAACAAAGCTGAAAAGTCAAGAAAACAAAGTACAAGTGATGATGATAAAGAAGATGAAGAGAGTTTTCACGATAAATTAAAATTAGAGTTGGAAGCAAAGCCGACATTTGAATCTCAGTTGACTAAATTTTTATCTTTAGTACAAAAAGACGATAATGTAGTAGAAGAATCTTGTGATAAAGTTTGTATCAGTCTCAATCGAGTTTTCCGAAGTTCATTCCCATACTGCAAAGCCTTGCGATTTGGTTCCACAGTCACCGGACTTCATTTCAAAGACAGTGATATGGATGTGTTTCTTGATATAGGTAATTCTTTACAAATAACTTTATTAAGGGGGTATTCTAGTCTAGAAGCATGAATTTTAGGTAATTTTTTGAAGTGCCGTAAAAGAAAGGCAATCAATATTTTTACTATACATTTTTTTATAAGTTATTTATTAACATTACAAGAATACAGGAAAAAATCAAAAAATCAAAAAAGTTGAAAATTCAAAAAATTAGCAGCTGATAAAGTAGGGGGATCTCAAAAAATTGGCACGTGACCATGCCCACGATTCCAACCCTTCTAGCAATCGGAAATAAAAAAATAAAAAAGATTAAATTAAATCTAAATTAAATCTAGAGTAATGTCGCTATGGCATGAACTAGGGAAAAGTTGAAAAAAAATTTTTTCACAAAAAGCGACTGCCTGAAAAAAAAAAAAATATTTTTTGTATTACTTTTTTTGAGTTTTTCGAATTTTTTAAAAGTAGTAAAAATTGAAATTTAGGGATTACCGTAGCTCATGCCATAGCGACATTACTCTAGATTAATAATCTTTTTTATTTCCGATTGCTAGGAGGGTTGGAATCGTAGACATAGCCACGTGCCAATTTTTTGAGACCACCTCCACTTCTTCAGCTGCTAATTTTTTGAATTTTCAACTTTTTTAATTTTTTTCTGTATTCTTGTAATGTTAATAAATATTTATAAAAAAATTGATGGTAAAAATATTGATTGACTTTTTTTTACGGCACTTCAAAAAATTACCTGAAATTCATGCTTCTAGACTAGAATACCCCCTTAATTATTAAGCAACTGTTAGTTTAAAAAAAATTATGTGTATATATGTTTCTACAGGAGAACCAATCAATGACACATTAGATACAAACGAATCCGGCACTCATAATTTAAAATGGACATCAAAGAGAGTATTTAGAGAGGCTAAAGCAATCCTGTTCAGAAATCCAGCAATTTTTAATCATGTAATACCAATTCCACTGGCTAGAATACCTGTTATTAAATTTGACCACATACCAACTAAGACAAACTGCGACTTATCATTTAAACATGGATTTGGAGTACATAATAGTCTACTTATAAAATACTTTCTAAGTTTAAATCCAAAATTACGACCATTAATGATCATCATTAAGTATTGGGCTAAAATTTTAGACATTACCGGAACTAATAAAATAACAAATTATTCACTAATAATGGTAATAATATTTTATCTACAACAACCAGACGTTAATTTGTTGCCAACATTAACAGATCTCCAATCATCGAGCTCTCCGGTATTTGCGAGTGGATGGCGAATTGATTTTGATAGATATCACAAACATGAAACAGTGAATGATTCTAGTATACCTGAACTATTACATGGATTCTTCAAATTTTATTCAGAATTCAATTTTTCTCTTAATTTAATAACACCACTCGATGGTATTATTCATCCGAGAATTGATTACAATGAAATTGCCAATAATTTAGGCATAAATATTGAGAGTTTGAATTTGAGCAAACCAGCCTGTATACAAGATCCAATGGAATTGGATCTTAATATTGCAAACTCGTGGAATGAACGTTTATTGCTAGATTTTCAAAAGCACTGTGCTGAAGCTGTAACACTTTGCGAAGATTCAGCGCTCAATGATAACAAGTCTTTGTTACCATCTATACTCAATCCGGAAGTAAAGCACAAGTCAAAGAAACCTAAGTCAATCCATATAGTTATTCCAGCAGGTAAATTTGAAGATTTTGGATTGCCAGATGATTTTGAACAGCGTGATGACAATGATAATAAACAAAAATATAAAGAGAATCATTGGTTCTCTGTTGTGTATAAATTAATCCAAAGAATTTTCGAAGATATATTTAAATTAAATATTCACGTTACTTATGATGAGACAAATATTAAGCAAATAAAACTTGATCAAGAGTCAGATGTCCATACCAATGAAAACAATAAAATTATGTTACTGTGCAATGGTAACTATTGTGTAAGTCGTACTAGAAAAGGTAGACTTTCGAGTAATCTTGATCCTACACTAAGTTGCATTGATAAGGAAATTCTTATTTCGGACAAAATACTAGAAAATTTAAAAGAGAAAAAAGAAGAAACGATTATTAAGTTCATTTGTATTTTGGAAAAAAAAACTAATCCATTGCACGTTTTTATGAAAATTACCGATGCACAGGACTCAAATAAAGCGTTTTCAGAAATTGGTAATTATATGAGAAGTAAAATTCCGACAATTATTGATAAAGAATTTTTACATATGATCCAATATAAAAAGACTATAGTTTAATTTATACGGAACATGAATAAGATAATTATTTTTTTTTTTTTCTATTTTACTTAAGCATAGTCAGTAAAAACTTTTTAAGTTAATGGAACAAGACTATGTTAATAGAACAAACATTTATTTTTACAAAACAATTATCAATCTTGATGTTATAACTTTGTTGAAAAAAATTTTATTTTTTATTAAAACAAAACAAAATATATATTTATAAGTATAAAATATTATACTGTACCGATTTAAATAAAGTTTGTTTTAAAAAGTTATAAAATTTATTATTTAAATATTTTATTATTCGAAAATATAATTTTGACTTTGACTAAAATAGAACTAAATTAAAATTGTTTTTAAGTATTTAGCGTAAGTTTTTGTTTTAAAGGCGCACAGATTAAATATGAAAATTTACTGGGCGTATCTTTTAAGGTTGACAGTTAATTGGCACATACTTCAATTTATTAATGACTACTGTCATTAATTATGTTCCAGACTTGTCATATTTCATTAAAAATTCGTGTGAAAAAATGTTAGTATTACAAATTTAAGTTAATATTAAATTATTTTATAACTTTTCATAATTCAAGCATGGTCAAAAAGTATGTACTATTATCATGTAATTAAGTTATTATAGGTTAATGCATAATGATTTATTAATTAATCAATTTTTTTTATTCAGAAAAGTATCCAACGAAATCAATAACACTATTGAATATGCAGAAAAAGCGATCCAGCACGATGATGAACCCAATAAAATTCAAGAAAAAGAAAGTAAGCCACCAGCTATTCCAAAAACAAAATTCACGACTAAAAAATCACACGAGTCTTTTTCTACTTCATTATCAAGGCTGAAAAGTTTTCCTGCAGAAGAAATCAGAAGGATTCAGCTATCACCAAAACCTGAAACTAATTTAAATTATCAACAAAATGATGGTCAAGGTGATGGTTTCCTTCAATCTCTGTACTCTGGATCATTAAAGTTGCCTGATAAAAATTTTGCACTGAATCAGCAACATTTACCTTCTACTGAGTATCAACAAATACCGCCTAAAGATTCAAACTTTTATCAAAAATCAGATAGACAGATTCACAGACCATTTGTGCCTATGTCTCGAGGTTTAAATATTCAAGAACCTCATTTCGTTTTTGATGATCACATTGATAATTTTCCAGCCTCAAATTACAGCATTGAGAATAAAGAAATGCTTGTAAATACTAACGAAAGTAATCTTCAAGCATCAAAAGCTTCTGTGGATGATCTCAACCAGGTTAAATATAAAAAAGAACCAGAAATTCGTGATTTTATTCCTCAAAAAATTGCGAATACAAGTATACAGATACGTCCTGAACCTCGCTCGCATTATAAAAATCCACAAGTATTGCATCAACAAAATACTCTTCAGGAAGTCCCTCCACAAATTTTTGCACATCATCATCTTGAACCAGAGTATTTAAATGTTATGAATTACGAGCCGACATCTACTTATGAAATGACTTCACCTCAAGATTTGATGATCAATCGATTAAGAATTAATCAAAGTAATAAGGCTGAAAATCAACAATATTCACATAAAAATTATCCTAATACACCTCGACAGTATCCACATTTAGAAAATACATTGGAGAGTAAAAATACCACAAAAAATTCGACTACTCAACAGTATCATGAATATCCACCGCAAAAATTACCTGGATCTCATAATAAAGAAATAAAAAAAAAAGTAATCCAATTCACTCCCGCAATGAAACATGATCAAGAGTTATTGATATCAAAGTTAAAGCAGCAGGGAATAAGTGAAGAAATAATAAAACGTCAGTTTGATGCTTTATTGACTGAGCAAAAAAGGCAATTGAGCTACCTTCAACAATTAGCGCAGCCGGAAAATCCCGACAAGTCAAGTAAAATTGTTACAAAGAGAAAAATAAGTAGGAACAGTGAAGATGGAAAACCAGAGTGGATGGCCCATATCACCCCACCTAGAATTACTTACGCTAGTGTTGATAAAATTAAAAGCAGTCAAAATACCATAAAACAACAACAGAAAAAAAATGTTGGATTTAATAGTAATAATAAAGTGAATGTAAATAAAAACTCGGAGCAAACGATTCAATATTGGCAGGCAAATGATAGGCAAAATGGAATATATGTCAATTGTCGAAATTATCAGCCTTGGCACAAGGCTAGAGGTATTTCTACAGAGGACCGTCAATGTAATTGTCATCAGCGCAACGTTCTTCAACATCAGCAATATCCTATTCATCAACAAAATTTTCCTATAAATTCTGGACATTTTCCAGCACAATATCATCCACATAAACAACATCCAGAGATCAATCCTCTAGGCAATGGTTATTTTATAATGTACGATCCCAGTCATCAGTATCCAAATAACGGAGAGATTTTTCAATCTAATCATCATCCTTTCCCGCATGAATATCGTAATTATCAACAAAACAGTGCTGGTTATCAGCAAAACTGGATGGGCAATCCGCATTTGAAGCAATATAATCAACCTCACAATTTTGAAGTGTCCAAAAATTTACAGGAAGGTAATTTTAATGAAAAACAAAGAAAGCAAGTTGAAGAAACACCTAATACTGTAAATTTTAGTCATTGCAAGAGTGCCGCTGGAAAAAATGCAAGAAACAATGGTCTGCAGGATATATAAGCAGTAAAAGAAGTCATAAACTTTATTATTTGGAAAATTTCATAAAGGGTTTGAGTGGCGTGAAATTTAAATAAAATAAAGATAAATTTGAATACAACAGCGAATAGGATTGTATTGAGATGATAACAAAGTATTTATTCAAATACTAACTGATGCTTGAAAGTGGGAGTAATTTTAAATTTATATTGATATTTTTGTGATGATAGATCTAATAAAATATTATATAGATTTTAGTACTAGTTGTAAATTTTACTGCAGTCAATCATGGTAATTTTATAATGTTGAAATAAAAATGTTTATTTAGATGTTGAATGAATAAAAATTAAATCCGAGTTTTTAAATAAAAACTTATTACTATTTTGCATTTTAAACAAAAGAAACTCAATTCAAGTATGGAAGTCAAAAATTAAAAATAAATTATCTGTTTGCTATAAATTTTTAGTATTAAGTTCCAATATAAAGATTAAAAAAATTAACATATGGCTCATCACAATAAAAGAAATTTTATGGAAGACATGCGACTTATTATACATGAAATAGAAAACATGTAAGTGTACTTATTGATACTTTATTACTTGACGAAAAAAATCAAGATAACCAAAAAGTTATATGTGCAGAAAAATGGAACCAGAAGAGTGTAATGTATCGTGTCCGCCATTTGGGTGTCCTGAAGAACCTTGTCCAGGACAATTTAGGAATACTGAAGTATGCGGTTTCATTAACATACGTTAAATGCTAAATACATCTCAATTTTACAGGTGTCACAAAATTCATCAACATACTGTTCGGATAAAAATAAAAATTTGTCTTTGATCTCTACGTGTCAAGTACCATCGACAAAACCAAGATGTGTACAGCCTGAATCTCGAGTTTTACCCAACTATCAATCTTCAGTTGAAATTTGTTATCCGCCAGTTCATACGCCGAATAACTCTTTTATCCAAAATCGTCAACAATATTGTTCCAAATCTACTCCTTTGAACTATTTACATCAGCACCATATATTTCAGCCGTCTCATTTGAATTCCATCAGTCAGTCGCATAAAAATCAAAATTCTATGCCACCTATTCTTGAGCAAAAATCATGCCCACAATCTTGCATAGTATCTATTCCATTCCGGTAAGAAAATTATTTAATATGAATGAATTTTTTCATTCTATTTTAATTTAGAAGCATAAAAAAGTAGTTAATTGATATATTTTTTTAGGTAATTAAAAATGTTAAGAATGAATTTTTAAAGAAAACATTTTTAAAAATCTAAAAAAATAAAATTACCAATACATTTATTACATAGGGTAAATGCACCAATTATTGACCGATTAAGGTTTTCTTTTTCTGTACTAAGCTATAAAAAATCTATTAACCTACTAAAAACAATTTGTAATGGATTTTATTAAAATTAAATACTTAATTAATAATAATTAATAACTATTTATAATAAAAATTAACAAAATTATATTAATTTTGTTATTTGAATCTTGAAATACTAAAATCACCAATTATTATTGACCGAAGAAACCCAATAAATAACCGACCGTTCTCCAATTAATTATAAGTAATCTTGTAAACTACATGTATGTAATTAAAGTTATGCAGTACTTTTGAAGCATTAACGACATCTTTAACAAAACTAAACACACAATATAATTTTAAATCGTACTTTTTAATAAAATAATATAAATAGCAATAATTTACATAATAAGTCACATTTCTTTAGGTCAAAAATAATCACAAATTCATTTTGATGACGATAATTCGTCTGATTCACTTGAAATTTTTTTATTCTTCTCCATTTTTTTTTTTCAATTAAAGCTTTTTTACACTAGCTTGTAACTCTTTTTTATTTTTTTAATTGCTCAGCAATTTTTTCTTCTAATAATTCGTTCGTTGATATAACCGTTCACTAAAAAAATTACAACAAAATAAAATTTAATAATCAAAAAAGATTTTAAGTATTATTTTAATTATAAATATACATTTTATAATGATTATTTTTATATTTACAAAATATTGAATGACTAAAGTACTTTAAACACTAGACAGATTTAATTTTGAGGTTTAGAAGTTAGTTTAACATAAAGTCACATTTCTTTAGGTCAAAAATAATCACAAATTCATTTTGATGACGATAATTCTTCTGATTCACTTGAAATTTTTTTATTCTTCTCCTTCTTTTTTTTAATTAAAGCTTTTTTACTAGCTTGTAACTCTTTTTTATTTTTTTAATTGCTTAGCAATTTTTTCTTCTAATGATTCGTTCTTTGATAAAACCGTTCACTAAAAAAATTAGAACAAAATAAAATTTAATAATCAAAAAAGATTTTAAGTATTATTTTAATTATAAATATACATTTTATAATGATTATTTTTATATTTACAAAATATTGAATGACTAAAGTACTTTAAACACTTGACAGATTTAATTTTGGAGTTAAGAAGTTAGTATTATAATTATACGGTCATTAATTGGATTGTGATAAAATCAGAGGGTCTAATAAATGACCGAATGAATTTTTTACTGGGTAAAGGGTTTCTGACGGATCCAATAGTTGACCGGTCTTAAAATAATATTAAAACTTATAATTTAACTTTATTTTTTCAAAAAAGTTGGAATCTGATCTTTAATTAACATAATAAAACTAAAATATTTTATATTATGCCGATAAATATCACTAAATTAATGATGAAATGCACTCACTCTCCAATTGTACGCTAGTTATTTTTGACCGCTTTATGGCTGGTTGCGTTGTAAACAAACTCTGAATATTTTTTTAAAGCTATATTTTTTTATTTTAATCCTTTAAGAAAAAAAAAACCCTTGTAAAATATTAATTAATTAACTTTTTTATACATCGGTCAACTAATTGGTGACCGGTCAACAACTGGTACATTTACCCTATAATATTTTTTATAATGAAATAATAATAGTTTCAAAATGACTAACTTTTGTCATCATTTGCTCTATGTAGCAGTAGATATTTAAACTTAAAAATTAAAGTATTACTATACTTATAATTAATTAATTTATACGTTTACATTTTCAGATAATTTTTATGATTTTACAATTTAATCAGTACAACAGAATGATATTACAAAGTTAACTGGTCCTGTAATTTTATAATTTTAAATATCTGCAATTTAAAGTTAAAACCATATTTGTATTTTAAAAACTATCACACAATATATCCTGGCAACAAAAAAGATTTTTCCCTTATTTTTAATTCTTATTAAGATATTTATTTTTTCAATCCCGGATAAAATTTTATCCAATGATGAAATATATCTATATATTTCATATACATAAATATACTGGCAATAATAATAATACTTTTATCTTGGATCGAAAAACTGGACCTTAGATATTTTTAATTAAAAATTTATTTCATCATCTAAGAACATAAGTAATACTACAAAAAAAAAAAGACTCACTATATAATAGTTGTTGTCTATAATATTTAAACTAAATAGTCAACTTCATATTAGTCTCATTTCATATCATTATAAATGTCAACATTTACTTATTTATAATTAAAAATATTTACTAATAATAATTATGAATATTGAAGAATCAAGGAACAAATTAAATGAAAAATCCGAGTTAATGCTGAATATCATCAATAGATTATTTGAACGTATCGTCCGTAAAAGAAAAAGAAAAAACGAAGAAAATAAAACGAAAAATAATTTGGTCAGTATATTAAGATTTAATTATCTTTAATATTTTAGACATTTTAGGAATACTATTTTTATTTATTTAATATGATCAACTATAGATCACACTTTACACTTCGGAGTACAAAAATTTTTTGTTAAATCATGAAGAAAAAAAAAGTAATTCATCTTGTTGTTCAACAAAATTGACATTTTCTGACACAAAGTGTTCACGCACTTTCAAAATTGTTCCAACTGAAATAATTTTCCGTCAATATATTCCAGGAAATATTTATAATACACCATTGACCATAACGAATATAGATAAAGTAAAAACAAATCTTCCATTTAAACCAAATTTATAAAATAATAACTCTCATACTTAAGTACGTGATTAAATTTTATAGAGCTCGCATGTATTTCGTTTGACGTATGACAAAAATTCACCGTTTGATGTAAATGCTAAAAAAATGTTGATCAACCAGAAGCTAGCCCCAGGAATGTCTCTAAATTACAATATAAAATTCATACCTGAAGAAAAAAAAGATTATTATCATCAACTTGATGTTGTGACTGATTGTCAGACTTTTTCAGTTCCTCTTATTGGTATAAATATTTATTTATTTTAATTAATAACGGTATAACTTACATATTTATTAACTATAGTGATTCAGCAATAGGACCACGAGCTCTTCTTGACTTTCCTGATCAAATATGGATGCCCGAGACGGCTGTAAAAATTCCGTCGTCAAAAATATTTTTAATTCAAAATATTGGAAACAGAAATACAGCGTTTACATCGTTTTCTGAAAGGTTTGAGATAAATTAATAATATCGACGTTCTAATTAGTAAATTATCTAACTCCATTTTAGAGAATTTTCTCTTTGTACGAAAAAAACAATTAGTTCAAAATTTATTATCACTTTAAAAAACCATTTAATATCATTACTATCTATTAGAGATATAATATTTAGGTTTGAATTATTCAAATAATTTATAATTCGTTTATGGCTACATCAAAATGTTAAAAAAATCACCCTCTAAAAAATATGAAGTTAGACAAATTGCTAATTAGACCGTCGATATGAAATTTTAATTAACTTTAATTTTATCATTTTAGCGAGTATTTTTCAATTGAACCAGAAAGTGGAATGATTATGGAAAAAGAAGCTGTTCAATTCAGTGTCAATTTTATAGCTTCAAATTCTGGAAACTTTTATGGAATTATTTATCTTCAATATGATACAGGTGTGTGAAATTCTTATAATTATTAATTATTTATTTTTCGAGATTATTACTCATGTAATATTGTTCTTGATTATTGCCAGGAGAGCTAATAAGAATTGATGCGAAAGCGAATGCAGTTAATTGTAATATATACTTAAACAATGATCAATTAAGAATCGAAGATACATTTATTGGTTTATTAACCAATGGAAGGTTGAAAATTCATAATGACAGTGATTACTTGGTCGAATTCCAATGGGTGAAGTATAAAAACCCTGAAACAAACATTTGTCACAAAGAAAAGTATAATGGTCGATTTAAGAATTTTGCTTCCAAAATTTAAATTCTTTTTTATTTCTTTAGACTGACTGAAATATTTGGTGCAACAAAAAATACTAAAAGTACTGAATACGCTGGGTTGGAACATGATATTTGTCGTCCAGAAGTTTATAAATCAATCTATGAAAGAATTTATACAGATGAAATGACTTCATTGTTAAAAGAAAATTTTACTTATTCGAATAATCATTTCTCAATAACACCAATCGTATTAAATTATTTTTTTTTTATTTAATTTTATAATCTAATAAAATCTATGCTTTTTTTTTTATTTAGAAAGGAAAAATATTACCCAGAAGTTTTACAAACGTTATTGTTGACTTTCAACCAACTTCAGTTGGAAATTTAATGAGTACTGCTTACTTAGAAGTTACAGGTCGAGTGGAAAGAATACCAGTGAAGTGAATAATTTTTTTAATTAAAATGACAAAGAATAATAATTGAGATCTAAGATTTTTCTAAAATTCATTATTTAGCTCTTCAGATCTGAATTATTCTTTTTTTTTTTTTAAATTAAACTTTATAGAAATTTTCCTTTCAATTAATTTTAAGGCTTAGTGGAGTTTCCAAAGGCCCTGTTATAAAATTTAAAAATCCGATAATCAACATTGGTGATGTTTATATATTTACTGCACAAAATGTTCAAGTCAGTATTTTAATATAGAATAAAAATATGAAAATAATTATAGCAATAATCCAAACTATTTATTATTACTATTATTATTATTATTATTATTATTAACAGGCTATTTGTAAAAATGAAGGACTAGTAACCGGAACGTTATCTTATAAAACAAAACTTGATGATGACAATTGTACAATAAACGTTACTCCAGAACAACAAAAAATTAGAACAGAAGAATTTTCTTCTTTTAATATAACTTTTTCATCATCAAAATACGGTCAATTTACTGAAATGGTAGATTTTAAAATTGAAGAAAGTGACGAAATTATAACTCTTTGCATTAGGTATGAAATAAATCTCTTTATAATGTAAAATTTTGTATAATTAAATTTTATTTTAGAGGAAACAGCATTCTACCAGCCTTAAATTTTGATAAAACTCATCTTAACTGTGGTACAACAGCTTTAGGTAATTTATTTCAATTAAAAATGAATCTAAAATTCGCTTAAAATTTGACAATTTATTTTTCAACAGGATTCACTTCAAAACATGAAGTTACACTTTTAAACGACTCTCCGGTATCCATAAAATTAAATTTAACTATTCCAGATGGTAACGAGCCTCCAGTAACTTATGAATCTTTTACTTATTCCGCACCAAATTTAGTATCAAACCCCAAAGAATTTTTTATTAAGCCTCAACAATTTATCCTCAACGCTAAAAGTTCTCGTAACATTATTGTATTATTCTATTTTTATTTTTACATAATTTATTTTTGAAAAAATAATAACATTTATTAATTAAAATTGTAATTTTAGATCAATTTTACGCCAAATGTTGCACGAGTGTCAAATACATGTCTCAAAGTAAAATTTGATGGATTCGACAGTACTCCAGTAACTCTTCCAATAGTTTTCAAAAGCGAAGCTGCTTCTCTTGAAATAGAACCATCTAGCCATGTGGTTGAACTTTGCTACATTAATTTTCCATTTACGCTTCACTTTACGATCAAGAATAAATCAGACATAGAAGGATTCGCTTACAATAAAAAACAATCATCGAAGAATTCGGCCATATTTTATTCAATGTCACGACAATTGTGGCATTTAAAATCAAATGAATTCAAGTGTTCATCAGTGACATTAATAGCAACTAAATATGGAAGACAAAGTATTGAGATACCAATTATTACATTTGGTAGTTTGTATCCTCAAATTTTAACTATTGCATACAATTGTCAAGGAGCTACTGTTTTATCAATTCCTTCAGAACTTGATTGGGGAGAAGTGCAACTTCTTGAAAAAAAATCAATGTCATTTAAATTGGTTAATTATTCTCCGGTACCAGCTTACTTTAAAGCAATTATAAGCAATAGCAAATCACCTTGGTCACTATCACCAACTTCTGGTGAAATAAATCCTCTTAAATCCGAAAATATAACTGCAACAATATTTATGAGAGAAAGTAAACAATTATGTAATAGTATATTCGTTTCAGTATTGAACAGTTTGACCGTCACAATTGTGTTAAAAGCTTTTGGCATCGGCTTACCAATTATTATTGATCCAAATATTTTCCCCACATTTGATATGGGTTGTTTTTTTAATAAACAAAAAAAATATTTATCATTAATGGTCACCAATGAAGGCAATCAGTTACAAAAAATTTTTTTTTCTTCAATAGAAATTAAAATGATGGAAAGTGATAAACTAATTACGCATAGTAAAAAATTTTTAGTAGAGCCATTTTTAATAGATTTATTACCACGAAATAAACAAAAAATAAAGTGTGTGGTATATTCTGAAAAGATTGGAAATATTTCAGAAGAATGGTGGATTTATAGCTTATTACCAGGTCAAAAAATGTATGAGTTAATTGGAAAAAGTTTGTTTTCGGCAAAGTTTATCAAACCATTGATTAATTTTAATAAAAATAAACTTTCATTTTTTATAAACATTGGGTCTAATTCAGAAGAATCATCAGAGAAGCTTATCGATGAAATTGAAGTTACAAATACATCTGAGTTGAATTTACAAGCGCATGTTTCTATCAGAGCACCGTTCAGTTTGCTTACAGATAAAAATTTATATACTCAAAGCATTGTAGTAAATTTTTGTCATAATTTAGCAAGCAGTATACAGATTTGTTTTATACCTCTGATAAATGATTCGCAGTATTCATCAAAAATATACCGAGACATGTTAAAATTTGAGTATGAATATCCAAAAGTCGACGAAATTGAATGTGAAGCTGCGATAATATATCCTAATATAATTATTGACCCTGATAGTCTACAATTTGACTTAATTTTAGGGAGTATAGTTGAGAAAGAGATTACATTGACAAATGAAGGACCGGTCACTGCTTATTACCAATTTTACTGGGCCAATGAAAATATTGAATATTTAAAAATAAAATCAGTTTCTCTTACTTCTGTCAATAGTCAAACCAAATTAACGACGGATGAAATGGATTTACAAAATGGATTTCAAATATTTAAAAGGAAACTTTCTGAAGAAAGAGTTGACAATTTTATTAAATTGTTGCCAATTGACGGGTTCGTTCCGCCGTTTTCTAAAAAGTTAATTACTTGTACATTTTACACTCAAGATCCTTTACTTATAAAAGCGAAATTACAATGTCAAGTTTTAAAAGGACCTTTAATAAGTATTGAAGTTGAGGCAAAAGCAGATACCGTGAGATACCATTTAAGTACAAAAAATATTAATTTCGGTAATAAATTAATTTTTCAATATCATTACGAAAAATTCACTCTTAAAAATGTTTGCAATATTCAAATTGATTATAAATTATATATTCTTCCTCAAGAGAGTCAGAATCCTACGAGAATTTTTTCAATAAATCCAAAAAAAGGGTTCATTAAATCAGGAGAAACAGCTGTGATTACACTTCAATATAAACCAATTATTCCAGGATACGTTGAAGAATTTTTTTATCTCGACATTGAAAATTTATCGCCGATTAAAATTAGCATGCAATGCCATGGAATATTTCCTCAAGTGTATTTACCGTTACCAAGGGCTAATAATGATAATTTAATTTGTGATGAATATTGCGCTCTTCAATATTTTGAAGATTTGAATAATAACAAAGAATTAAACAATAAAAAAAACAGCTCACAAATAATTTCAGAAGCTGATCTATCAAGACTTACTTCAAATGGATGGTATGTAGTTAATTGCTATGAATTACCCCAAATTGTGGACATTAAAATGTTTATTGAAAGACATTTTGCAACGGAATTCATCAAAAAAAATAATACACCTTTATACGATTATATTGTTACCTATGTCCTAAATTTAGGATATGTTGTAATTGATCAATTGACTAGTCATTCTTTGACGATATTAAATTATTCTTCTTGCAAATTATTCATCGAAATGAAGCAACCGAAAAGTCAAAAGTATTTATCAAAATATGGCATTACAATTAAATTTGAAAACAGAATTCTAGAGCCTGCGGAACTTTGTGTTCTTGAAATTTCAATTAATCCATCAAGCAAAATTCTTCTTGATAAAACCGGTGAAATTAGAAGAGAAATTTTTATTGAAGTCGCTCATGGTTGTACGGTTTCTATCTTAATAATAGGAGTTATCACGTTTCCGTCCTTAAAAACAAACACAAACTATATTGACTTTGAAAGTATTTTTATTGGAGAATGTAAAGAGACACCATTGTTAATTGAAAATGATGGTTTGATTGATTGTCGTTGGAGGATAAAATTGTCTGATGAAAATAAAATGTCAAACTCGTTTTACTTAATTGAAACAGAGGGAATCACTTCTCCTAAACAACATATAGTAATTAATATCCATTTTAAACCACATAAATCTGGTTACCACGAGACTGACTTAATTATTTTTATAGAACAATCCTGTGAGTCTATAAAAATAAAATTAATTGGCAGAGGAGTAGAACGTAAATTAAATATCAGTGAACCTTCGATTGATTTCTTCGCAAATCTTCATGGCTCATCAAAAGAGCATATTTTTTATATTGAAAATCCAAATGTTTGTCCAATTGAATTTTATTGGGAGCATTTAGATAAAATAAGTAATGAAGAAAACAAAATTATTCGCGCATTGCTTACTTATTATCAGGCTAATGAAATTTTTCTACCAATAACGAAAATTGCAGCACAGCTTCCTCAGAAACTTTACGAATTTTATTATGATTTGGTTGATAATGCAACAAGTAGAAATATTAAAAAGAATATTAATAATCTAAGTGAAGAATTTGATAATGCAAACAATTCGTGTATGACTTCAGAATTTAAAGATGTAAAAGAGTCAATTTCTTGTGATGAAACTGAGAGCTTGATTTATTCTTATATTAATAATCTTCATAACCAAGATGACTTCTGGAAAACTCGTAAAGACCCAATTAAAGAAATAAATGATGATTATTATTATTATTATAAATTACTGACTAATAAAATTTGTATTGTATTTCACGGAGCACCCTTTACTTCTTATCAAGAAACTGCGTGTCGAGCTGCTAGAAAAATTAACTTACCATTATTAAATTTGAACACTGAAATTACTGAATTTATTGCATTGAAAAAATCGCCGAGTGCGATCAAAATTAAGGAAATAATCTATCAAAAGTACGAAGTGTTACTGGCTACCGTAAAAGATCAATTAGAAAATTTTGAGTTCACCACAAAAATTAATGATTCAACTCACAAAGAAAAAATATACAATCAAGAAGTCAAAATTAACAAATTGAAAAATGAATATTTATTCAACTTTTCTAAACCGAAAATAAATGATCTCATTGATAGTTTACAAACCATTCCTAGTATTGAGGAATTACATTCTATGGATCCATTCAGTTGTTTAGAGTATAAAATCGAAGGAATAAATTTGATAGAAAGCATTATTAATTGTAAAAAAAAATTACTCGATAAATCAAGTATTAAAATTAAAAAAAGAAGATCTAAATCTAAGCATGAAGAAACTTTTCTTGATATTGACATAAATCTATTCAAAGAAATTTTAAAAGAAATATTAGAAAGCGATAATTTTAGAAAAGGTTTTGTTCTTCAAACTTTAGCTAATAATTTTATAAAAAACCAAGTAGAAGTATTTTCATTAATTATTAATCACAGTTCGATAAATGTTTTATTTTTTGTAACTTTTGATAATTCATTGGAATTATATGAACGGAAATTAATGGAAAACTTGACTGATGAAATAGGAGAAAAAAATAAAACTCTAGACACTAGTAATAAAACTTTTCCATTAGCTTCAAATCACGATTTTGAAGATCAAAGTGTCATTATTGAAAAAAATGTAGATCCAATTATCAAAAATGTTGAACAAAACTATTCAGAAAAATTGTTTGCAGTAAATAAAAACCACAGAAAATCAGATTCGGAATCAAATATTTACAATAAACAAGAATCAAAAAGAAAATTAAAAAGTCCAAAAAGCCAATCCCTATGTGAACCTATTTTATTTAAATTGAGTGATAAGGAAGACGGAATCAAAAAGAAAAAGAAATCAAAATCTGTGGCTAAAGCTTTTAATAATTATAACTCGAATTTAAAATCAATGTTAAGAATAATAGACAATTGGACATCTGCATCAGATATGAATGATGGTCATCGATGGCATGCAAAATTTAGCGATCCCTGGGACCTTCGAGTTTATGATTTGATAATCAATCAACTACTCGAGATGAGTGATTTTATTAATAAATTATCTATTGAACAAATGCGAGGTCCAAATCTTAATTCTAAGTTCTACAGAATCCTAACGAAGACACAACAAAGAAAATTATCTAACAGTGATGACCAAGTATTCAAATTATATTCTTTACCAAATTTTAGTTCAAGTGATATGTCTGGTACACAAGTTGAGGACGTTGAACCACGTTCTGCTATGCAACCTGGTGAAGTCAAATACTTTAAAATTGTTTTCAATCCTGAAAATATCGGTACTTTTCGGCGAGAATTTTTTTTAGGTATTATTGGGAATGATAAAATTTATAGCATTAGTGTTAACGGTATTGTAGATAATCCGATTCTGTAGATTAATTCTCAATATTTTTGAAATAAAAATGTAACTTTATTTCTTGTGTGATATTTAATAGTTTCATTTTTATAAACTATAAATATTTTTTATAAACCCACAAAAATATAAATTATTTAAGTCACAATAAAATACTACAGCAAAAATATTAGAGAAAACATTATTAACAATAATCTTATAAATTATTAAATTGTATTGATTATTAGTTTTAAAATTACAATATAATTAAAATAAAATACAATCACAAAAAAAGTATCTTCCAATAATTGTGTTAATAATAATTGCAAAACAATTAAAATTGTTCAAAAGCTCAAATTTTTTTCGCATTGAATATAAATTAAAAATAGACAACTCGAAACAGTTAACTATACTTTGAATCCATTACAACTTACAACAATTCTTAAAACATCCAAACCTATTAACATTATCGCACAAAATTCCAGCACACAAATTAACAATTGTACATTTACAGTATTTATGTACATTTCTTAGTAGCTTATAAATAAATAGTAACAGTAATTAAAACAATATTCATGAAAATATTTCATCACTTGCATATGACGTGAACACAGTATTGATTTTTGCAAATGATTATTGTAAATGAAGGTAAATTAGCTTTGTAATATTGAGACAATTAAAACTAATGTAATTTTATTTGGTATTGAAATATAAATTAAGTAAGTTTAATAAATTATAAACGAATTGTTCTTGCTTTCTTAAAAAAATTATGTAAGAAGTTAAATGGGTAGATTTTTTAATATTAACAGATTACTAACAGTGAACATGTAAAAATATTTTATAGAAATAAAGAACTTTTAAGTTTTTAAAATTTTGTATATAATAAATTGCTCACATTGTCTGTGAAAATGTTTATCCAGTCTATATATTGTATAAAAATATTTTTTTAAAATAAAAAAAAGTAATTTTTTTGGACTGCATTATATTGCTATAAAATGCAGCCTAATAAGTTGAACTGACTTAATTATGTATGTAATAATCATCTCTGAAAACTGTGCAGGATCAATATAAAAATTACAACCGAGAAAATAAAATATTTGTTATTAAATATGCATACAAATGTATGTATTAAAAAGTCTTGTTAATATTGTTAATCTTACCATTACAATCTCAAAAAATTATCTATGTTTCGAATTATCTTTCCATGATCCAACAGTACTCCAAAATAAACCATTGTGGAGTAAATCAGATTTAATGTAAGGCAGTAACCAGCACACATACCACCGTTTACCTAAAACATCTTTGATATTGTCTTTCCATCCAATATTATACTTTGAAATATTTTTATCTTTCTCATATGCAACAGTACCATTACATACTAATCTTATATGATAAATAAATAATGCACCAGTAAATAACATACCAACAACAGAGATAATATAAATCATTAAATAAAATTGTTCCCACGAATCATCAAATCCAAATATAAATATTGCTAAAGGGAATATTATTTTTATAATAGACAGAGGGAATTCAAATACTAATTTACTCCAAATAAAATAATTGTTGTAATAAAATGAGTAGGTAGCACCAATAAATATGTAGAAAACTAGCATCAAAAAATAACGATGATTCAAATAGCCGATGCAGCAGCCAGTGAATACACAGTGGTGATCACGTTTTAAAATGCACGTGTTGCAAATTTGACAGTGCCAAGATCTTGGTGGTGACACTGCTTCACATGATGAACAAAATCTCCAACCATCCTTTACTTTAGCTTTGCTTATTGACATTATTACCGGTCTTGTACTGGTATCACACATTACTGCATACGTGTAATTGCCTACAATGTTTATCATTATAAAATTACCAAATATAAAATGACAAATATACAATGGTGAACCAGCTTCAAATAAATCCGGCAATACAATCCATAATTCAAACCAATAAATTAGTGGTATTATTATTAAAATAAATAACATTGATAACCCATCACCAATTGTTTTTGGTAATACTTTTTTACGTATATTCATTGTTTATTATTGTTATTTTTTTATTTTTCACTTTACCAATTTTCAATCACTAATACTAACTCGATTGATTTTCTAGACATTTAAATTAATTATTTTAATTATGTGCTTGATGTTATGATTTGTTTATTAAACAAACATATCATTGAATAAGTTTGACAAGATAGAGTAAAAAAAAAAATAAAACGAAAATTGACTTATCAACTTATAGTAATACTTGAAACTAGTTCTGTATATTTTAACTTAACACTTGGTGTTCAGGAAAACTTGATAATTCATCATTTGTTTTTATGCAATATAACTACGTAATGAATTAAGTTTAAAAAAATATACTTAGTATGAAAAATAATAATTAAGTTTTAAGTAATTTTAGTGATAACAAATGATAGTTGGTAAGTAAATAAGTCGAATGCAAAATAAAACAAAAACACAATTTAATATTTCGCGCCATTAAGATTTTTTTTTTTCAAATACGACTTGAGCGCGATCTAGCAATCTTCTCTGGTACGATTGAAGCTTTTTTTACAATTATACACGCCAATGGCCGGTCTTTGTATTCACTAACTTAGAATAATTTAACGTCTAAAAAAAGCTAAAAAGTGTCATATGTTATCTTCCAAAATCACGTAATTGTATGCTAAAGTTTTCGTTATTATTAGTGACTGAATATTGAGTTTCATTAAAAACAGTCAATGTTATTAATTTAAAAAATCAGGCGACTCATACAATTGCAGCACTAAAATTAAAAAACCATAATTTTTTATGACACCAGTGACTATATATTAAAAATATATTTTATCATTGTTTATTAAAAGTTTGTTGCTTAAATACTTTTTAAAAGATATTTCTCATGGTAAGTTTATAACTTTTCTTTAATTAAAATTTTTTGTTTTTGTGACAAGCTAATAAAATAAATTGGTCTTACATAATTTTTTTTGTTCATCTAGGCAAAAAAATCAAAAATAATGCCTCTGTCTAATAAATACAAAAAAGTTAAAAGGCCAACTGTCTTGGTGAAAAGGAACCAAATGAAAAGGAAGTCAATTTCCAAGCCACGAAATTTATGTAACTATTATTAAAAAATTATTATTTTTATTATTACATATTATTTTTAGTATTAATATAACTAATGTTTATTTTTTTTTTTGACAGTGTATGAAAAACTAAAAGCCAATAATAATGCTCTTGCACGGGCATTATCAAAAGAAAAACAAGACCATCAATATACATTTTCTCATAGTCTTGCGTTGACAAATCAAATTCAAGATATGCAAGTGGCAATAAATAAACGTGATGAAATATTATCAAAAATACTTCAGAATTCAAAGCAAGGTTTAGAATTACTCGTAAAAGCGACAGGTTTTCTCACAGATACAATACAATCCTGTCGAACTATCGTCCAAACAGATCCAATTAACGTACGTACAAATTTGTCTCGGAGTCCAATGCCACAAAGAGACTCGTCAAGACAATCCGTTAAATCACCAGCACGCGGAGTTGTTCAGCCGATGGTTAGTGGCCACACAATAACAAAACCAGTCATCAATTTAAGCAGAATAAATATGCCCCGCATACGTACATCACCAAATTTAAGTGATATTGAAGAAAGTATATCAACACCTGAACGCAGCTCACTTAGAATTGACAACAACGCTTCATCAGTAGAAACAACAGTAACCGGTACTAGTTCAACAGCAACTAGTTTTGTAAGATTGCCAGCCAGTCAACAGAATGGTTTTCCAACCAGACGCGTAGAAAGATTGTTACCTGAAAGGATACGTAGGTCAACAGCAAGAATAAGCGATGAAGTTGATGATTTATCTGAAAGTAATTCCAGCAGGCGATCTAAAAGTAGACGTACTAGTCGATATTCACGACGGGAATCACGTAATTCGGAACGTTTGTCTGTCAACCATGAGCCACGTTTCAACCATGAATCTCTACCGGAAATGTTTAAAAGCCCGCGTGTTGCATTACAAGATGTATCCCGTTTCCTTCGCAATAATGCACAAACTGTCAATGTAAAAACAATTTTTGAAAACGATAATACATCTGGTAATTTAAGTTCAATGGAAATATCTACAATTGTTGAACCGACTAATGATCAGAATATTTCTGTACAAAATGATGAGAGTTTGGAGAATATTAATAAATTATCAGAGTCCTGGACAGCTCCCACTTATGGTTTTGATTCAAGGAAGAATGACTCAAAAAAATCTAACAAACCAGATGATCCATTGGAAGGTTCTAGTTGGATGCATACTTCCGAATCTCTTGATATTGATGAAGATAATTCTAATAATCACAGCACTCTACAAGCTTCTAATAGTTCGAATGTTAATTCATCAGCAACGTTTGTTATTACATCAAAAACTGAAGCAACATTAGAAATAGCAACAAATGCAGATCAAACTGTCGACGAAGAAGATCCTAACGATTCTTCGCGGATTGAGTGGGCTGAAAACAGATGTACTGTCTCATCGTCGAGTAGTGATAGTGAAGAAGACTCCAATGATGATGATGATGTTGATGACATTCAATATTCAAAATTTTTTTCGGTCAACACAAGAAATCGAAAAATGAACAGTTATGTTTCTGATGGGGATAATAATCATGATAAATCAAAAAATTTATCTAAATATTCATCTACTGGTGTAGAAAGTCCTAAGAGTCGTAAATTTTCCACTCAACATAACAACGATGAAAACAATGAGGATGAAGTTGATGACGATGATGACGGTGAAAAATGTGGTAATTGGGGTCGATTAGCCGCTTCAATTAACACACGAACTAGGAGAACTGATGATAATGAAGCCAATAATAATAATAATAATAATAATAATAATAATAATCATTTATTACGAATATCGTCAAATGTCACTACGGAGCGAAGTCGTCAACCAATTGATAGTGATGAAGACTTTACAATGATTATAAAAAAAAGACCTTGTCCTAGTCGTAATCTACCTTTCGATATTAATGAACTAAACTTACCGGTCTTAGAGAGGCCTCTTGTTGAAACACCTCAGGTTGATCCTGAACCAGAGTTTACAACTGACATAAATATGGTAACTCAAGTTATAAATTCAACAATGCCCAGAGGAGCTATAAGAGAATCATTGATTGATAATTCGTCTGTGTTAATCCCGCAAATAAATGAAACGTTAAGTCGTACATCTACAGAGATGGATAGACTTAACAATACTACTAGGACTTCCGGAGAGTCTTTCATTGGCTATCCTGACATCTTGAAAAGAAAAAGAAGAAATAAGCATCGACTTGTTTCTTCCAGCGATTCTGAACCATCCAGTCCTCTAGAAATTGTGTCGAAATGCAAGCGAAAAAGTACTAAAAAAAAAGATCCCAGTACGGCTAAGGTTGTACTTGAAAAATTGGAAGAAAGCAAAAAAATGTTGTCAATTACATCACGAACTTCTTCGAATTCCTATTCGTAAGTATTTTTTATATTCAAAATTTATTTTTCGCTGTTAAAATAACGTGATTGTGATCATAAATGTCGTAAATTAGAAGAAAAATAATTATTGAATTAATTTTATTTGTTGTTATTACAATAAGCATTTTTATTTATTAATAGATAATTATTATCCCTTTGATAGAACACTACAAGTGGACCAACAAAGTGATTCAGATAGCAGCAACGCCAGTAGTAAGATTTCTGGTCGACCAAGGAGACGAAAGGCACCTACAAATTTAAGAGAACCACCTTTGGGAACTAAATTAAGACGACACTAAATAATTTTTATTTTTTTGAAATTTTAAGAATTCTTTTTTTTTATTTTAATAAAAAATTTTTTTAGTATTTATGATTCATAAATTTATAATTATGTGAGTAAGGTATAATCCTTTATATTTGTAATAAAATATCGTTCTTGATTAATGTTTTATACAAAAAATTACTTGTTTTACTTAAGGTAAGATTATTTGTTTCAATAATAGTAACATTTTACTTTTTACTTTTGTGAGCAATTTTAAAATTGGTGAATTTATTATGATATATCATCATTACATAATTATTTCAGATAAGAAAAATAAGTTAGATTAAAAATTGAATTATAAATATTAAAAAATACTTAATATGTAATTATTAACTGCATCACCTAACGATAATGTTAATTGTATGCATTTGTTAGAACTTTAATATAACTATTTACTGTTATAATTGAAAATGATTTGAATAATTAAATATGAAATTTTTACTCACATGAGAAAAACTCGTTTTGTACTATTATATTTACTAAATGATGAATTACAGTTAATTTGAAATTGAAATTGCCATGAATAGTGAATAAATATTATAATTCGTACAAGAACTTAATTGTTATCGAAAACAACGAAGTTTTTAACTTAATATATCACATTCTATCCGTGCAAATATAAATTATTACTTATTAATTTTCAGTGAAAAAAAAAAAAATATATTGCAATAAAAAAAATAAATAAAATTTTATGACATTAAAAATAGCAGTCACTTAACCATTTTTAAATTTTTTCTAACAATTAAATTTTTTCCAGAAAATTATTTTCAAAAAATTGCATTTTTTATTTTTTTAAATTTCTACAGGTCAATTTTTTTTTCTACTTTTTCTTTGCCATAATTTATTTGTTAAAAAAATTCTTAAAATTATCAAATATCTGCTAAATAAATTTTCATTAAAATTTTTCATCATAAAATTTTATGACATTAAAAATAGCAGTCACTTAACCATTTTTAAATTTTTTCTAACAATTAAATTTTTTCCAGAAAATTATTTTCAAAAAATTGCATTTTTTATTTTTTTAAATTTCTACAGGTCAATTTTTTTTTCTACTTTTTCTTTGCCATAATTTATTTGTTAAAAAAATTCTTAAAATTATCAAATATCTGCTAAATAAATTTTCATTAAAATTTTTCATCAAAAAAGTAGTTTTATTTCAGCAAAAAAATTTTAGAGTCAAATTAAATATTATATGATTATAATTAAAACGTTACGAAAACTAATGTGATTAATGTTTATAAATTTAATATTTAGCGCCTTTAATAAAATATACTAATACTAGAGTCAGCTGATTAAAATGATACTATAGAGGTTATGGAGCGCTATAGTTGTCTTTTTTTAACCTCGTTGCTAGAACTCAAACTTATTTATATGGACCACATGTGTAACATGTTTATAACCTTCTGATTGTTAATAGTTTAAACAATATTATTAAATTACGTTGTGATTGTATTAAAAAAAAATTGTTTAAATAATCATTGTTCTATATTTTGGAGAATACAAAGTAAGCATTACTTTTTTTTATATTTTTATTAGTATAAATCTATGACCTTATGTCTTATTTTTTTATATTTATTATTTGTAATTTGTAGTTATAAAATATTTAATTTTTTACTGTTAAATACCAACAATAATCGAAATTATTGAATAATTTTTATTTTTTTTTAAATTTAAATTGACCCTTGTAATTGCTATAAAATTATTGAGTTTTTTTCATTTATTGTTATCATTTAAAAAATTCAAATATTTATGGAATGTTAATTATAAACAAAGTACAACAATGAAAACATACCTTTAAAAATTCCTAAAATCTCTTGTACAAATTTTATTCTATTTTTTTTTTTTTTTAATAATTTTTAAATTTCGTGTATTTTATTTTTACAAATTTATACAAATTTATATTGACTAATTTATTTATTTTTTTCAGGATGGCGGATTTGTTAAAAGACTCCCGTTTTGGGAATATTGCAAAAGATCCGAAATTTAGAAGTATGCCGAAGAGTAAACGAAAAATAAAAATAGATGAAAGGTTTCGTCCAATGTTAACAAATAAAGAATTCTGTGTAAAATATAAATTCGATAAACGAGGTAGACCAGTTAATCAATCTTCAGCAGAAAATCTTAGGAAATATTATGGCGGTTCTAGTGATGATGATACAGATGACAATGAAGATCATAAAAGTCAAGATGCTGATGATTCTGAACTTGAGAGCGATAATGAGCAAATTGAGTCTGACAACTCTGAAAAGAGTGACAAATTACAGGAAAAAAATGAATTAAAACAATCTAATAAATTAAAAACTGAAACAACGAAAAAGGCTAGAAGAAAACTTAAAAAGAAAACTGAAACAAAAAATGAAGCTGATTCAAATGAACATGATAGTGATGATGATGATGATGATAATGAAGTTGATGGGGATGAGGATGATGACGATGATGAGAATAAAGATAAAGTTCAACAAAATAAAAATGAAACAAAAAACAGGGATTCCAATACAACGCAAAAACTTAAAGACCTTTCTGTTGATTATGCCAGAGGTCACGCTAACCTTTATTCAGACAGTTCATCATCAGAAGAAGACGAATCTGAAGCATCCGACCTAGAAAATATTATCCACAAGTGGGGAGAGTTGGATAACGATGCTGAAGAAATTAATGAGACAACGACGCGCTTAGCACTTTGTAATATGGATTGGGATCGAATACGTGCTGTTGATATTATGGCATTAGTTATTTCATTTTTACCTCCAGGTGGATTGGTGAAATCAGTCACTATTTATCCAACAGAGTTTGGGCTTGAGCGCATGAAAGAAGAAGAATTAAAAGGACCAATTGAAATAACAGAAGACAAGAAGATTGAAGAAGAAGATGATAATAATACTGATGACGAAGATTCGGCGATTCAAAAGGAGAAAATAAGATTGTATCAGTTAAAGAGGCTTCAGTATTATTTTGCACTTATCGTTCTTGATTCTAAAGAAACTGCTGAAGCTATTTATCGAGCTCTCGATGGTTTCGAGTATGAGTCAAGTTCTAATAAAATGGATCTACGAGTTATTACTGATGATAGAGTATTCGATCAAGAACCCAAAGAAGTATGTGATAAATATCCAGATTCTACCAATTATAAGCCGAGACTTTTTACAACTAAAGCAATGCAGCAGGTTAAATGTGCATCGACTTGGGATGAAACGAGTTTTGAGCGCCAAGAAATAGCCGAAAAAATGAACAAAGGGCGAATAGATGAAATCAATCATGATGATATATCTAAATATGTTGCAACAAGTTCAAGTGAAGATGAACCAGAAATTGACAATGATAATAATTTAGATCAAATTAAAGAGATTGAAAATAATCAAAGTAAAAAGAAAAATAAAAATGACATTGCTATTTATAAATTATTATTACAGCAGAACGCAGAGAATGAAAAAAAGAAAAAAAAATCTGACATTGATTTTGAGTGCGAGTGGGGAATGAGAGAAGAAAATGATTTGAAAGAAAATACAGAAAAATTAGTAAAGAAAAAAATAGATGAGAAAGAAAAAGAAAAATTAACGCCTTTTGATAAATATAAACTAAAAATTCAAGAGAAGAAGAAAGCGAAGAAATTAAAAAAGAAACAGCTGAAAAATAAAACAGGAAACGGATCTGACAGTGAAGATTCTATTCCGTCGGATGTAGACATGAATGATCCTTACTTCAAAGAAGAAATGATGATGAACATGAAACCTAATAAAGCTAAAAATAAAAAATCTAAAAAGAATGCTGTTGACTCTGATGATGAAGCAAAAAAACAAGAGAATGCGGAACTAGAATTGCTGCTATTAGACAAAGAAGATGACAAATTGAAAAATCATTTTGATATGAATAAAATAGAACAGAATGAAGCATTGTCAAAGTCGAAAAAGAAGAGATTGATGAAAAAAAATAAAGGGAATAATAGTGAATTCGAAGATAAGTTCGAAATCAACGTTGAAGATCCTAGATTCACTGCAGTCTATGATTCTCCTGACTTTCATATTGATCCTACTGATCCGCATTTCAGAAACACAAAAGGGACCGAACTTATAAGAAAAGAAAAGTTTAAACGACAAGGACAGAAAATTAGTAATCATAATAATGACAATAATATTCCTGTCGAGGTAATTTTCTTTGCTGTTTACCTGTTTAGTATTTGATAATTTTTAATTACTAAATTGATTTTTTTTTTATTCTTATTTTTCAGGAACCACCTGTCAAGCGCCCAAAAAACACTAAATCATTGGATGATGATGTCAACGCTCTTGTTAAACGTATCAAGTCTAATACAAAAAATATATCTCAAAAAATAAAATAGTTTTCCCTTTAAAAAATTATTCAAATATACAAATTGTATATACTTTTTAAAAAGTAATTAATAAAAAAAAAAATATTAATGATAAAAAATATTTTTTTTTCTTGGTCTTTATGCCATTAGATTTTCCAGGAATTAAAAAAAAATATTATGATTATGAGTAAGTTTGATGTTTTTACAAGGATAATAGATAAAGTAAATAAAATATCTATACATGTAACACCAAAGAAGGGGTTTAAATCTTCGCTGCACTTCGGATGGTGATAAATTGTACATTTATCTCCCTCTTCTATCTAATCTAAATTTTAATCCAATCAGCCGCTTGGCTGTCCGCTGTCCAAGGGGATTCATCTGTATTTTTTTGCCGAGATTATCCGATCGCAATCGAACGCTAACTATACATTATCCCTTCCTGTAATTACGATCAAAGAGACGCCACCAAAATCTCGCGAGCTTTCAGACAAAGGACAAAGCTTCTTTAGCAGCGGACTGGGTCGGTCGCTTCTAAACACCTTTAAAAATATTTTATTCATTTAATTCTCAGACTAATTATTTCATTATTACTGATTGGTAATTATTTAAAACATAATATTTGTATATTTATTGTTTATTAACAATTTTTTGATTAATTATTTCTTTTTGAATTAATTAATTAACATTATTCAATTATTGGTTTATAGTTTCAAGCCTTTCGCTTCGCGTACTTAACTTCCGGGTTGGAGGTTTTTTTTTAAGCGTCTTTTTTTCTTTGTTCTAAATCTCAAATTTATCCGCGTCGAATTCAATACCCGGAAATAAAATTTAGTCGAAATACTACTGTTTTTAATTTTATTTTTTTTTTTAAATATCTCTAAGGATAATTTTAGTAATTTTTTTTTTTATTATTATTAATATTGTCGTTATATATATTTTTTTTTTCCTTTTTTAGACAATGGAGAAGAAAGATGGTGAATCCTCTCGACGCCCCGGACCAACACCACCCTCTGAGGGTCCTCCTGCAGTAAGTTATTTATTTATTTATTATTATTATTATTAATAACATTATTTTTAAAATTATAATTATATTCTAGAGCAAATATTCTCGTTTGCAACCTGCTGAGACCTCTGATCAACACCAACCAGGTCCATCTCAACCCGCTCCTAAAACGGGCAGTAGCTCTGACGCACCATCAATAACTGCCGGACGAGGAGCATCACGAGCTCGCAAGTTAATGAATGCGGATCTTCTCAATTCAAGGCCTGCTCATGTTCAAGCTTCAAAGAAAGGTTTTTACATTTTTGATTCATTTTTTTTTTTAATTAATTTTAATTGCTTCTATTATTATCATAAATAATTTTTCAGGAACCGGTGGCAATGCGGTTAAACTTCAAGCCAACTTTTTCAAGATTCTCAGCGCACCCGATTGGTGCTTGTTACAGTACCGAGTTGATTTTGCTCCTGAAGAAGACAGAACTATTGTTCGAAAGGGCCTATTACGTCTTCACAAAGAAAAATTGGGGATCTACATGTTTGATGGCAGTGCTATGTATTCTTGCAACCGTTATCCGAACGTTTCTAAAACACAGGTAATTTTTGTAATTAGTCAAATTTTTTTTTTTCCCCAATATTTTTGAATATATTAAATGAAAATACGGTAATTATTTACAAGTAAAGTCCACCATTTTAATTTTCATTTTTTTGAACGAAATTTCTATTTGATTTTATTGTTATATTTTTTTTTGAAAAATACATAAAAAATGAGTAATTAAAAAAAAAAAAAAAAGTTGATTATTACAATTTTAACCAATTTTCATAAAAATTTATAAATTTTTTAGAAAATAGTGATATTCTACTTTTTTTTTTTTTAATTGTTCATTTTTTTTATGTACTTTTAAAAAAAATATATATATCAAAAAAAGATAAAATAGAAATTTTATCCAAAAACACGAGAGCCAAATCCCTGATTAAAAAAAAGTATTGAGACAAAGAAAAAAATATTGAAAAGTATAAACCAATTCTTTTCAATACTTTTTTCTTTGTGAATTGGTTTATACTTTTCAATATTTTTTTCTTTGTCTCAATACTTTTTTTTATTCAGGGATTTTTTTCTAATTTTTGAATGCAAAAAAGCTATCGAAATCTTTTTTTTTTTTTTTCCTTTCACGAAAATTTTTATCATAAGTGCGCCGTAAAAACAAGCAGAATAAAAAAAAATATTAATTTTTTACCTAGATACGGCCAAAAATAGTGTGGACCCCACTTGTAATTAATTACCGAAAATACATACTAATAAAATTTTTTTTATGTTGCAGGCAATGGAATTATTTTCAGAACGGAATTCTGATAACTCTAAAATCAAAATCAGTATCCGTTTGGTTGGAGATCTGACCAAAGGTGATCCGCATTATCCTCAATTTTTCAACATAATCGCCCGCAAAGGATTAGAGCATCTTCGACTTCAACTAGTTGGACGTAATTACTTCGATGCTCAAGCAAAGGTTAATATTTAATTAACTATTAATTTTTTTTTACGTAATAATCAATTAAAATTTTCTACGATAAATTTTTTGTTATTAATTATAGGTCGAGATTCCTGAGTACAGATTTGAATTGTGGCCTGGTTATCAAACATCAATTCGTCAACATGAACGTGATGTCTTGATGGGAGTTGAAATAACTCACAAAGTTATGCGTCAGGAAACTTTACTAGACATTTTAGGAAGAACTCATAATACTGCTCGTGGAGGTGACATTCAAGTAAGTTTTATTGGATTTTTATTTTTAATATTTATAAAATTTACTTTAGTTAATTATTAATTCATCTTGTTTTGTTTTTTTTTTTTAATTTACAGGGAGCTTGCAAAGCAGAAGTTATTGGTGTAACAGTATTGACTGCTTACAACAATAATACATACCGCATTGATGACATTGACTTCAGCAAAAACCCTACATCAACATTCAGATTGAAAAAAGATGAAACACAGATCACTTTCATGGATTATTATCAAAACCAATATGGTATAAGGATAAATAATAGAACACAACCGCTCCTTGTTGCTCGCTTACCTATGCGAGATCGCCGTGCTGGAAAAGATGAATTACTTTATTTAATTCCTGAACTTTGTAAAGCGACAGGTAAATTTCTTTAACATACATTCCTTATAAATATCTAAAAATAAATGTAATACAACTGATTTATTGTATTTTTAGGATTAACCGACGAAATGAGAACAGACTACAAATTGATGGCAAAGTTAGCAACTTACACCCGCCTTACTCCTGAAAGGCGTATCGACAGACTGCTGCATTTCAACAAACGACTCCAAAGTGACGCAAAAGTAGTTGAAGAATTCAGTAAATGGAACTTGAAACTGGATACTAATGTCGTAGAAATTCCAGCTCGTGTAATTACACCTGAAAATCTTGTCTTTGGAAACATGAAGCAATCTGCAACTCAAACCGCTGACTGGACAAGACATTTCCGCAGTGCGCGGTTAATAGTTTGCACCAAATTGACTGATTGGATTCTTATCGTACCAGAGCGGATTAGACGTGATGCACATGTAAGATTTTAAATTTATATTCCTTTCTCTTTTTATTTTATGAAAATTAAGTTAGCCGACATTTAAAAATTAAAAAAATTTTTTTTATTGAAAAATTAACTACAAAAAAAAAAAGAAAAAAAAAATTGTCATTTGTTAAAAACTTGAAAAACTATAAGTGCAATTTTTAAAAAATATTTTTTTGTTCTAATTTAAAATTTTTTTGTTTCTAATTTATGAAAAAAAAAATTAAAAAATTAAAAACGTCGGCTAACTTTAGTATCATTTTTATTTTTTGTTAAATTTTCTTTACTTGAAAGTGAATTATCTTTTTATTTTTAAAACAATATGTACTATCATTTAAAATTTTTTATTTATTAACACTCACTATAAAAATGAATTTTCGAATAATTATTTATTTTATTGTTTCAGTCATTCATCAGCAATGTCGTTAAAGTTGGCCAAGGAATGTCATTCGTGATAAGTCAACCTCAAATTCGTGAGATTCGCAATGACTCGGCTCAGTCTTACGCCGAAGAATTGGAGCGCGTACTGAGTCACAATGTTCCACAACTCGTTTGCTGTATTTCTGCGCGATCACGTGCCGATGTCTATGCAGCAGTTAAAAAGAAGTGCTGTCTTGATCGTCCCGTCCCAAGTCAAGTTGTTCTTTCGAAAAATTTGGCGTCTAAAGGCGCTATGTCAATTGCAACCAAAATAGCAATACAAATGAATTGCAAAATTGGCGGTGCACCTTGGAGTATTGATTTTGGAATGGGAGGACTAATGGTGGTTGGATTCGATGTCTGTCACGATCCTAATCAGCGTGGAACTGATTTTGGTAAATTATTTTATCAATATCTAACATTTTTTATTTATTACTACACCAATTAAAATATCAAAAAAAAATTAATCAACATGGTTTTAATTTTTAGGTGCTATGGTTGCATCACTTGATCGAGGAATGACCAGATACTTTTCAGCAGTCAGCTCCCATCGGAGCAATGAAGAATTGACTAACGAGTTTAGCATCAACATGGTCAAGGCGTTGCGTAAATACTCTCAAATGAACGGAGGAACATTCCCGACGCGGATTGTCGTCTACCGTGATGGTGTCGGCGATGGACAGATTCCCTACGTGTTGGAACATGAAGTTGAGCATTTGCGTGAAGCACTTGCCAAGCTGTACGGAAAAGCTGATCTGGTGAAACTGGCTTTCATCATCGTCACAAAGCGAATTAACACAAGGTTGTTCTACAATCGTCGTGAAAATCCACCTCCTGGGACCGTCGTCGACGATGTAATCACCAATCCATGGAGGTACGATTTCTTCATTGTATCTCAGTGTGTTAAACAAGGATCTGTTTCACCCACTGCATACAACGTTATTTTTGATAATGCGGGGTTAAATGTCTCGAGTATCCAGAGACTGACATTCCAGTTGACTCACATGTACTTCAACTGGAGCGGAACTGTGAGAGTTCCAGCACCTTGTCAGTACGCTCATAAATTAGCTTTCTTGGTGGCTCAAAGTATTCACCGACCACCAAGCAGTCACTTGGAAAGTCTCTTGTATTTCCTTTAAATATTTTTTTTTTTTGTCATAATTTGAGACAAAAAATTAAAATTTTTTTTCGTTAAATGTCTTATAATTTTGATATTCATAAAAACATATCAACTATTATTATTCATAAGTGACGTCAAAATGGTACAATTGTGTTTCGTAAATTTGGTATTAATTAAATTAATTTGTCTTTTTTATAAATTTTTTACTACTAAGATTAAAATATTTTATATTATTGACTATTAATCATTTGAGTGATTTAGAATTTATGATTATTATATAATTATAAGTGATCATCGTGTTCAGTATATACAATTCTGGAATTATTAATATTTAATAATTTCAAATTATTAAAAGTACTAATAAATATTAAATGTTTATATTTATATTAAATATTAATTGTAATCATAACTATTATTTAAATTGATTTAAAATAGTTATGGTAATTATAAAATAAAACAAATTTGTTAGAATTATTGTATTAGAGTTAATTAAGAACATCAATTTGTAATAGTTCGACAAATGGTCTCATTTAATAGTGTTCTTTAAAAATAAAATTTTCATAAAATAATAAATTACATTTTATTTCTTTTAGGATAGATAATATAAATGACCTAAAGTAAATGGTAAATATTAATAAATAAATCTAAACTACGAAATAAATCAAAAACAATTATGTTGGTAAATATTTTCTTTGAATTAAAATTACTGCAAATAATATGCATTTAATTTAATTATTTTTTTAACAGAATAAATTTATAGTAACAAAATATAAAATTAAAATAGTTTTATTTTTTTTGAAAAAATAATTTTTAATGGGAAAACTAAGTAAAAAATTTCAAAATTAAATACTTTAGATTTAAAAAAATTTAATTTTATATTCGTTGCTGTTATTCAAAATTCCAAACGTCAGCGTTTTATTTTTATACATATGGCATTAAAGTTAGCAGTCACTAGAGAATTGAAAAATTTTTTTTAATAAACAAATTTGTTCAAATAAATTACTTTTAAAAAATTGCATTTTTTGTTTTTTAAAATATGAAAATTAATTTAGCAGATATTTTATAATTTTAAGAATTTTTTTAAGAAGCAAATTATATAAAAAAAAAAAAAATGAGAAAAAAAATTGACATTTAGAAAATTAAAAAAACAAAAAATCCAATTTTTTAGAAATAATTTTTCGGAGCAAATTTATATATTAAAAAATTGTCAAGTGACTGCTAACTTATTTAATGTCATTTTTAAAATTTCTAAATGTCAATTTTTTTTTATAATTTTTTTTGCCATAATTTATTGAAAAAAAAATTCTAAAATTTATTATCATTTTATACATTTACGTTTCATTGAATAAGTATTATTATCTTTAATATTTCCATCGTATCGACAGGATTTTAATCATCAGACAAACGATTTCTAGGAAATTCTGGACTACAGTGCATGTATTTACTTACGCTTACGCCCCTCAACAATATTTTCACCTATACCTAACAGCACTAACCTCTCTAACATACGTTCAAAAACGAAAATCTTCTCAGACACATTCAGACACATTTTAACTTTTAACCTTCGAGTGAAGCGGAAGTATCTATTTTCAACAATTGTGCCTATTATAATTCAAGTTTTAAAACTTTAAAAATTCGTAACAAAAATTATTCTTGATTGAATACGATTTCATAAATACCCAAAAATATACACAAATAATTTCGAAATTGGTGAAGTGCTTGAGTAAATAGTAATTAATAAAATAAGTGAAATTTAATAAATAAAAATGAGTTTCTTAAAATTCAAGACTAATGACGATGTTGAGTTCAAAGTTGAAGTTAAAGCAGCCAAGTTCTCAGTGATGATAAAAACTATGCTAGAATCTCTTCAAGACGACGAGAATGATGTGGTTATTCCACTGATAAAAATTAACTCTGTTACTTTTAAAAAAGTACTCGAATGGATCGAGCATCACAAAGACGAAGACCCACCGTTGATAGAAGAAAAAAAGTTCGAGAGGAAGAGGAGCGACGACATCAGTGAGTGGGATAGTAAGTTCATCGATGTTGATAATTCCACACTCTACGACATTGTCAGTGCTGCTGATTACCTTCACATTATAGGACTCTCAGAGTTAGTCTGTAAGAAAATAGCAAATAACATAAAGGAACAGTCAATACCTAATTATAAACAAAGGTTTGATCTAGATAATCAAGCAAGTTCTTCTTATAGTCCGACAGAACCTTCATATTCAGAGCCTTCTCATAGCCGAAGAGATTACTATGCTCCATCAAGTCCCACTTATACTCCATCAAGTTCGTCGTACTCTCCAATGAATCTTCCTTCTCATAGCCGAACAAATTCTTATTCTCCATCGAGTCCCTCTTATTCTCCAATGAGTCCACCAACAGAACCTTCTCATAGCCGAACAAGTTACTATCCATCAAGTCCATCAAGTCCATCGTATTCTCCAATGAGTCCTCCTTCTCATAGCCGAACAAATTCTTATTCACCAATGAGTCCTGATCAATCAACAGAACCTTCTCATAGCCGAACAAATTCTTATTCACCAATGAGTCCTGATCAATCAGCAGAACCTTCTCATAGCCGAACAAATTCTTATTCACCAATGAGTCCTGATCAATCAGCAGAACCTTCTCATACCCGAACGACTTCTTATTCATCAATGAATCCTTCTCATAGCCGAACAAATTCTTATTCTCCATCGAGTCCCTCTTATTCTCCAATGAGTCCGCCAAGAGAACCTTCTCATAGCCGAACAAGTTACTACATTCCATCAAGTCCCTCTTATTCTCCATCAAGCCCATCGTATTCTCCAATGAGTCCTCCTTCTTATAACCGAACAAATTCTTATTCACCAATGAGTCCTGATCAATCAACAGGACCTTCTCATAGCCGAATAAATTCTTATTCACCATCGAGTCCGTCGTATTCTCCAATGAGTCCGCCTTCTCATAGCTTAACAAATTCTTATTCACCAATGAGTCCTGATCAACCAACAAAACCTTCTCATAGCCAAAAAAATTCTTACTCTCCATCGAGTCCCTCTTATTCTCCAATGAGTCCGCCAAGAGAACCTTCTCATAGCCGAACAAGTTACTACACTCCATCAAGTCCATCGTATTCTCCAATGAGTCCTCCTTCTCATAACCGAACAAATTCTTATTCTCCATCGAGTCCGTCGTATTCTCCAATGAGTCCACCTTCTTATAGCCAAACAAATTCTTACTCCCCAACGAGTCCTACAAACTGCCAATGATTTTTTCAGTCCCTCATAGTCGCCTTTTTATAATTAAAACCTATTGCCTTATTATTAATAGTATAACAATCATAAATTCTTATTTTCTATAATTATGTTTGTAATAAAATGTAATATATTATAATTGTAAGCCTTTCCATAATACAACTTATAAAATTAATTATTAAATTATTTCTTATCATTCAAAGATCTAAAATGGAATAATCTTCAATAGATATCTTAAACGTAACTGTATTTATCAATTTAGTATCATTCTTTATTAATTTTCAATTTTTTATATTATGTGTTAGTAATTCGAATAAATTATGTAATACTATGAAATATCATGTAATACTATCTGATGATATCGTTTAATACGATAATAACAAATGTGTATGTTTAATTATTTTAATACGTTTAAACAATGCATAAGATTGTGAAAGATGGAACTTTTAAGCATGTAATTTAAGTTGAAACAAATATTTTTTTAATCTTTTAAAAATAATGAGTTATAAATTGAAAATTTTTGTAAAAATATTTAATACGCATGAGAATAATTAATCATTTGTAATAAATATAACATTAACTTAGATACTTTTTTATTTTATTAGATATACCTATTCCATTAATTGATTACACCAACAGAATCCACGACAGTTGTGGTAACAACAATAACCATCAATTAAATATTAATTATGTGTTCAAGGTTTATCATGAGAACTTGGGGTAGCAGACAAGCTTATCTGCACTAAAATGTCAGCCAAATTGCATTAATTGTTAGTGAAAAAAATCAAGTATTTTTCAAAAAACAATAACTTAATTCAAGAGAAAAATTTTTGAACCAAGAACATGATTTTAAATTTGGTAATCTTGAATAAAGTAGAAAAAATCTCGAACCGAGAAAAGTTTACTTGAACCAAAAGAAATTTCTTCACTTGATTTATGACGATATAATTCTTCAAAATGATATTCATGGTTCAAAAATTTTTCTTTTAAATTTATTAATTTTTTTAATTAGTGCATTAAAGAGTCGATCTGTGTCAACCAGCTACTTCTAGAAGGTAAAAAATTTTTCAAGCCACAGAATACGATTTTTTTCGGTAAATCCATGAATTTTCTATCGATGCAATAAATTTCAGCTGATGATTTTACTCTCTAGCTGTATTCTAAAGTCAACGTAGTGAACAGCGAAAACACCAAATATAGCTTGAAGAACTTTAGCTCAATAAAATGCCTCGTCATCAACGAAAACAGTTGTAATTGATAAACTGACTGGATATTTCATCCATCATAGACTTACCAAGAAGTTAGCAGCATAAATTATCTGGATAAACTATCAGATTACAAAAAAAAAAAAAGATTTTAAAAATTATTTGTTTTCTTTATTTGTAAAAAAAAAACGTTTTAATTAATTTATTCATAATTAATAATAAAATATTAATTAAAAATCAACAATTTATGTCAATTATAGTTAGAATTGACATAAAATATCAGATACAAACTGATTAAAAAATTTATATTCAAACGACATTCATAGTGAGAATAAACTGATTGGCAATTAATTCAACTACAATGAATATAAAACAACTATTCTTCCTATAATTAATTACAATTAACATAATTTATTAAAAAAATCTTAATTAGTTAATGAAAATTCTTCATGCTAACACTTGAACTATTTATCCAATAATTATTAACTTTCTAACACATTATACAGACGAAAAAAGTTGTCTATTGCGTAGTGTCATTTAAATGAATAATGTCATTTTTCACTCTCACTGTTACACTCGGGGCAGTGACTTTAGAATTATTTGACCATTTGGTTGACGCGACAGTAACAGGTTGCAATTCTGTTGTTTTATTATTGTCATTAATTGAGTTATCTCGTATCATAAATCTTTCAATTTTAGCAGTAGGTTGCGCGCGTTTTGTACCATTAGATGCTGTCGATAATTCTGCGTTCAATTTTTTTGTAATATAATACTGTCCAGTATTTTCATCTTGTGAAAATTTTGTAGAATAGTCCAATGAAGTATTAGCATTGGAAAATCCTTTTAACCGCGGTCTTAGTCTTCTTATGACATATTTTCCAGTGGTATTAGACTTATTTCTAATTATTCTAATCGGTACAAGATTTATTTTATTTCTTTTACGTTTATTTATTGTAGGACCTGAAGATGAAGAAATTGAAGTAGAAGACGAAATAGATGTAGAGGCTGAAGATGGTGTTGTAGATGGTAGCGATGAAGAGGATGACGATGGCAAAGAAGAAGTTGAAGTTGATAAAAATATTGTTGAAGATGAAAAGACAGGCTCTATTTCCCGTCTCTTGGTATGAAGCCTATACCTGCTTGAATTTTTCAACCCTCCGTGTACTTCATTGGGTTTGTCATTGGATTCATTTGAACTCCGATCGGAAGCATCGACAGATAATGGAATAGAATCAGTACCATTAGGCGGAGGCTCGCCGTGTAGAAAAGTTATAGGCCAGTGTCTGCACTGATAATTACAGTCATCAATTCTAGGTCGTAGAGGTCGATTAATTATCGGTGGCCTCAACGGCCGAGGATTAAATTGATACGGGTAGTATCTTTCACTGCAAGGTCTCCATTGGTCTACGGAAGGTCCTACATAACACCATGGATAATTGTAACCTTGTGAAAATCCGCACTGATGACCAGGATCACAACAGTAATCCCAAACACCCGGCTCAGAGCCTTCCGGTTCACAAGTCCAAAATCCTGCCAATCTATTTCTTTCACACTTTGTTCCTCTTTTGCACGGGTAACCATTGACAGTATAACGACGGAACACCGATGACTCATCAGGACGTGTTGAGAAAAAAAATTTTTCATGAACGTTGTTGTGAATTTCTGGATGCCCATCAATGTCATAAGCTGGCCCCAATGCAGTAACTCCCGGTTTTACTGAATCTGGAATAGCTATGTCGTAGTAATAAGGATCATCTGGCTTTGCATACGGTATATTTGATGATGGATGATAAATATTTGGTCTCGATGGATTAGGAAGTGGATAGTAGCTCGGTTGCTTATCGTCATAACTATCGTCGGCTGAGCATCTAGATTCCAATTCTTTCCAAACGTAAAGTATGTAATCGTCGTCATGATTATAGTCCAAGCCGGGACGTAGATCTCGTGAAGATACATCACTGAGGTAACAATTGTCACCTTGAGGGTTGTTATCAATTCTGTAATTTCAATAATTTATTTAAATTTGAGTATCAGTTAAATAAAAATTAATATAATTGAAAAAATAATTAATAAAAATTACCTGTAATTATAAGACATGCATGGTGATGGATCTCGATGTCTCATACTTGAACATTTTCGACGACACTCAGCTTCAGATCCGACTTTCAGTGTTAATATTATTGCATATGGAGTTAATTTGCACGGCCTTTCGAACCCAGTATAACAGAAAGCTATTTATGACCACAATTATTTACCATAGGTACTAAAAGTATCCTCCAATTAATTAATTTTTTTGCTTAATAAACTTTACCATCGTCCGGCCGCAGAGGTTTACGATCAACTGGACGATGTCCAACAGGATCTGGATGCGCTACTGGATAATGAGGCTCACAACCACGTCCAAAACTACCTCTTTCGTATAATTCAGCGCCGTTCATATCTTGCATCGTTTCTTGTTTGATTTCAACTGCTGGCCAATCGCTCAAGAAGCAATTTGGTTGTCCATTGGGTAAATGAGTTTCGTACCTGTAAAATTTTTATTTATAAAATTAAAAACAGTGAAATAGATTTTAAAAAATACATAGAAAAACTTATTGTTTTTATAATAATTCCAGTAACTAACATTGAATAATTACCTAAAGACAAAACTCCGACATGTAAAGTCTCGTGATCCAACGCAATGAACTTGACATTCACCCATACCGTCGACGCGCATTGGTTTTTTTATTACTGGAGGCGGCATACTAAAACCACTTCTAACGCGCCAAAAACATTCTGCAAATAAATAAAAATTTTTTATAAACGAAATTAGTGTGAAAATAATGTTTAATTATTTATAAAAAAAAATTACATAATATAAAATGAATTTGGCGTAAAAATTTCATTTTTTTTTTTGTAATTATTCCTTTCAATTTAAAAATTTTTTTTACGATTATAAAATTTATAATCATCCCAAAATAAAAAAAAATCAGGTATTAGTTTTCACATTAAATTAATTAAGCTTGCATACCATCTGGTGAATGGGGACGTCTAGAATTTGACGGTCTTGTATAAGCTTGGCAAAATTTAGAGTTTCTTGTCATGGCATAGATATCATAATCACGATCGGGCTCAAGGTCGGTGTAAAATACAAGATTCTCAAAGACTATGTCACTTAAAAGACAATTATCTGATGGTGAAGTGGCCGCTAAATTATACCTATAAAATATATGAGTAAATAAATAGATACATTCAATAAAAATTAAAAAAAAAGACAATTTTAAAATTAACAGAAGTAAATTAGAAAGTAGTTGACTATTAAAATAAGACATTTATAAATAATTAAAAATACCTGTAAGCAAATGAAAGGCAAGAAAAATCTTGCTGTTCATCGCATAAATTTTGGCACTGCTCTAAATTTGGAGTGAGATAACTTTTTCGTATAATACCTCGTGCCAGCCTGAAACCACCAGCAGACCTAACGGAGCATTGTCGTGAATGAGGTGGTGAATTTTTCGGTGGCGAAATTGGATTATTTGAATAACCGTAAGCTCCTCCGTAATTATTGTACAATCCAGGATAGTCACGGTCTTTATTAGCTAGAGAAGGATGAAGAGGCAGAGGTGGAGGTATATGTTCTCGGTCTAGTGGAATTAGGGGTTTATAGTCTCCAGCATAATGATCGCGATATCTGTCAGCATATGAAGGACCATATGAATCCCAATATCCTGATTTTGATGGTTTTCTACGTTCAGGATTGTACGGAGCTATTTCATTTGTTTCTAAATAGAAAAAGTTATGCTAATTAAAAGTTGGTCTTTTGATCAAAAACTTTATTACTAGGGGAAGGACGGGCAGAAAGGATATGTTAATTTAAAAATGAAATAACAAATATATATTATAATCATATCTATATTCTTAACTTTGGCTATTAATTTTTTGGGTAATTGAAGTTTATAATTAAAGTAAAATAAAAATAAAAACAAAGAAATTCTTCTTCGAAATTAAAAAAAATAAAAAAAAAAGTCAACATTATTCACTACCAGGACGGGCAAAATGAATACTCAGGTCGCGCATAGCGAATACTGATTGGAAAATACATTTTAATCAAAACAATCGTCGCAAAAATATGAACAGTGTCCCGAATATGTAGAAAAAAATAAAATCTGCATCGTTCTTAACAACATTAAAATAATCACTGTATACTTAGGATTTAAAATTTTAATTTTTTTCCTAAATTTCAATATTTATTAAAAAAAAATCTCACAAGTGTGCAAAACCAATGCTTTATCGATAACGGTAAGTGTAGTTACATAATAGATTGGTAGATTGCAGTCTAAAATGTTTCGATCGATTTAAAACGATTATTCATTTTACCCGTACTGTAACGTTCTGGATTTTCCAGTACACGATTTTAATATTTTTAAATTCCAGGTTGGCCTCGTTAGGGTGTCGATAGACCCCAGGTGAGCCTGTTGCTTAACTCTCTCTCTCTTAACTTTTGAAGATTTTATAAGGTTTAAATAAATCATGAATATCAATTCTGATTAATGCGATATATTATAAGAAAACTTTAACAAAATAAATAGTCAGTCCATCTCCGGACATAAGTCCGGGGCCGAAGATGTTCATCGGCTGACTGCTCTGGATTTGCATCCATAGTACAAAGAATTTTATTCATCACCAACGAAGCAGTTAAAATTTTTGAATTAAAATATTTAATTAAATATTATAAATTTAACGGAAACGTTACACCCACCCTCTCCGTTTTGCCCACCCGTCCCTTAATTAATGAAAATAAATGAATAAAAATTTACCTGGATCAGGTCCATATCCATATCCATATTTTCTTTGAGGATACTTTGGAATATGGGATCCTAGCCATCTATTTGATCCAGGATGGCCATAAGAATATCCGTTTCCATTGTATCCACCAAAATCTCCAGACCTCATAGGTAAATAAGGTCTTTGGTGCTCGCGACTTTTATGATTATAGTTGTAGAAATCATTTCCTGTTGGTCGTTCAGGTCTTTTGTTATCATAAGGAGGATAGTAATCTTCTATAGGACGCACTGGCAAAGGTCTATCTTCATTTGAACCAGGTCGGAACCACGAATGATCGTGGTTTAAATCCGATTCTGGAACTGGGCGCCTTCCAGAGTCGATTGGTCTGATGTCAATGGTAAGCTGAGTGTTTTCATTGAAAGATCCTCCGTAAGGCACTGGCTGCGGAGCAATAGGTCTCGGTCGTGGCTCTTTTGGAATTAACGGATAATCTCTTGGCCTGTTTGTGTTCCAAGGTCGGAAATCTTTTGGAATTAATGGGTAATCTTTTTGTCCACCTGTGCTCCAAGGTTGGGGAGTCGACCACCAATTCTGCGATGGTTTGGGCTTATTTTGTCCGTGAAAACAGTGATGTGTCCAATCTCGTTCGTAAAAGTCACATCGGCGATCCTGAGTAAAGTCTCTGTGGATGTTAATCCGATTAGCCGGCGTAGATGTTAGTTCGCAGATACTTTTACCGCTTGCCTGAGCTCTGTAAATGAATAAAATATATTAATTTGATAAAGATGTTGAAAACTTGCGTAGTAGGTTGCTTAAGATTTAATTTAATATTTTTTATAAGAAATATGGATATTCATGTGGTGAAATTGTTGGGCATTTTGTCCACGCAAGTATCGAAAAATTGCATCCGCACTGCATGATGCAATGCTAAACCGGATGAATAATGCACATCACTTGTATGCATGATGCTCATGAATTATAATTTAACCCACATATTTCCCTTCCTAGGATATGGTCACGCCAAGCGTGGATAATCGCTAAAATTTATCGTTATCGTTTTTTCGTTAATAATGATGAAACAATTGTTTTTATAGTAAGATAATAAGTAGATTTTGCGCTTACGTATCTCTAAATGAATAACGTGGCTTTTGTCAATTATTCGAAGCATTGTTGTGAAATTTACTAAATGTCTCAAAGAATTTTTCCTAATTAGATTTTCACGCAATAAATAACAGCTTATCAAGAACAATTTGATGATCGGCCGTCTCTCAAAAGAAAAAAAAACAAACATTTTTAAGGATGCTCTTTCTTTATTTCAAAATACTTGATTCTCCAATAAGAAATAGATAAAAAAATAAAGTAGGGGCTAGAAAAATACAAAAAAGAGCTAGAAAAAAAGGAAAAGCTGCTAATAGAAAAGTCCAAATATAACGAGTTTTACAAAGAGATATTACAAGAAAGTGAAAACAGCTATTGGAAAAAAGATCAAATTAAAAGTGAATACAAAGAGGTATGGGCAAGAACGAGATGTGGAAATCTGTGGAGAAGTGGAAAAAAAGGGCAAAAGAATTGGGAATGCAGAATATGCAAGAAAGAAGAGGAGATACTGATGCATTTATTAAGCTGTTCAGAGATAATTGAAAAAATAAGTGAAAAAGGGCAACAAGCAAGAAACAAGTGGATGAGCGTACTAGAGGGGGAATTAACAAGAGAAAGATTAATGATAATTTTAAAAGGGGAAATAAATAGGGATTTGTGTATATATGTTAGAGAAATGGAAAGATTATTTAAGGAAATTGAGTAGTATTACAATATTGAATGTCAGAAAAAGGCTGTCATGAATATACAGGGATAGATACTAGGAATAAATATGAAATAGTATTAATAGTATTGTAATGCGACTGTGATATGAAGGATGAGGTGTGTAAAAAGTTAAAAGAGAGTACAAACAGTTGAATTTTAAGCCAAAACTAGTGTATATGCAAATGTAAACAAATAAATTAAGATACAGTTTTGTAAAACGCAACATGTGATACAAATAAAAACGATATTCTACTTGATTCTTCAATAAATAATTTTGGTTCATTAAGTTGAAAAAAAAAAAAGTTCTTTATTATTTTAGATTTCGTTCAAAAATTAGTCTCCTCAAGATTTGATTCTTGGGTTGTACTATACACTTGAAAAATATTTATTTTGACTGGATAAAAAACAAGAATTTTTACAGAATATTCGATTGAATTTCAAACGATTAAAAAAAAAAATTATAGCAAAAATTTCACGTAAAGAAGTAATTTTCTAATGCTTTTTATTCATCAAATATCACTAAAAAATAGTTAGATTGATCTATTGATTTCAGTATCATTCTTTTTCAATTTACTTTTTTTACTCTCGAAAAAATTCTATAAACACCTTATACGCATATTCTTATAATTAATTAGTTTCAATTAAATAATCTTAAGATTAATAACTTATCGTTTGAGATTCTTAAAAAAGTCATTGTAAATTAAAAATTGTATTTACCTGTAATTAAAACCTTCACACCTAAATGATCCTTCGTGCTCACACATCCGATAACAATCTTGCAATTTATTGCAATCCATTGATTTTTGTACAAACGCATGGACAATGCGTTTACCCGAAACCATTCTTCGGAAACAAGCTAAGAAAAAAATTATAAAATTAAAAACAAAACATTGTAATTCATCACTAACTTTAAAATCCATATTACTAATAGCCGACTTACGATCATTACAATCAGGATCACGCACTATAATAACAGTATCAACGCTTATTGATTTTGATACAAAAGTCAATAATAACAATAATAAAAAAATCCGCATTTTAAGCATGTTAATAAATAAATAGGCAAAAACAAAAATCATCTGTTTTTAAATAAATCAGGTGTCAACATAATTTATATTTTTAAATTTGTAAATTATCATTACGGAAGCTCTCGGAAATCAAAAGGATCGTTTGGGTCGAGCAAATAAAGTAATCAAATACGTGAAAACATATTAATAAAAGTAACAAACTGACCGTGGAAAGAAATGAAAAATAATAGCAAAATTATAAGACGTACATCGTTATTATATATGGAAAAGTGAAGGTTTGTAAATGGTGGGAGAATTTTTATTACATAGTCGGGAGGGGCTTTGTGTGATGTATATCGCAGGATTAAATCAAGTTATGCTACTGACAATCATCCTCATCATTGTAATTATTAACACTCTATTATTACAGATGCAATTATCACTTACCATGAGTTTCGTATGTGTATACATGATTTTTAACACCTACAAACTTTTATTCCTCCATTAAACTACCAGCTTTACGTTATATGTATTTTTACATTTACATATATAAATTATAAATTAAAAACAAAATAACCAGAAATTAAATGTTTTAATTGTCATGACACAAAAAAAAATATTTTTTAGCTGACCTTGAAAGTTCTTTAAATTATTTCAAAGAAGTATTTATTCTCAACTGTTTAAACTTCCTTTTTTAAGACCATTACGTTCCAGAATTGTGAACAACTTCATAATTACATTATCTCTAATTAAAAATTTTTATTATTTCTTTTTTTGTAAGTCGTAATTCTATTTATTTTTTCAAACTAAATCGATATACAACCAATTAAATATATTTTTAAAGTTACGGTATGAAACTTTGAGATTGAAAATTAGTTTTCCTTCATTAAAAAATAGAATAGTATAATTAATCCATTAATTTTTTCATTAGCGAAGATTTTTTTAGAAGAAATGTAAAAAAAAAAAACAGAAAAAAGTGCATATAATACAGGATGCTTCTCTTACTTCTTCCGGTAAATTAGCTTCAAGTTTAGTTTTACAGAAACACTTTTACTTTTAAACAGTGTCCTTTATTCCTTTCTACATCTATTAATCACATATGTAATTAAGAGTAGTCGTTAAATGTACCCCGATATTTTCAATTAATGTATTCCGTAATAATTTTACTATTTTTTTTTTTTGTTACTTGTTACATATTCAAACATTTGCATTAAGTGGTCGATATATGAATCAATATATATATTTTAAAATAAAGGATGTTTCAATAAATTTGATTTTATATAATCACAGTTTTTAATCTTCAGAATAAAAAAACTATTTCGTTAAAAATAAAAACATCGAAGTCTTGATTTAATTTTTATGAAAAAAAAGTAATATATTTTTATATATTTTATTATAAGCGACAATAGTCATCAAGATAATAATCAATGCATTTTTTTTAATTACAGTGATCAATTTTTAAGATTTTTTTTTAACAAATAAATTAATATAAAAATAATTTAAGAAATTATTGTTGAAACTTTTGAAAAATTAATAATTCTCTTAATAAAAAGTTCAAAAAAGAATTTTTATTTACATAAATTAATAACTATTATATTAACCAAGAGCTATTGATTTTCTAAACATCAAATTGTTGGCTAAGAAATTCTATCAATTCCATTACGGAAACATCAACAAATAAAAATAAACACCTCCTATAAATAACTAAGAACAGTTCTAACAAATTGGCTAGTATAAGAGAATTTAATTGAGTATTTATTTTTTTATGACGTATGTGGAAGAAAAGAAGAAAGATGTAGGTGTAAAAAATGAACATTTACATTGTTCATTAACGATGTAATGATGAGCGTTGCTATTATTCTCCGCTCGCACGATCCTCACCGGAAGTTAATATAAGTGAGAGAATGTAATAGGGTAAATGTACGTAGATTTGAGCGTAGAAACTGTGTCAATGCCATCGTTTCGTAGTGATTTGTCGATTAAGTTATTAATGTAAAGTCTAATAAATAAACACCGATAATTGTTCTTCCATTTCCATTTTTTTAATTGTTGAAAAACTTATGTACCAATGATAATTATCGTTTTATCTTTATTTTAGGTTTACTTAATCCGTCACTGAGAAAAAAAAATATTTTTGCTCAATTAACAATTTCTTGGTTCAAGAAACTCGTTGACGATTAAATATTCTATTATTATTAATTATTTATTTCTGAAGAGAAGAACATCAATATTTATCTTTGGATAATAGATAAACGAAAGAATAGCTTTATTTAACTCAAGTAAAAATTATTTCAATCAATTTAAAAATTTCTTGAGCTAAGAATATATTCAAGAACATAAATTCTTGTATCAAGAAAATTTTCTTAATAAAAGTTTTTTTTTTTCAGTGGTTATTGAACAGCAAAAAATTTTTTCTCTTACCTTTTTCTCCTTTTAATTCAACTTGATTTGACTCGAAAAATTGTGCTTCTGGACTTTCCGAAAAATTTGGTTCATTTTGATAACTTTAAAAATTATTTTTTATTGATCATATCTATTAATCATTAAAAAAATATAAAAAATTACATAAATAATTTACCCGGAATTCAGCCAAAAGTCATCATCAGATGCAAATTCAAAATTCGATGGGTCAATTATTTTTTGACCAAAATCCGAAAAAAATTCGATTGCCGTAGGATAATTCTTATCATCATAATCTTTTTGAATAGAAAACGTTTCAAAATCTTCTAACGGATGGACTATTTTTTGTCCGAACAATAATTCACTACTTTTCTTTTTCTTTATTTTAGGTATTGAATTATCTTTTACTTTAAAATTATTCGAGTAATAAGATTCAAAATCATCTTGATGTAGAGAAGGGTGACTCATCGCATTTACTTTAAAAGGATTACTGTGTTTGTAATTATTTGTTCTTTTATTTTGTAAAATGTCAAGTATTCTAGTCTGATCATCATTTTTAGAAGTCGGAATTTCACGGAACGGTAATATTGAATTGCTCTGATTTATTCTTTTTGTAAAAAAAGAGTTTCCAAAGTTATTTTCCCAATTTGAATTCCCAAAAATTCTTCCAGCATTCTTATTATTTATAGTTAAAGTAGGAGCCGTTTTTCCGTTATTTTGACTGTTGACAACTGATTGGAATAAATTTGGTGAAATATTCTGACCAGTTCGACATCCGAGTAAAGACACACGTCCTTTGGCGTAAACGTCATAGTTCGTGTCAGCAGTGAATGTGGTAATGTTTTGCGTTATATTTTGTCCGAGCATACATGTACCATTTCCCCTAGCTCCCACGCTGTGAAAAAAAAAACAGGTAGATAAATTTATAATCTAAAAAAAGTGAGTACTTTATATTATTAATTAAATCACGAAGATTAAAATTTTTTAATTATTTTTTTAGAAAATATGCGGAATAACAATAACAGTATACCCAAAACTGAAATAACTGCACGATGTCCTATTTGCTGAACATGCTATCTCGCAATCTGAAATACTTAATGCTTCAAATGTCGCTGTCACTGAAGAATTTGGAAGACGTGATCCAATTAGTATTCTTCTATAACAATCTAATTAAAATAAAAGTTTTGTTTTAGTTGTTGATATTAATATATGAATGAAGGTATTTTCAAACAATACTCCTCACTTTTTAAATTATATTTTATAAGAATTGCTATCTTGCTAAGACATAGAATTTTGATTTCAAGATTTTGGTCTAAGTTATGAGACTGAAGTTGACAGACATTACAAATTTTTTTAGAATTGTATAGCAATTAAATTATTATAAAATAAATTTAACAAAAAAATTCTACATGTGAAAATTAAAAAAAAATTATAAAAATTCTTTAGAGCATTTTTTTTTTTTAATTAATTTGTTATAAAAATTAAAAAATTTTAAATTGTCTGCTAATTTCAGTATTATTCTAAATCAATACAAAAAAGGTTATTTGATTGTAAGTAGATAACAATTAGAAAATTTTTTTAAAATTTGTGTCTCAGCATAGTTGTACCTAATTTTACATTCCTTTCAATTGGTAAGTTTTTTTTTAATTTGCTATTGAAATTATACACTGATAAAAAAAATTGGCCTGAGTTACAAGAAAGAATCTTAAACCAAGGGAATAATTTGGAAGAATTTTTAAGCCTAAGTTTTCTGTTTCAAGATATTCAAATTTTAAAAATGATTTAAGACTCTTGATTATGAGTAAAATTAATTGTTCTATCAGTGAAATAAGACTTTTTTAAGGATTAATCAAGATTAGTATAGGGATCTGGAAATATGATGTAAAGTTTTCTATTTTCTTTCAACAATTAAATTGCAAGTAAAAAAATACTTTAAAAAAATTGCACGTATAATTTTTCACATTTTCTACATGTGAAATTTTTTCTTTTAATTTTTTTGTAATTATTTTATTAATAAAAAAAAATTGTAAAAATTGTCAGCTGTCTGCTAACTTAATTTTCAATCTAGAAATAATTTTTTCAAGGTGGTTGAATTAAAAAAAAAAAAAGTGAGATTTTTTGTTTGAAAATAACTTTAATTTTCATTTATGTTATTTTTTTTAACATGAAAACGAATTACCACTGGGAGTAACAAACAAACGATTATCAATGGTAAGATCTAACGCATGGGCATAGTTGAAAATACTAAGATAAACCATAAAAAATAATAAAAAACAATAAGTATATTCCCTCATCGGATTTATAATTCTACGTCTCTCCATCATCTCTACAATCTGACATCAGCATAAACCATGACTTTCTCATTCCGATAATTATTATTACATAAAGTCTTGAAGCTTTTTCGCCCTGAAGGTTGTCTGACTCAACTATTTATCTCTGATCAGTCCCGAAGAACATTAACACTTATTAACAAACATAAAACAATTTATTATTTTTGAAAAAATACTTATTTACATAAAAAAATTAATATATAAAATTACAAACATTACGTATTCACAACTTAATTACTAGTCACGTAAGATTGATTTCCCGTGATTTTTTTTACTATACTAAAACACAAAAGATAAATGAAATCTTGTTATAATTTCAAGCTGGATATAAGAACAAGCAATTGTTTACTAGAGTACAATTCGCATCAACTGGCTGGATCGAGTAACTGTATCACCATTTTATACCACGCTAAAGAAGTACCTTCTGTACATTCTAACTTATTCTCTTCTTCTTATACTTTTACTGCAAGAGGATGGGTCGTCAACCGATAACTTAAATTCTATTGGAAGCTATGCATAATAGTTTTTTTTTTAATAGACTTAATTTAACAGACAATCCGTCTGTTCGCAACACTTTCAAAAATCAGTATTATCATAAACTTGCACCCTTTTAACAACCAATAATTAAAAATAAACTAAAGTACAAAGGCGTGGCGAGTAATTTGTTGCATAAAAGCCTTTGAAATAGTTTTTAATAACTCTAATTAGTGTAATTTAACCACGACAAAATAATGAGACTCTAAACTTAAAACATTATCATCAATAGCATTGTCTTGGGGAATAGTTAAGTTTGCGAAACACTTGTGATTTGTTTGTACAAATCAACGTTTGAGAAACGGAAATTAGTTATTTTTAAAATAATTAGACGCACGCACGCCTCTTGACATTTTTGACAATCATTCACTTTATATACATGAGGATTAAATAAATAAAATAATTCTTTTTTTGTTTTTGTAACGGTTTGGAGTTTTTTTAATTTCAACTCATTTCATTAGCATATTTTAACAGAGTTAAATTTCTGCCTTGAGAATATCTCGGTTATAATTTTAATGAACACGCAGAATAGATCCTTGATCCTTGTCCACGAGAATTGAACGGATCTAAATAAAAGCGTGTCACGCTTCAAGAAACTCGTGTACAAACTAACAGTTTTGTATTTACCGGATGACGCATCGTTTCAGTTTAGTCTATACATCTACCATCTAAATTTTTGTTTTTTCGATTTTACTTATTATTATTATTATTAATATTAATATTATTATTATTATTATTATTATTATTATTTGCTTTGTCAGAATAACACGCATTACGTATAACAAGTTAATAATGTTACACGCATTTTTGAATGCTAAAATAATTATTTCTAATCTTAATTAATAATTAAGATAAGGAACTATTCTTCATAATTCTTCCATCATAGTGTTCTAAATATATGAATATAATTATTTTTTATTTTACCTAAATTTATAATATGTATTTTTAAGAAATATTGTGAAAAAAAAAATTTTTTTTCTAAAGCTTAATTTCTAATTAATAATATATAACTATAGAATTAAAAAAATATATTCTTCTCTATAGAGTAAAACGTAAACAACTGCGTACAAATTTCATCCATCGACATCCGGTACGTGAAAGAAACTTATCTTTCCTATTAATCGGATATTATACAATTTTAAAGCGAACTTCAGTTAAGTATAATAATTATTACACAGTATTCAGTACTATCTAATGTTTACACATATGAAATTAACACAAGCAGTCGACACACTGTTGTGAGAGTAATGAGAAAACATTTATTTCGTTAGCATGACAATTGTATTTCAATTCTCACGATTCTGTTTTCTATATCTTTTCACAACATTTTATTTCAATTTCTTATAAGTTATTTTGATTTTTAAAGCGTAGAATGTAAACAGGTACTTATTAATGAAATACCTATTTCGTAATGTTATTTTAAAAAATAGTTTTTACTTTAGCAACAAAATTTATAGACTTGAAAATATTTTCTACAATTAAACAATTCACTAATTATACAATCAATATGGTTTATAATTATTTTATACTATATAATTTAATTTCAACAATGAACGTTCAGATAACAACAAGTACAGCAGAACAAAAATGGGTACTAAATTGACTGAAATAAATACAAAAAAATAAAAAAAAAAACAATATACAAAAAGTTTAATTATGAAATTGTTTAGCACCCCGAATCCTCCTAGGGAGAGTATTATATCTCGGTATGACACATCGACTATAGCTTAATTTTAAAAATATTTCATTACTTTTTTTACTTCTAATTAGCAATTTTTTAATAAATCAAATTTCAACAAATTCCACAATTCAATTTCTGTAAATAATGTAACGATTCTACACTAAGCGTTTAATATTTTTTGTACTATAGTTTGAAATGAATAAACGATTACACATTTTATATTGAACTATTTACAATTGACTTTGGTTCATAGATAACTCATATAGCTTCATTCAATAAATAATCAAACATTTGAATAAAGCAGTTTTGAATTGTGTAAAAAAAGGAAACTTCAATTGTTCAATATCTAGTTTTTTTTTTTTTTAATACAAAAAATAACGATTCATACAAAAATAATTTGTTATGTTATTTAGATTGAAAAATAACGAAAATGCAGAGGCAGTCTTGCGCTTATCAGCTTGTCTATGTAAATCATTTCCAGCTGTTAAATCTTTATAAAATATAACACGATAAAGTACTTTTATTCAACCATTAAGTCGAAGTTATTTTGTGAAATAATAGCTATATTAACAATAAAAAAAAATTTTTAAAAACACGATTGTACGATTTCAGCAGCATGCTGGTCACAAACTGCGCTGCTAATGCATTAGCAGCACGCTGGTGGTTTTTCATGTATTCCATGAGCAATAGAATTAACGAGAGCCTCTTCACTCGATGGTGTAAGAGGAAAATCTGAATCAAAACTGCCTATTCCTGAACTTGGTGAGTCTCTCGATGTATGATGCTCGCCATTTTTTAATCTTTAAATAAATTTTATTTTTTTAATTTAACAATACTATTAAAAATTATAACAATATTAAATTTAAATTAAACTAGGGTAGAAGTACCGTTTGTGGCCACTGTACCGTTTATGGCCATTTATTGTTCAAATAAACGATTGAAATGAATTTATATTAATAAACCATTACAAACTCAATTTGTTTTAATATAAATTTTTTAAAACAAAAATATGGTTATACTAGACTATGCATTGGAATGCACGAAATTGAACCAGCAAAGAAGAATATCGGGGATCCCTAACTTTTTACAGGAGTCTCTAAGTTCGATTAAGTAATATGTAAAATTATCATTAGCACTATTATTATTATTGTTATTGTTATTATTACTATTATCATATTTATTAATTACTAAAATGTAAAATTATAATTGTAATAGCGGTCGCTAATGACTAACAGTTGAAGCGACCTAAATAATTAAATAAAAAAAAAAAAAAATATGGTTTTAATATTATAATTTTTTATAAATTAATTCAAATTTTAACTGACCAAAAACCGTGTTAAGGTGGCCAAAAACAGTACTTTTACCCTAATAATTAATAATTGTAGTCGAAATTATATTTTACCTAACTAAACCGATGGCAATAGATTGAAATACTCTCAGGATACCTTCATCATGAAGTACTGAAGTTTCGTAATAACTAGCTCCAATCATTGTTGCATATTTTTGAGCGTCTTCCGAATCAACTTTACGTTGATCCGAAAGGTCATTTTTATTTCCTACGACAACCAATACCATTGGCCCCTCAACATTTCTTCGTAATTCAGTGATCCACGATTTTACAGCAGAAAATGTGTTGTATTGAGTAATATCGAAGACTAAAAGAGCAGCGTTGGCATTTCTGTAGTACATTGGTGCCATTGATTTGAATCTTTCTTGACCTGCAGTGTCCCATATCTATTAAATTTTAATTAATGATGAAACTGTTATCCTGAATAATTATTTATAATTAATTAATATGATTACCTGAATCTTTACCCTTGTATTTTCCAAATTTATATTACAGTTAAAAAATGATGCACCAATTGTGGGACTAGCATGTGGATTTAATGATTTTCCTGAGTACCGACTTATCATACTGGTTTTGCCAACACCTGTAAATTAGTACAAAATTTATTTTAATAAAATTGAGGTAGATAACTATAAAAAAAATAATTATTGAGTATGAAAGATAATTTAATCAAGTAATTTGTGCAAAAAAAATCACCTTAACGTTATAGATAATTATGTGAATAATAATTATATCTTAGAGATAAAATGCGTCATAAGCTGTATTTAAAATAATTCTTTTAAAAGAAATAATTATAATGTTTGGCAATTAATATTAGTCAGGTAAATTAATTAATAATATTGCTTTTATAAATTTTTCAGTTTAATTTCAAACAATAAAATTTAATGAAAATATAACTTTTGACATTCAAATATAGTATTGTCAACACATTTTTTAAACAAAAAATACATTTACTAATTTCTGTTTGTTGAGTGGTGTAATTTTTTTAATTAATTATTTAAGAGATATTTAAAATAAAATGAATGTGTCAACTTATAAGCCAACATTTCTGATTTGAATTAAATAATAGTAGTTATTTTAATCAACTTCATAAAACGCATTTTCTTTATGATATGACGAATACATTGTTTCACTATTATATTGTGATAAAAATAAATCAGTAATAGCGAATGATGACTTCCCGTTTAAATAACACTGACTAAAAAAATAGATTTGATAAATTAAATATTCAAATATAAATGATAGTATTTTAAAATTTTTTACTCATAAATAGAAATCAAAATCATCTTTTTATTGTCTTCTAGTGAAGTAATTATTAATATATATTTAACTTGACAAGAAAATAAATAATTCAATGTTAATAATATTTATAATTAATCATCCATGATATTAATAATATACACTTGGAGGATTAAAGTAATCTCAAAACTTAAATTCTCAAATGATTAATCTTAAAATATCTGCGTTGTCCAGTTGTTGACATTGTGATAACATCCGAATACGTCATGAAAATTTAAGACCCTATCAGGAACACGTAATTATTATTATATAATTATCGAATATCTAAATGACGATAAACGAATAAATAGATAAATTTTTTTAAGAAAAAGAACATAAAAAACATACCTTGAGAACCGAGCACTACTAATTTTCCATCTACTGTGTTCATGATGACTATCTCGAAATAATTCGCTACATACTAAATAACAGGTTGCTTACTTTCAAAGTTATTGATTGTAACCTTAAGGACCTTAAATAATGAATATTAAATGATAATAATATGCTTATGTACATTTATGACTTAATCATTTAAAAAGTCTAATCTATATAACTGTTTACGGCATTATTGTTGATGTTGATGAGTTTACTAACCTTGTGGTGATTGAATATCAGCACAAAGCACAAAACGCACACTGTAATAGACGAAAACAGATTTTATTATTATTATTATTATTATTATTATTATTGTTATTGTTATTCTTTTGGCTCTGGGTATTTTTTCCCATTCGGCCGTTGGTAGATTGTGTGGTGGGTATAGCTGATGTGTTGGTTAGGTACTGGCCTTAACCTAGGCGGCGCTGGAGCGAACCTCAGAGAATCGAAAGATATCAACAAATGTGAAAAATCTTTGGACTCGCTGGGGATCGAACCCGCGCCTTGCCACATGAATTGTACGAACGGACTAACGCATTGAACCGCTCGGCCAACATCGAGGCGAAAACAGATTTTGACAGTTAATAAAATGCAAAAAGTAACAGAAGGAAAGAGGTATGTATCGTTTCTGGTTAATGCATAGTTTGAATACTACTAGAGTGTGCTCTTTGCAAATTTCTGGTCAGCTGACTAGACAGCGGTAAATTTTTACAAATTTTCGAGTGTATTGTATTGTAAGAAATTTATTTTTTACATTATTATATGTAATTATTAATTTTTATAGTATTTTTTATTGTGTATTGTTGAAATATTTGACATGTATTTTAAGATTGAGGTAGGAGAGGATATAAATGTGTAAGGATTTATTTGTTAGCTTCATGGTCAGGAAATATATTCAAAACATAAGACAAATTAATTAATATCCATTACTTAGTCCATAATAATTTGTTTGAGTTTATTTTTATGAAGGACCGAAAACATTTATGAAAATTAATTTAGCAGATATTTAGTAATTTTTAGAACTTTTGTTACAAATAAATTATGGAAAAGAAAATAAGAAAAAAAAATGGCCAAGAAATTTAAAAAAATTAAAAATGAAATTTTTTAAAAATAAATTTTTAGAATTAATTTAATTGTCAAATAAAATCAAAAATTAGTCAAGTAACAGCCAACTTTAATGTCATAAAACATTTGAAACAATTGCTTTTGATCTTATAAATTTTTATTAGGCCCCAAACAAAATTGTCTTGTTTTGGTAACCTCAAAATTAATTAAACGAGTAAAATAAACCAAAGCTGATATCACTTAAAAAAATTATAAATAAAATAAAAAAGTTTATTAATTAAAATTTATGCATATGCACATACTGAAATTACAACTGGCATATAAAAATTTTATATTGAGTTTTAATTGAAAAATTTACTGTTGACGACATCTAACGACCAAAGGTAACTTTACAAGCTCTTTCCATCTGAGATTTCAATTATCTATATTTCATTTCTGCTCACACTCGTTACTCGTATGTATAACCAAGCTAAACTCATACGCAGTACACAGTACACAGTACCCGAAAACTCTTGGATCGAAAGGTCTGGAAAATTCTGTGAAAAAGAGAAAAAGTTGCGTCATGTAAGTAAATAATTTTTTAATTTCATATATATCAATATTTGCGATAATTTTTAACTTTTTAAATAATATTTTAATTAAAAAAAAACTTTATTTTTTTTTTTTGTACTCTAATGAGTGAATAAATTTAACAAAATACTGAAAGTCTAAAGTAAATATTATTATTGTAGAAGGTGAAGTTACCTCTATACAACAGCAGTTTAAATATCTAGAACTTTATTAATATTGATAGAAATAAGAAATGTCTACATGGGATTTTGTAATATCGTTGTTACATTTTTAAGTACAGTGCTTTACAATCCTCTTTAAAAAAAATATATATATTAGCAGGTTATCAATTTATAAAATCACAAAATTTCAAAAATAGTCGGCTTTTAATTTAATAATTTTTTATTTATCACTAACATTATTTAAATAAGAATTACAAATTTATGTTAATTGTCTTATTTTTATTTTTTTGCTTAGAATTTGAACTAAAATCAATAACGATGTTGTTGGCAAGAGTTTGCCGAGCTACAGTATCACCCCAAGTGATATCTCTACTGAAAACACCCGTGGTTCCTAAAGCTCCTCGTATTCAAGGATCTAGATTATTTGCAAGCGATGGAAAAGCTTTTTATACAAGATCAGCTCGTAAAAGAGCAACGATTATCGAGGATGCAGTTGCACCAGCTGGTGAAACCGGTATAATATTACAATAATAATAACCACCAGTTTAATAATTAATATGATGCAATAGTCATCATTTCTTATTTTCCGAAAATGACGTATTGTGCTTTTATGTTTAAGCGACTAATATTGGCAAAGGATTCGTTGCTGGCTCTGCTGTCATCGGAATTGGAGCTTTGTGTTACTATGGAGCAGGTCTCGCTGATAGAACTGGTGCCATTGACCACGCTAGGTAAGTACTTACTTTAATAAAATACTAATAAATTTACCATTTTTACAATTATCAAGATGATACCGAAATTAACAGACATCTGACAATTATTCGAATTTTCATAACAAATCAATTATTGTAAAAAGAATATTTTCAAAAATTCACAGTTATAATTTTTTTTAATTTCTACATGTAAAATTTTTTCGCTAATTTTTTTTTTACAATTAAAAATTGTTACACTGAAAAAAAAAAAAATTAACTTTAATTAAGAGAAAAATTCTTAAACCAAGAATATAATTTTGAAGAGGGTAATTGTCTTGAATCAAGGCGAAAAATTCTTGAAACAAGTAAAATTTCCTTAAATCAAGAATTTTTCTACTCAAATCAAGAATATTAAGTTATTCAAAATTATATACTTGATTCAAGAAAATTTTTTTTTCTGTGTAGATGTCCGTTATATTGAGTATCATTTATCAAGAGATAAAAGTACAAGTTTTCTCAGATATGATGTTTTGCAACCAAATTTTAATTTAATTAAATCTTAATTTCATCAGATTTTGGCCAGAATATGTGAAAGATCGTATACGTTCAACATACATGTACTTCGGAGGCTCAATTGCTATTAGCGCAGCATCCGCAGCTTTATGTTTGAGATCGCCAGTTATTATGGGGATAATGTCTCGAGGAGGATTTCTTGCTTTCGCAGGAACTTTAGCAGCAATGATTGGAGCAGGACTTTTAGTTAGAAGTATACCTTACCAAGAAGGTTTTGGTGCTAAACAAGCTGCATGGATGCTTCACTCTGGGGTAATCGGTGCCGTTCTTGCACCTCTTTCACTTGTCGGTGGACCTGTTCTTATAAGAGCAGCTTGCTATACAGCAGGAATTGTTGCTGGTCTATCAGCAGTTGCAGCATGTGCACCAAGTGATGAATTTCTTAAAATTGGTGGCCCACTTGGTATTGGTTTAGGGGTTGTATTTGCAAGTTCAATTGGAAGTATGTTTTTACCACCTACCACAGTTATTGGTTCTGGATTACATGGTATAGTTATATATGGTGGACTTGTACTCTTCTCCGGATTTTTACTTTATGATACACAAAAAATCATCAAGCGGGCTGAAACTCACCCAGTAACTTATCAAAATTATGGCTACCAAACAAACGCTGTGCTGCCATTCGATCCCGTGAATAAGTAATTATTTATTAATTTTTAAAAACTTTTTTCGTATAAATGAATGAAAATTTTAATCCTAATTTTCTTTTTTTTTTTTTTTCAGTGCTATCTCTATTTATCTCGATACTGTCAATATATTTATAAGGATGGTATACATATTTTCTGGCAATGGTGGAAAACGCAAGTAGATGCTATACCTAACCCATCATCTTATTTTTTTTTTACCATATTAAAAATTAATAGTAGCAAGATTTTAAATCCATTGTAAACTTTTAAGTATTTATATTTAAGTAAATATTAAATTTAATCATGTTGAATAGTAATTATAGCAAAAATCTGAATCTATTGTAAATTATTAAGTATTTGTATTTAAGGAAATATTGCATGTAAATTATCATAAAATATAGAATAAATTCTTGCAAATTCAAATTAATAAATAAATTTTATTGTCGATTAATTAATCAAGCAAAAATAAATAACATAAAATAAAATTTTATAAACGAGATTTTGAACAGATAGTTTTTTTTAAAAGGGAAGATTGATATTTATTAATATATGATATATCCCACTAATACATACTTAGTGATAATTAAATGATAATTTTCGCATATTTTTAACGCATTAAAAAAATTAATTTTTTTAAATATTTAATTAAGCACTGACGTAATCAGGTCGACCAGGAGTTGAATATCTTCTCAAATAACCAGCAAATAATTGTCGTGCCTGTGAAAGTACTCGAGCAACATTGTGACGTCGAACCATTTTATCAAAGTGCATCGCCATTTCGTTATAATCCATTTGATTGCGCATAATAAAATCTCGATGTTGTAAAAGCATTGTAATACATAAAAACATAAGAAAAGGATTACCGCCACCAAACTCGGATGGTGGAGGTAACAAACCCGTTAGTTGATCATCACATGTTCCAGCTGGGATTAATGCTGTTAATTCTGTCGCTTCTTCACATTGCTCTTGTGTTACAGTTAATTGATTATCTAAGGCTATTGCACTTTCTCGCCAACTATCAGGAGATTCATTATCAGATGTACAATCCGTTCTGTTATAAATATTAATAAAATTAATAATTTTTTTTTACAAAATCTTTTGATTAATTTGAGTAATTATTATATTTAAAATAAAATATAATATATATATATATATATATAACAAATTATAAAATTAAAGATTTGAAACGTCTTTGATTGCGCAAACATTGACTGACTCTACTGATTTGTTCAAAAGATATTGTAAATTAAAAATAAATTATTCAATTAATAATTTTAGAGTATTAAAATAAAAAATCCTTACCGAGCAGTGCGTTTCAAGAGTCTGATAGGAGTCACAGACTTGACACCATTTTGGTCTTCTAATATTTCACCATCGTATTCTGTCTCAGTTGATTCATCGGGAGTAGTGACGAATGCTGAAATCTTATTTTTTAAGGAATGTAGTGGATTTTCCCAAACAAAGACGTCAGCTGCTGGACTACATTTTGGTACTTCAGTATCAAATTCAATTTCACTGTCAGGTTCGTCAGAATCTTGTTTAGACGTAGCACAATCACTACCATTTGCTTCATTAGAAGTAGATGAACCAAAAACTTGTCGATCTAATGATTCTAATTCTAGTCTCAGTTCTCTCGTCATTGAAGTAGTCATAGGATAAAAGTCAGTAGGGTCATCTGGTGAACCAGCATCATCTCGAACAACACGAATAACACCATTCTCACTAGAAACTCGTTTAAGTTCACGTTTATCACTGGGGCCTACTTTATTTCGGTTTAAAGATGTAAAATTAAGAAATTCATTGAGATTTTTGACAACTCTTGCACATTTTTTTTCATTTTCCGTTAGTTCATTAACTTTTGTTTCATCCAGTGATTTTGTGGTTTTTATTTCATAAGAATTACTACTTATTTTCGATTTAGCTTCCAATGCTTCGTTATTAGATAATCTATCTACTAATGTATTGTTTTTTCGATTTTTTGTTGAAGTTATTTGACTATCTGTCTCAGGTTCAATAATTTTTGGAGATGTTGATCTTAAAATAAAAAATATAATTAAAATTAATTTTATAAATTCCTATGCATAGTAATGATTGTTAATTAATTACCTGTTTTCAATAATACTAGTTTCACCGTGATCATCAATACTGGAAAACTTTTTCTTTCCGCTTGCAATACTAGCAGATGAACTAAGCCGCCTGATAGCACAAACTTTAGTGTATGCATTTTCTCTGATGTGTTTAATATTTGGACTCGGTGGTGGTGTTGGAGGTGGAAATGGAACTTCGGCAAGGTGAAGCTCATCTTTAGGCGGTGATGCCGGTAGTGCAGCCCAAAGAACTTCCAGCATTCTCAGGGCATCTTCTAATGCAAACTCCCGTTTCATTTCCAGCAATAACCAACGATAACAGAATAATAAGTCGTCTGCTTGATGAGATTTTAGATAGGCATAAAAATCAGGATCATAGCATTGAAGACCTTCTGCTAAATGTGTAAATTTAGTTGTCATTGCAATACCATCAAGCATAAAATTATCCTTGAGTCTTCTCATTAAAGCACATAGGCAAATATACGCTTGTGCTTCATCGCGCATAATGACTAAAAGTGGAGACGCAAGATCACTCATACCCTGACAATAACTTACGCTTGGATGATTTAATGCATAAGTTGTTAAAATATTAAATAAACTTGCAATATTTTGATTATCATCTGATCCACCGTAAAATTTGTGATGTCTATCAGTTCTTAAAACATCTTTACGTACCATACTTGTAACGTAACTTAAATCACCAACATTTTGACCTTTCTGCATCAGTGACTTCCATCTTTCTCTAAGTGATTGATATTCTTGAGCTTTTCGTTTCATATAGTCCATTCTCTCTCGACCGGACATTCCATCCGGATAAACATTTAAAATATGTTTCCATACTACTTTTCTTAAACTTGGTTCAATGCCTCCAAAATAAATTACCGCCCGCAATTCTTTTGAATGTATTACTTGACCAATTGGATCAAGAAACTTTCGAAATTCAGCATCAGTCAATGGTGGTCGTGGTGGTTGAATATTTTGTTGAGAAGATTCTTCTCCTAAGTTTCCTAGTGCTCTTTGAACCATGTTAAATGTTTTTTCTACTTTGTTCATTATTAAGCCTGGAAGTTTAGGAGTCTTGTATGGAAAACCAGACTCTTGTTTTATCGTTAATTCTCGACTACTCTGTTCCCAATCACAACCACAGTCACCAGATTCTCCAAAAGGTTTTAAATTTACTTGGAGATATAAGTAAGGCTCCGAAGCACTAAAATATTAATTTATATATACATATTATTTAATATGACTCATTGATTCATTTGTTAAATTCAACAATGAAGAATATTACCTGATAAATGCAGCATCCAAATCCCAGTCAGAAAGTAAAAATAAATAAGTCTCTGAGCCGTAGTCATCTATCGCTCGATATGATACGGTAAATTCTCTGTCAAAAAAAAAAAAATTCAATAATATTCTTCAATAATATATTTTTAAATAATAATTAAAAACAAAAAATGCATTCTTACCCTTTTATATCAAACGCTTTAATCAATATACTTTGCAATACTTCGATAGATGTTATTTGTGGGTCAACACTAAACTTTCGGTACTCTGGTTGATGTCTTGTCTCACACTTCTAAAAAAAATTTCTTAATCAATTATCAAATCCTAAAGATAAATACTATCTAAATTATTGAATGGTTTTACCTTTACTTTAACTCTTACGGCCTCACGAGGAGAGCCGAACATCTCAGTCATTTTATATCAATAATTTTAATATTCCTTAGCTAATTTTTTTTTAAGTAAATTTATACATCACATACAATCATTGATATTAGTCTTTATCCAGGACACCGTGAAGGCCATCACAGACAGTAATTCTCGTTGAGAAATATTCATTGAAATTAAAAGAATAATAAGCATAAAAAATTAAATTACTTGAATCAATTTGATAAAAATAAAATTATAATACAAAAATTATTTTACTTCTCAGAAAAAAAAAAAAAGATCAGAGAGGAATGTTATAAAACACATATGGAAAAAAGGTTACACGTTAACGAATAAATGAACATTAAAAATAATTATTCATCAAATAACTTCCGTATAAGATATCATTAAAATTATTTAGTATTGCTTTAAATATCACATTGAATTATTATTAAATTCAAACAAACAAGATCACTTTTTCTTTTTCATTTACTTTAGAACACGATCACATTGTTGAGTTTTAGTGTTAGTTATTGCTATTGTAAAATTTTATTTTATAGTATATTATTTACTTTTATCGGTGATAGTAAAATTTTTCGATTACTTAATTTTATTTTATTTTCAGTAATGGGTTTCTAATATTTACGATTTTTTGAATAATTTATTCGGTTATTGGTGGTATCCAACAGAAAAATCATTAAATTAACCTATATATATATATACATATACATATATGCACGTGATGTATATCTATACTTATATATTTATGTATAGAAAGTTGTTTTTGAAAACACAAACTATCTACATGATCACTTGCTGGTAAGAAAAAAAATTTTTGTTTCAAACGACATTTAGAATTTCAAACATTTTGTTTAAAAAAAATTGACTTCAAAACTATTTTATGCAAACTTAGTACCATCTTTTATTCTAAAGAATTTATAGTAGAATATGAGTACTTAAATTTTTTAAAATGGAGTTTTTCATTTAATTTTGTCATGTAATCTAAAAAACTTATGACAATAGGGCAAAGTATTATGCATTTAATTTTTAAGAAATTGAATTTTTTTTTAATTTCTACATGTCAATTTTTTTGTCATAATTTATTTGTTACAAAAATTTGTTAAATTATTGAATATCTGCTAAATTAATTTTCATATAAAATTTATTCTAGCATAAATATGCTGAGGGTCATAAGAACAGGATTCGTTTTTTTTTTACCCAGTTTGCTTATTGTAAAATTCTTTCAAATTTTACAATGAAGACTTATTTCATTTCTCCATATAAGATTGTACTTCTCAAGGTAAGAATTATTTGAATTATTTTTCTAAACTTTACTGAATTAGAAAAATGTTTTTATTTTTTGTTAATTTCAATGTTCAAATTTTAAAATAAAAACTAAAATTGTAAAAGTTCGGGAAAAAAAATAAATAACATAATCCCAAGTTTTATTTAGTCGTACTGAGATATTTATTCTTGTAAACGTTTACAATTCAACCACTAAGCATGAAATAAATATTCTTCATTATGATAAATAAATTCCATTTACTAGAATAAGTATTTAGCCTACATAAGTGTTTTTTCTCTTCAATCAAGTCACGTTTATTTTTTGATCTTAGTAACTCATAAATATTACTCATCAATTATTTTTGTGTAATTCTGTACAGTAAATTCACAGAGTCCAATTTAAGTTACACATATTAGTAACGATGACTGCGAACCAGATTTTTCTATTCCGAAAAAAAAATAAAAACTATCTTACTTAATCTTAATTGTAATTATTTTTTTCCGCTAGCATCAAATTATATATGACAAATTATGACATTGAAGTTAGCAGACGTCTAAAAATTTTTGATTTTTTTTTTTGTTAATTAAATTACAACTAAAAAGATATTTTTAAAAAATTGCACTCATAGTTTTTCAAGTTTTTAACATGTGATATTTTTTTTTTAATTGTTTAATTGAAACTTTTTGGATAAAAAAAATTTCTAAAAATTTTGAAATGTCAGCTAACTTCATTTTCATGACAAATTTGAGTAATTTGATGATAAGTACACTGGAAATTTTAGTTGGTAAAGACGGATATACGCAAAAAAAAAAAAAATAAATTCAGGATGCAAAAATTTCGGAGAGGTATTTGATGTACTTGGCTAATCTTAAAATGCCATTCAATTTAATGTACATATACCTAATATAAATTATGACTCTTGTATAAAAATGAAGAGTTCATTTTTTTCAATAACATCGATAATCACTTCGAAAAATGACGACTATGGAAAACTAAATATTTATGCAACATGTTTTTGAAATGAAGACACGGATTTAAGTGTATTGTAAAGTGGAAAAATAAGACTGTAAATGTATTTTATCTATTTAAGCATTAGATCTGAATTAAAAAACGTAATTTTTTTTGTTTTTTCGTATAGATATAGAATACGTTGAGTAAATATAGTTAAGAAACATAAGTTCCATGTATATCTTTTCTATTATTTATTTAAATTCATATGTAGTAATTTAATACCGGAAGGCAGTTAGTAAGCTGAATTCAATTGAAATTAATCATCCTGCCTAAATTACTTGTTTATTTATTTATTCATAAATCTTAAGACTGATACGCCTAACAATTTCTTCGTTTTGAAATATGGAAAAAAATTACATATGTTATATATGTACCTGATGTTATAATCACTTTTTGTCTAAAAAATATAAGACAAATTTCGAGTTTTTAAATTTACTGTACTATTCAATAAATAATATGATAATATATAGGAAGAATAATTGTGTAACTTTGAACGTTATGTGTTATATCACAATTTATGAAAATTAAGTTAGCCGACATCTAAAAATTTTTAGAATTTTTTTTTATTGAAAAAATGATTACAAAAAAATAAAAAAAAAAAATTCACTTGTAAAAAACTTTAGAAACTGTAAGTGCAATTTTTAAAAAATACTTTTTTGTTCTAATTTAATTAATAAAAAATAAATCAAAAAATTCAAATCGTTGGCTAACTTTAGTATTATTCACAATTTATAATAAATTCGTGAAAAAATCTTTAAAAAAATCTAAATCTAGGTATTTAAAAATTCTTTATTGTTTATAAGATGTAATTTATACAGAAAAATTAATTTTTCATGAATAATTAACAAAAAATTATTTTGTTAATTTTTCACCTCATTAGTATGAATATTAATAAATAAAGAAGAAAATTAGTTATGGTTTGTCATTGTTATTACTATAAAAATCTGAGTAATGTGTAGACAATGGATCTATTCATTTGTTTCTATAAAAGACAAATAAATCGTGTATACACATACATTGGTAGAAAGAATAATATTCTATAGAAAAAAAAAAACCGACAAAATTTCTAAGAATCCTGTATCAATCAATACATTTAAAAATATATACCAAAACATAGTTTAGTGTTACAGAGACATTTGATACGTTTGTGTATGCGTGTTTGTTTAAGTTTTGTGTATTGCATATTGCATTTAGTTTCCACGATGGATAGAGGTGTATAAAGAAAAGGAGAACTAAGTATCTCTGTGTAAAAAAAAGTGTCCGCTGAGAAAGAATCAAATTGGTGGCGTCACAGAAAACAAGTGAGTTAATTTTAAAAATAGCGGTAAAAGTTATTAGAGTAAGATAGTTGTCAAAATAATTATAACATAGGTAAATATCGAGGTGGAGTATCTAAAAAATATTATTTAATATTAAAAAAGTTGATAAACTTCTATATATTTATAATTTTAACAGTAAATTCCTTTTCATATTTATTATTAAAGCTCGGTGCTACGCTAGCGCTGTTTTGGTGAGTTTCTGAATTATAATTTGCAGTTTACCGCCAGACCCTTGGTCTTGCTTCGTCTCTCATCTTACTACACTGTAGTCCTTACCTTTACCCGCCATAAAATAATCCAAAGGCTTGATTAGATTTGAAATTTTTATTAACAATCTCTAATTAAGACTTGTAAGTAAGGATTTATAAATTAATTTTAATATTGATTTACACTCACAAAGAACCACTGAACAACTGTAATAATTTATTAATAATTGATACTTTTCAGGTTAAGTGATACTATTTATGTAAGTAAATTTGTATCTATCCAGTAATTGATAACACAATGGTTGGAATTCCAAACAAATCACTGTAAGTTTATAGTTTAATCCTTATTTATATTTTATTTCAAAATAATTAAATAAACCCAGAAAAAAAATAACTCTATGTTGTATCCAGATTTTTTTTAAACTATTTATTGCGTTTATATTGATTTATATTTCATTTTTAATTAACAACGATAATTTTCTGTTTAGCAACGGAGGTGTCAATCTTGTTGCAAAGCAAGATTACTTAGTAGATGACGATTTCTTTATGGGCGTTGCATATCTTATGGCAGAACTGAGTAAGGATCCATGTACCCAGCTTGGGGCTTGTATTGTTGATGAACGTGGACATATTGTAAGTACCGGTTATAATGGAATGCCATTTGGTTGTAATGATGACGAATTTCCATGGGGAAAACACAATGAAGATCCATTACAAAACAAGAGTACCTTTGGTTAGCAATATATTATTATTTATTATCATACTAAAAAAGTAAACATCTGATATTTTATTCCGGTCGTTTAATTAATTATTACAACATATAAATTTAAAACTGCTCAAGAAATAATTCACCTTCTGAAAGGAATGTTTTTCAACTTTTTTTTTTCACTTTCATTTACTTCTTTATTTGAAATTTTCGGATGTTTACTTATTTAATCACTATATTTCACTTACAATCATGGTCATCAATTTAAGTATGTTTTTAAGTTTACTGGAAAATAGCCATTTAAAAACTCGAACGTTTATGAACTATAAATTCGAAAATTAGTTGATAATGTCATTTGCAAAATTAGTCGCAAATAAAAAATGATATTTTAATGAAATTAGTAAATTAGAAATTTCACCAAATATAAATTCAGTCATTTATAAAATAGCGAAAAACAAAAATCTGTAGCTACGTAAATTTAGCCAATTCTTATTGCAGAAACTCGTAAAATTAGCCGATTGTAAACTTTGTGAATTGTAAAATTAGTCGTTCTTAAACTTCTTATAACTTTTGAATGGTTCGGTTAAATCTGCTCTAATTTTCAGAAAAACTAAATTTATGGAAATTCTTTTAGATGCCTCAAATCGTTTATTGATCCGTCGATACGTTCAAGAATTACGAGAGATTTAGAAATGGCTAATTTTACAATTCACAAAATTTACAATCGGCTAATTTTATAAGTTTCTGCAATAAAAATTGGCTATATTCACGTAGCCACAGATTTTTGTTTTTTGCTATTTTATAAATGACTGGATTTATATTTAGTGAAATTTCCATTTCGCTAATTTCACTAATATCATTTTTTATTTGCGACCAATTTTACAAATGACATTATCAGTTGATTTCCAAATTTAGAGTTAATAAACGTTCTAGTTTACAAACGGTTATTTTTCAGTAATATTAAAAACATACTTGAATAAATGACCACGATTGTATATAAAAACAAAATAGTTAATTTATTTTGCTTTTTTTAGTATGTCACGCTGAAGCTAATGCAATTTTAAACAAGCATTCACATGATTTGGAAAATTGTACTATGTACCTCAAACTTTTCCCGTGCAGTGAATGTGCAAAATTGATTGTACAAGCGCGTATTAAAAAAATTATCTACACCTATGATGAACCTGAGAAAACAAATTCTGAAGCTTCCAAAATTATGTTTGATGCTGCGTTTATTGAATACAGGTAAATGAAATTTTTTCTTACAGTTTATTTATATATTATACCTCTTGAATCATGAAATAAAAAAATATTTTTTTAATTAATTCTAATGTAAGATTAATAAAAGAACAAAAAATTACTTGAAATTATAAGTTTTATCACAATAGTTGAGTAAATATAGTAATGTAAAATTTTTTTAAGGTGTAATATTTTTTTTTTTTTTTTTTTTTTTTTTTTTTTTAAAGTAACAATTAAAATAATAGCTAGCTTAATAAATAACGACTATGACATCGGAATAAAACATAACTATACAAAAAAATTAATCGACAAGTCAAAGTTTATAAGTTAATCGATTATGCAATAAATCTTTAAGTATCCATAAAAAAAAAAAAGAAGGAAAAAAAAGTAATCAATTTTTTATTTTTAGACAACATGTTCCCAAAACTCCAACAATCAGAATCAATTTAAAAAACGCTGATTAATACTCATAAAATTATTTTACAAACGACACCATGGCGAAAAATTGTTTTTTGAAGAGAAATTTTATTACCATCTAATCGTATGTATAGTATTTTTATTATGAATACTTTTATCATTTTAGATGTGTTTTTGTGTTGATTAATTATTTTTATTTTTACAGACAAAATAATATGATGTATTTATTTACCATCAAAGTTTGACAAAGGTTTTTTGTGTATAAAAAAAATTACTTTATTAAAACATACAGTCTCCGCCATTTTAAAATTCATCAAAAAATTCATTTATTTCTAATTATTTTCGTTATGTTAACAAGAAAAAAAAGATTAATTATTTTTTAACAGTTCAATCAGTGTTAGCCTCGACACCACTTTTGTACGTTTTATTTAAGATATTTATAACTCATATCATTACGAAATAAGTTTGATAGTAAGCCAGTTCTTTATAATTGAAAAAAATATTGTAAAACAGATTCAATAAAATTGAAATAAACGTTTATGATTAATACACAGTAATATACGCAGTATTTAAGTCATAATTTACTTTATCTATCTTTTAAAATTGTATATTTTTTTATTTCACACGTGTATACTGATATACAATTCAGGAAAATACGCTATCTTTTTTTTTTGTTACATTGTCAGAATCTATGAATAATTTGATTAAATTTACACTTTAAATAACAAAAACATCAATCATGTAAAAATGAAAATGATTTATGGTTAATTATTATTAACATTATTTAATTCATAAATTAAATTTGAAAGATTATTTTTTTCTGATAGTATAAAACAATAGTATAAACCAGTTGAAGAAATTTTCATTCAATTTGAATGATTGTAAAACAAATATTCTCGAGAGAATAGCATAGAAATTCTTGTGTACTCGAACTTATTACAACCAACCGAAGTATTTCTGTTATAAACGGAATCATAAACAATTAGTCTTTACGCATTTTAAGATATACATTCTCATTTTTAGAATATAAAATGACGTCAACGTAAGATGAGAAAAATTATGAGATCATTTGATACATTATATAGAATTTCATGTTAAATAAACGAAATAATATCGATAAATTTTACTATATTAATGGCCATTTAATATACGCCGAACGACGTAAATTGAGATTCTTAGTTTAAACCGAGACTAGAGCAAAGGGAATATGGAGCAAGAGGGAAGAATGAAATTTGATATGATACGATGTTCGTAACTTCTCCCTCCTGCTTTCTATTCTGTAATATAATGTCATGTCATATTTTGACAATATTCACGGAAATGATAATATTAGTTTTGCATCTAAAAAAAATTTTCTTCGCTCATTTTTCATAATTTATTAGAGTACCTCAATACATAAATTGAAAAATGAAGTATACTTCTTTCTTCTATTTTTTTTTTTTACAAACAAGTATATATGTATAGAGAATGATAAATCATAGTTAAGGAAAAATATCATCAAATTAACATTAATCTAAAAATATTCAAGATTTTCTTGAGCAAATTACAAATAAAAAAAAAAAACTGATTAAAATACGCATAAAAATTTTGAAAATTTCTTCACTTGCACAATTTTTTTTTTCTTCAAATAAATTATTTATTAAAAAATAAATGAAATTATTATACGATTGTCTCTTTAATTATCATAATTATTTGCTGTTAAAATGTAATAATACTTAATACATAATAGTTTTAAAAAATCGAATGAAATAAAACAGTTCTTGTAAATTCTCTCCGCTTTTTGAATCTATTTGTACTACTAATAGCGTAAATATCGAAAAGTTAGTTAAAAGAAGTAATAAAAAAAAAAAAAAAAATTTCATTGGTGAGGTGAATAAGATAACATATAGTTATACAGTGGAGGTGGTAAACTGAAGACACCGCGTGTATGTGTGAGAATCATCTTCCAATACGTTTTTCGAATTCCATTAGTCAGTTGAATTACTACGATCGCCGGAATGTGAACGCACTCAATCAATAATTTATACCATTTAATTGAAGTTTAATAAATTAAAAAATTTTTTTTTGCATTAGTGATAAAGTTAATTATTAAATAATTAAAAATATGAATAAAAATCGACGACGAAAAAATAAAAATTTAATCAGGACATTGATAGTGTTTGCAATATAATTTTTCCATAAACAAAAAAATGTTTTTTATCTCGACGTTTTTAATATTGATAACTTTAATATTTAATTTAAGTGTAAATGGTTTTAATAATAACGAGAAATGTTGTCCGCCGCAAGAGATATTTTCTGTAAAAGAGAGCTCCAGGTGTTTTATTTCAAACAATGAAAATTCACCGGGCTATTACGATGCGAGAAACGAAGATTGGGAAATAAAATACTTGAAAGAATGTTTCAATGTTACCTCACGAAAATCCAGTCTCAATTCAACGATAGCGTCATCGATTACTTGTATCGATTTTTTGCGTAATAAAGATCTGTTAGATGCTTCATTTATTTATTATTGTAAACAAGATAGTAAAAATAATGGAGCTTCACGAGTTATGAATATGAGAAAATGTTGTCCCATAGGACAACGATATGATACTGAAATTCGAGAATGTATAGAATTTACATCAGGCGATTCAAGTATTTTAAAAGTTTTAAATAGCTTTAATGTCAACGTCAACTTCTTATCGATTATCAAAGGTTTTCCTATTTGTAAATACTCTATAATTGACTACATAATTAGCCGCGACGATCAACTATCTTTCGATAATAACACTATTAAGGTATGTTCTAATTTATTACATTTTTAAACGCTTTACTCAAAACAAGTAACCTTGGCGATACTTTACGTTTCACTTTTGTGTTTGCATTATATTCTGAGATATTTTTAGTTTCAATGAAGAACTTGTTAAAAAAAAAGGTTCGATATCTTATCGAAGGATTTCCTAGTTACTAAATAATCAGAAATGATATTAATATAAAATATTTTTTACAATTTTATTTGTTTTTACAATTATAGAAAGTAGTTTATGTATATTTATTTTTATCGATATTTTATATTAGCTATAAAATTTTCAATGAGAATATTTTTTAATAACTATAATTTATTTACCTACAAATTATTGATATTTTATTTAAATTTAAGATTTTGTCCAAGAAATAAAACTTCATATTGTTGTTTTTATGTCAAGTTTTTTTAATAAAAAACTTACATAGACATTTCAAATAGAGAGATTATAAGATATAAAATATGATACTTTAGTGTAAACTAAAATTATAAAAAAATTCATTTACATTCGAATGATTTTTTGCCACTAGTTGGATGGAAAATTTATTTGTTTTTTATAAATGATATTCATATTTGATTTCAATTATAATCGATGAAAGATTCTGTAAATAAAACTTTTTAAATATCTTCAACAGCTGTATGATACTCGTATTGTGAGACTTGATACGCGTATTCGTTGTGAGTTAAAATTTCTATAACTTTTAAGTTATTAGTTATTAATGTTAAAGTAGCTAAAAAGAAAAAAAATAGGTTCTTAACGATCAGTTTTTAAATATGATAAAATTTAAAAATATACTTATGACAGTAATATTTTCCAACTGCGATAAAACCTAAAAAGAATAAAGTTCTTGAGAAAAATTTTTATTAAACTTCCCACTATAAAAAGTGTAGAATAAAGCTTCATTTATTTTTAGGATGATGCTCGAGAACGATTGTACCAGTGACTTTTTATGTTATACTTAATTCCATTCGCTTTGGACGAATTAAATAACGATTTAGTTGATCTTTATATCTACTGAGGGTTCATTGAGACGTCAATTAACTCTAAGTAGAATTACGAAATTGCTACGTTAAATTGAATTTTATTTTCTTAATCAATAACATTTCATTAAATAAATTGAGATTATATTATTGGTCAAAAAAAAAAAAAATTTGAGAATATAGGCGCCCGGATAATATTTTTTAGCTTAAGTATTTTTATTTAAATTGTAATTATGACTTAGAGAGTTTAGATAAAACTTAAAATTACTATATATGTATTTAAGTCAAATTTGATATTTAACAAAAAGGCCATTCGGCAGCCGAAATGGAAGTAGATTTCATAATAAATATAAAAAAAAACTACTAGAATTAAATACAAAAAAAAAAAAAAATAATGACATCAAAACGAATGCAAAAGTAAAATTTCACTAAATCTGTCTGAGAAAGTATGTAATTTTTGGACTAGACTGATAATGAGGTATGCAAATTAAAGCTTACTTAATAAGCTTTCAGATGCAATTTACAGAAAATCGATGGGACGTCGCGTTCAATTGTTATCGCAGTAAAATACGAAAAAACTGAAAATTTTTGTAATTTTCAATAATTTTTGAATTGCTGTCATTCCTAAACTATTTAATTTAGAAAAATAGACAAGTATACAAATTAAAGCTTATTAAATAAACTTTCAGATGCAATTCACAAAAATTAAATATAATATCTCATTTAATTGTTATTGCACGAAAATACGGTAAAAGTGAAAATTTTTGTAATTTTTGAAAATTTTTAAATTGCTCCCATTTTTAAACTAATCGACCGATTTCACTCATCTTCGAACTTGACCTCGAAAATTGTCCTAAGAATGAGTATGTTACGTTTTATTACGATCCGTACAGAATTGCGGGAGTTAGAGAAGAGACAAGTTTATACATATATAAACTTTTGAACCATATGCATTTTCTGAATTCACTTGACGAGCTGAGTCGAAATATAGCGAAATTTTTCAAAAGTTTCGTCATGAGGACCAATGCAATAGTTAGATTTCTATGAAATCTACTAAAAAATCTAAAAACGGGTATTCAAAGTTTGCATTTTAAAAATGTTATTTCGAACTGCAATTTTTCTAGTTTTAAATTTGAAGCGACAATTTATAATGTAATTTTTTCCTTTCTTTTTAGACTTAAATTATAAAGAAACAAAAAAATTTTTTCTGACTTGTAAAATTTATATTTTATATGCTAGTAAGCCATTTTCATCATTTATCAATTTTGTAATTTTTTTTCAGATATCAATTTCATCAAATACTGGAGCTGGCGAAATTTCTATCAACGAAGACAATTCATGCCTTGACTTTGGATCATCTCAAGATACTTTTGTATTAAGAACATGCAGTAGTTCTGAATATTGCAAGCAAAATGCTTGTTTACGAAAATGTTGTCTAGAAGACGAAGCTTGGATTAATCATCAATGCAGAAAAATATCTTCTTTTGGAGGTTCCCATGCACATTTTCATTCTATGTTAAAAAATGTTATGGATACTACTCTTTCTAATACAACTTCATTGGACGTTTTAAATTCTACAGGTTACTAATAATTATCAAATTTAATAAAAATTAAATTATTGTATACTGTATTTGTCCTCCGATACATTTTTTTTATTATCAATTGTCAAAATTGTGATATTTATTCTTTAATTTAAGGCTATGGTCTTATGATTGGACAGCAATTCTGCAATGATAGTATGTACTCAATAAGACCAGAAGAAAACTGGTCTATTACTTCTCGGGGGTATATTTATGTACCAGAACAGGGTGAATACAGCTTGGATGAATACTGTTTAGAAATGGTTTATGAAAGTAAAGATTATAGTGATGGTTTATATCCATGTTTGTGTTTCGATGGTTATGCGGGACCAAGCGAAGAAATAAGCTCCCAACGGTATGAAATAAAAATAAATAGGATAAAACTTTTTTTTTAAGTCCAGTTCTGGACACATGAATAATTTTGCTTGATTATAGTTTTATTTAAATATTTTTTAGATTTACAGTGAATGCAGTATTAGAGTTGATAAGTTGCACTTTCCTCTTATTAACATTCTTGGTTTACTTATGCTTACCATTGCTGCAGAATCTTCATGGAAAAACTTTAATGTGCCATTTAGCAAGCCTTTTTATTGCATTTGCTTGTCATGCCACCATCACTTTATCGTCGTTACAAGACTCAACCGATGGTGACTTTATAATAAATAAACCAATGTGTAAGGCTCTTGGTTATGCAATGGCTGTGTCATTCCTCGCGAGTTTTTCTTGGCTAACTATCATGTGTTTTGATATTTGGTGGACGTTTGGGTAAGTAATAAAGTTAACTAAATTACATCTAGCCTTATATATAATAGAATATAATAGAATATTTATTTCATTTGCAGTGGATGTAGCGGAGCAGCTTATGTATCAAGTAGAAAAAAAGCTCGTAAAAAACGATTTTTTTTTTATTCTTGTTTCGCTTGGGGACTTCCAATGATTATGTTAATAGTTATGATAACCATAGATAGGACTAAAAGTATACCCGAAGATTTACGTCCTAATATAGGAGTTTATTCATGCTGGTTTGATAGTATGTAGTATTATGTATTAACTGTTAATGTAACTGAATTAAAAAATTAAATAATTTATTACAGATCGTCTGAATAGTTATGGCGAAGTAATATTTTTTTTTGGGCCAGTTACTTTCTTGCTGATAGTCAATGTTATTTTTTTTATAATGACTTTGAAAAATTGTAATCGTGTTAAGGCTGATATATCGAAGTTTATGAAAACAGATACCGATAGTCGACGATTTAAAGCCGACAAAACTAAGTAAGGATTTTTATTTACTTCTATTTTACTATGAAAAATTAATAATTATTCAAAAATATTTCAGGTTAATACTCAATATAAAACTTTTTGTTTTGATGGGCATATCTTGGATTTTTGAGATTATTTCATATATAATCAATCATTACGCACCAGATTTAAGCTGGCGTGTAGAACTATTTTATGCATTTGATGTTTTAAATTGTCTTCGTGGTCTAGTTATTTTTTTACTTTTTGTACTAAAAAATAAAGTCTACATTGCATTAATGCATCGACTTGGACGCCGTAAAATTAATGCGCCAATTAATCAAAAGGCTGTCAATCTTAAAGAACCATACAAAATGGCAAAATATACGAGTTCTAGTACATTAATGTCGTCAACTGTTGACCGAATCAATGCTCAAACTTAATGTGTAATTTTTTATTTTATTTATTTTTGTTAAGCTATCATAAATTTACCACTGTATATATATTTATCTATCAATGCATTTTTTATTAATGAATACTACAGTGAATGGGATTAATATAATTAGCTAACAGCTTAAAATCTCAGTAAAAATATTCTATCCGACGAGAAGAATATGTCTCAAAATGCTAAGTACCTTAACCAAGCTGAAGTTACCCTGAATAAAAGTGTAGTAATATTTTAAGATTTTATTTCAACAAAAAATGTATTTTTCCGTTGATGCAAATGTTATGATTTTTTTACGCCTAATAAATATTTACTTACTAATTTTGAAGAAAAAAAAAGATTCTGAAAAGCTGAACTTTTTACCTTGATCTGATTCTAAAACAATCAACGAAGTGAATGAAAAAAAAACATTTTTTTTTTCTTAAATAAGTAAAGTACAATTTAAACACATAATACGATAAATTGAGAATAATAAAAAAGTTATAATATATTTTATGTTTAAAAATATTCAGAAGTAATGTTTTTTTTTTTTTTATTTTCTGAATGAATTAAAAAAACTCTATGAAATTTCATAAAATTTATCATCAATAGTTTGTATGAAACTAACTATTAGTATTCTCTTTTAATTTACTTAGTAAGTGAAATAATGAAAATAAAAAAAAAAAAATAATAGCAATTTTTTTATATTTTAATATTAAAATATAAAAATTTTCGCAGGCTAAAAATAAATAGAGCCTTACTGCTCTATAACTTTATTGAGTAAATGTTATTTCGTGGTGCTAATTAAGTCAAGTTTTACAAATTTTTCGTAAAATTGTAAATTTCTTGTATATTTTTAGTATTAAAAAAATTCAAGTAACTTCACAACACGTACATTGCGGCTCATCACTATCTACTATTTAAATAATTAGTTTTACCTTATTCGATATTTTATTGTATGTACAAATTTTATAAATAGAAAATATAATACTCTGCAATCAGCTGTAGTGATATAATAAATAAATAAAAATGATCACAAGTACTTGATTTAATTCAATGATTATTCACAGAGTTTTCCTCAAGATCCGGATCTTCATTGATAATAGAAATATCTCTGATAGACGGCTTTCGTGACCTCCAACCTTCTTGCGGTTCTGCAGGAGTTGTTGTTTTCGTAAGAAGCTTAGGACCAGCTAATGAAATAATAATAGCGCCAGTCGGTGCAGTTAACAGTATCGAGAGAATACAAAAAGTAAGAGTTGTTTCTGCATAACGTTTTTGCTCAATATCATCCTTTTTTACAAAGTCTAAAGCTACTGGCCCTAAAGCTGCTTGAACGGTTGCTTTAGCCATGCAAGCTAAGGCAATAAATATCTTTTCTTTGTTATTAACCTTTGATTTAAAGCTCACTACGAATGTTACAACAATTCTCAAAGTTATTGCTATTAAAAGACAACCGACACTCAAGTAAATAGTTTCACCTTCTAGCTCATCTATTTTGATTTGCGTTCCTGTTATACCAAATAAGATTGGTTCAAATATCATCCAAAATATTTCGAACGCTATCGCCACCGGATTCTGTAAGAAAAAAAAAATAATTATTTATACAGACATACACTTAAACTAGACCAACGTTTCATAAATTTTTTAATTTGAAACATATTTTATACAATAATTACAGCAAATAAATACAGCTTTAATGCATATAAATAGCTTTAGTGCTTATCTTCACAAAATGCTGTAGTCTCGCTTGACACTAGTTATTCGCGTAGCCTTCAATACAAGCTAACACGGATAAATCGTCAAGTTCCGCTAAAATTGTACGTACTTAAGTTTCATGTGGGCTAGTATAGAGCGAAAATAATTGATTGTAGAAAGAGAATAAAGCATAAAGCAAAAATAAACTAACTAGAAAAGAAGCGCTACTAAACACTAATACTCATTGGCTTTAAATTAATTCTTCTTAACAAGATTGCGGATCGTTTATTAAGAGTACGTGCTAATAGACTAAGTTACTGTCGTTATTAAATAGACTAACATAAAATCATAATAATAATTTCGACTATATAGATATATAGATGTATCGTCTAATAAAATATACGTCAAATGTTTTACTTTTGATTCAATAATCAATAAATTAGATTTTTGTCGAAAAGATTGTAAGAAATTTAAATTAAATTTTTTTGATTTAAGAGTATACTTTTGAGATTTGATACGTCTAATTAATTTATCACTTTACTGTTAATTATAATGTGAATTTTGAATTATTTGAAGAAATATTCCAATTACGATTTTTTGAAAATTAACAAGTACATTTTTCACAAAATTCTAAATTGATACCTCAGCTGCCCAATTTCAAAACACAGTAACTAATATTTAGAAATTTTTTTTAATTTTTCTTATTAAAAAAAAGTTTGCCTGCCAAATTTATGAAAAATTTGATTTATGAATAAAAAATATTTGAATATAAATATTTTTAAGAAAAAATACTTGAAATTAAGGTCTAAAAGTTATAAAAAATGCAGCAATATTAAAAAAAAAAAATTAGGTATAAAAATTTTGCAGTTACTGTCTTTTAAAATTGGGCACCTAATTTTAAATGATAAATAAAGTAAGAAATTTATTTAGAATTAAAATGAATGAAAAAATTCACGAATAGACGATATAAAGTAAATTCTCTTAAACTTCCAATCGATTTATTTTAATCAAAATAAAAAATATCAGTTAAACTGAATCCGGTGAAGAAATAATATACTGATGAAATAGACAAAATTACAGTCCGTGTATAACAGTGCCAAGTAAAACTTCAAGTAGAACTTAAGTCAACTCTTGAGCGTCGGCAGATCGTTATAAACCGTCTTTTTGCTTCTTTTTTTCCTTACTCGGCCTCAATTTTTCCCAACGTTCCTCTCTAATTTACCACTCTTTTCCTCTCATCTTGTACGAGAGTGAGTCTACTCAGAACGTTGACGCGTTGGCAAAAAATATTCTTGTCTGTTTCTAGCCTTTGAGTTTTATTCCAGATTATGCCACCCTTTACAAAACTAAAAATCAAACTATTTTCTATACTTTCAAACGATGAATTTTCAGAGAAAATGAATAAGATGCTGCGCACTGTTGTCATCCCTCTTTCCTTTAAGTTTATTCTTTAGAAAAGTTGATAAAAAACTTCGCACTCAAGTTTTGCATAATGCAACTAAACATTTCTTTCAAAACTTCAGAAGTATCTACAATAGGTATGTTTGTAAATTAAGAGACTTACATCTTCGACGTCCCATCCCTCTTCCTGCCAAAAGTAGCAACTAACAAAAGCAGCTGCAACTACAGCAAGTGGACCTGCACCTCCTAATTCTATTGCTTCACTTCCAAAAACAGATATCAGTCCGCCAAATAATAACATAAGAACTCTCAACGGTATCTTGTAAGGCTAAAATATATAATAGTTTTATGAAAGGACCAATTTTATAAGAAATACATGTCATAGTATTTATTTGGAATTATGTATAATTATGCTTACGTCTCCTTTTTCTGGAACATATTTGGAAAGATAACCCCAAAGAATACCAAATCCAAGACCTCCAATTATTGAAATTGGTCCCTGAAGAATTTGATACCACAAAGAGTCATGAGAGAACAGGACACTTTTTACAATACCAAAAATTGCTACTGACGCAGCGTCATCGATACCTGCTATTGCAATTATAAGAGTTGGGATCCCCTGAAAAAAATTATGTAATTGAATAAGCCAGAAATTTAAATGCTCAAAGACTCAATTTACAATACAACAGTTCAAAGAAGAAATGCTTTTTCATTTTTATCTGTGACAAAAAGATTGAAGATAAAAATAGATCATTTTACATGAAAAAATACAATTTGAACTTATATATTACTTTATCTTTGATAATGATAAAGGTAAAACTGTAAAAAAAGTACAAAAACAATTGGATAATAAATTCTCTTGCATTTAAACTTAAAACTCGTGATTCGAGAAGAAAAGAATAAAATAAAACAGTAATAGCGTAATAAAAACAAGAAAAAAAGAACAAGCACAAAAAAAAACGTGTATCTGCTCTGGATTAAATAAGAAGTATTTTTTTTTGTCTAAAAAATTCATCAATTTAATTGAAATTTTTCAGTTGTAAACGCTCAAACATAACTAACGTTTAATTAAAAATTTAGTTATACAAAAAGAAGTTGAGGTTTTACTATAATAATAATAATAATGATGATGATAATAGTTAGTATAAAAGGTTTTATTTACTTTTGCAACGCCGTAACCCTTTCTTCGAAGTCTAAAAAGGCATGGAACAACGACAGCTGGTGATACTGCTGCAACAATGCTTCCAATTAAAAAAGTCCATATCCAGGGTAAGTCGAGAAGATATCTTGTTGTGACTGCAACTAACGTAGCTTCCACTGTCCAAGGTATCAACCCTATCTTTGGCAACGTTATTTTTTGTCTCTTGAGGGCATTTGGATCCAGGTCGAGGCCAGCTCGAATTAATATTATGACTAACGCGACTTTTCTGAAATATATAATGTTTCAAAAATTTAATTATTCAATATAAAGGAAAAAAAATATTTTAAAGCACTAGCACGACTTTTTTTATTATTCTTAATCCAAATATACTGGTCCATATTTTTTTAACACAGTATACTTATCTATAAAATTTATATGAATGTGTGAATTTATTTGTACAAATTACTTCACCATTAGAATTGTAACAAACTAAATCGAAAGAATTTTGATAAATAAGGAAAACTTTTGTAAATTTGTTTAAAACTTACCCAAGTCTTTATGTATGAAAGTGGATATTATAAGGTAAAAGATCAATATGTACATTTAGGAATTTTTTATAAAATTATAAAAAAATATTTTAATTTGATTTTTTTTAGATTTAAAATAATTATTTTTGAAATGATAATGTTTGAAAAAAAACAACGATAAAAATAAAATAAAGTTATCCGAAAATATTATTTCTAAAAGAAGAGATAAAGTAAACAAAACTGAGATTAAGTGTTAACACGAGGTACCGCGTGATTCGTCAATTAATATTTATTTAAATGACAATCAGTTATCGATTTCAACGCGAGAATAAAAACATTGTGACAAAGTCACGAGACTATTACATAGTCATATATTTGTTCGGCTTGACAACTCGCTGGTAATCAATTAACACTCCCGATCCTTGTCTCCCTACTTTTTCAATTCGGAGAGTCACGAGACTTTTCAATGCCTTCCAGCTTACTAATTATAATGTAAGACTTGTACTCGTTATAAAATGTAAACTCTATACATTAAATTTACGGTTACAGTTAAATAAAAACATTTATTGTTGTGGTGTCTTCATACAACACATGTGATAGAATTATCTGCTATTTGGTAATGGTGATGATAATAATGATGTAAGCGTGGGAGGTTTTCAAGTTCTATTTAGAAGATTTCAGTGATATAGCTTCTGATGTTATGTGGAAAATACATATAAATATATAGATGTATATTCTTCCTGCTAAGATCTATTGCTAAGATTTGTTGCGCAACATTTCAAACAGATCCTTTTATATATATATATATATATCTGTAATTCTTGCACCATTTAATATATTGTATTAATAGTCTTCCCCCTAAATGTAATCTCCAAAGACGAATAAGATTAGTTTCTACGGAACGGATAAATGTTATAACAGGCTTGACGTATGTCACAACAAATAATCTATTAATTATTGTAAATTGCAATACACACAGTAAAAAAATTTTCCATGTAAATTTGCTTTTTAGTTAGTTATTTATTTTTGCGATCGATTTTACTTTATTTACTCATTTTTTATCCCATTTACAGAGATTTATTTTTACTTTTAAAAGACAAGCGAATACTGTGTGTGCATACATAAAATGTACAAAATATCAATATTAATTCTGGTTAAAATATTTTTGTTGATTTATTTCATTTTTTTCTCATATTTACTTTTAATGGCTAACTTATTTTATTTTATTATACTATTGATAATTTTTAAAATAATTATTAGTTAAAATAATTTAAAAATATACGCCTATTGATTTATCATTTTTTTTCTCACTACCCACGGATGCACAATAAATTTGCAACTGGACGCGAAAGGCTAACGACAATTTAAAGTCATTAAAACAGACTAAGACCATAACTAAAGCCGTAAAAATTGTTTGGAAATGACGTTTGACAAATTGATTACTAACATAAGGTTGTCACGCGCTTTAGGCCACCAAGATCAAGCAATAATCCAGCACGTGCTCTTTAACACATAAGTACATCTTTAAAAACATGTTATTAAGAGAGCTGCCCGCTTTAAATTTCAGATCAACGTTAATCTTCATATAGATCTACTTTTGTTTACTCAGAGTTCTATCAACTATCTTTTTATTTTTTCCTTTTTTTTTTTTATAATTTTTCCATTATCAACATCACAACAAGTAGATTTTTAAAATAATTAATCACAATCTACGCCGGTTCAAGTCAAGTATGGGATTAAAATTTCCATGGATCGTTTTTCTGTGTAATTAATCCTAGAATGATTGATAAATTTTATCGATTACTTAATTTAAAAAAGCTTTTATCAATAAATATAAAAAATTGTTATATCATACCTGCGAATAATTTATGTATAAAATTTATTAAATAATAGTTGCCTAAATACTTAAAATTCTTTGGTAGTACGTCTACACTTTTTTTTTTTAGCTTTTTACTTTTTACTCATTGCCACCAAGTTGTGATTTGAATTAACAAGTATATATTATTTCTATTGAAATACAATAAATTATCAGCAAGTTAAAATATAATCATTGAAAACAAAAAAAAACAACCTTGGGGTGTTTAAAAAAACTGAAGTAATCGATAGAAATGTGATTATCTTATCAATGATAACGTCAAAATTAAAAAGATAATTTGTACATCAACCAGCCCTTATAATCATTGCAGCGATTTATTTACTGAATAAATATTTAATTTATATCAAACTCTCATTCATTTTATTATGCATCAAGTCACTCGACCTTAAAAGAAATATAGTCTTCAAGTACATTCATACTATGAAATTAAATTATTGCATATCACTGATAGAAAAATTAGCTTGATTCAAGAGAAATAATTTTGAATCAAGAAAAATATTTTGAGACTTATCTTTCTTAAATCAAGTTAATCTTTCTATCAAAGAACAAAATGTGCTTGTTCATCCTCTAACATTATGCTATTACTATTATGATAATTTACTTCAATACTTACCGAAGATTCGCAATAACCTCCGAGTATCTTCCTTCAATATATACAAGACCAGTGTTTTGCATAACAAAACCCGTTAGAAGCATTCCAATGAGAGCTGGTAGAGTCGTAAGAGAAAATAACCAACCTCCAAAGTGTGCTGCAATTGCTAAAGTTGCGAGTCCAAATAATGGACCACCTGGAGCAGCATCAGCACCTATTACTGAATAAGTTACTCCCCAAATCATTAAGCCCAGAAGAATAAGACACAGAACTCTTGCAAATTTTCTATAAGATGGGCAAAATGGACGTGGACACGCTCGCCGCCAACCTGGTGGTTCCCAGGACGGTGTGTCATCTTTACCGTGACACCTTGTGCAAAATAGGTACAGCCATGACCTAGAAAAGCATGGGCTTACAATATAATTTTTATAAGTAAATTTATTATCAAGAAATTAATATAAATATTTATGACACTGAAATTAGCAGACGTTTAAAAATTTTTGATTTTTTTTATCAATTAAAAAAATATTTCTAAAAAATTACACTTATAATTTTTCAAGTTTTTTATAAGTGAATTTTTTTTTTTAACTGTTTAATTGAAATTTTTTCCAATAAAAAAACTTCTAAAAATTTTGAAATGTTGACTAACTTCATTTTCATAAATATTTTTTTGAAAATAACAAAAAAAATACCTTTTTAGCTCTTCGGTGTATTCAATTTTATCTCTAATTGAACTTGACAGACTCATTGCCGATTTTTTCCTTATTTGATTATTGGTATGCCCATTATCAAGATCCAATTTGTGTTGGAGATTTTCAACACTACTGTGATGAAGTATAGATTTTTTCTTTTGACAATCTGGATTATGATCAGAGCTTGCACTGATTCGTCTATGATGATCAAATATTGGATTATCAATACCAATAACTTGATCACTTATAGAAACTCGTCGGCTTCGTGTCGTATCTTCAAAAGATCGTAAATTTTGTCCAATATTATCCATAATTAAAGAGATGATTAAAATTCACTGGCTCTTGCTTTCAACTCTCAATGGAGAAACAAATGATGCTGAATGATGAACTTAACAAAACTTTAAATCCACTAACGAAAATTATCCCCTTTTCATCAACTTTGTACTCCTTCTCCACTATCATACGTTTTTCTCGACAGCAATGCATCCAATGATAAATGATGAAAGCAAATACTATAATATCATTGGTCTACATTCAGAATATCAAATAAAAAAACTGTATAGTATACTATATGTAGTACTTGAGTTACCCATGCACGTCAGTACACGAGTATCTTCGGTAATGACTTACGTTGACAAGTCAATGACTGATTCACTGATGGATAGCTAGCTAGCTTGCTAGTCGGATCGTTTGATGAAGCTAGTTCAAGTTGCTTTGGCGGGGACACTTGCATTTATGTATAATTGTCAACTTATCGGGACACAGGATGGGTGCACACCGGACACTAAATTGTTTGCTGCGCCTTTGCCTGTTCATTTCATGATCTGAACTTTCAGTAAAATGTATCGAACAGTACAGTAATAATATAATCCGATTGATGAAAAACACTTTTAAATAAAATATATTAAAAGAAAAAAAATATATATTTTTTTGCGCGTGATTATCGATGACCTACTACCACTTACATATACAACACAAAGTCACATCACATTGCTATTCTTTCAATTAGCACTCATCCTCGCCAAGCTTAAATGCTAGCGAGAACTAATTCGTATAAAGGACAGTTTAACTAATGAAACAATATTCGGATTCGTTGTAGACTTGTGTACATGATTGTCTGTGTATACGGGACGTACAGTAAGGCATAACACCGATTCATATTCTTCTGACGTATGGAAGGAATAGTAAAGAATGAGGTGGGATATCACTTGTCTTTATCATTTGTCTGAGATAGTTGCAATAGATTAACTCAATCTTATTCACTTTTCATAAATCAGTTCTAAATGTTGTAACTATTTTATTTTTTATTATAAATAATTTTAATTTTTAAATTTTCAACTATTCACTACATTGTTAAAAAAAAAAAAAAAAAAAAAAAAAAAAAAAAAAAAAAAAAAAAAAAAAAAAAAAAAAAATCTTTATTTTTTTATGAAAAAAAAAAAAAAAAAAAAAAAAAAAAAAAAATAAAAAAAAAAAAAAAATAAAAAAAAAAAAAAAAAAAAAACCTGTTTAGCATCCTGGTTAAAATTACTCAATTAAAAATGACACTGAAGTTAGCAGACGTCTAAAAATTTTTGATTTTTTTTATTAATTAAATTACAGCTAAAAAAATATTTATAAAAAATTGCACTTATAGTTTTTCAAGTTTTTTACATGTGACAATTTTTTTTTTAATTGTTTAATTGAAATTTTTTTCAACAAAAAATTTCTAAAAATTTTTAAATGTCGGCAAACTTTATTTTCATAATTAAAATATCAACTTGTTAACTTCCCGGCAGACAAATTGTGACCATTTTTCAGATTAAAAATTGAAAAGTCATTGTTTTGTTTATTTTTATTTAAATAAATGACACTGTTGTTAATTTACGTAATGATCAGGTGCTTTTTATTAAAATCTTAATTTGAATTTATGTCAATGTAAGCAAGCTGTTAAACGTTGTTAAATAAACAACTTGTATTCACAATACAATATTCCATTTGTTTAAATTTTTCAATGTTATTGTCCGTAGTATCTTTAAAGATTTAAAATAATTACTAAACTATTTACATAAAGATTACTATGTGAATGTAATTTTGAAATTATTAAGCTATAAATAAGATTGTCAAATATTCTCAGTGTGTTACTCATAGTCATGTGCTTAAATTTTAATGCGATAATGACAAATATAATTAAGATAAGATAAACGAATATTAGTCAATTATTGGATTATCATTTATTTTTATTATAAATGTCATTGATAATATCTGTCTATTGTGATTATGAGTGTGTAAATGAATTTTCCCATAAATTGTCAATCGTCATAGTGGAATTTTTTTCGTGAGAAAATTCAATTACTGAGCTCAGCATTAATTATCTAGAGGATAAGTATAAGACAAAAAATTAAAAATATAAATGAATTTTAATTAGATATGCAATCAAATAGCTATTACCTAAAACTAATTAGCAAAAATTTATTTACAACTGATAAATGTAATAAATAACCGTTAATAATTATTTTAATTATAAAATATCACTTTAACTTGGAACAAAATTTTATGAATATTAATTTAGCAGATATTTGATAATTTAAAAAATTTTTGTAACAAATAAATTATGGCAAAAAAAATTATAAAAAAAAAAAATTGACATGTAGAAATTTTAAAAAATTGAAAATCCAATTTTTTAAAAATAATTTTTTGGATCAAATTTATTTGTTAAGAAAAATTAAAAAATAGTTAAGTGACTGCTAACTTTAATGCCATCAAAATTTTTTAAAATTTTAAATGAATTTATTTATTTATATAAAGAATTTAGAGGCAGGTATTTGAAATTGAGGTTGAAGAACGATATAATGGGTATGTAGTATTATATATGGGTACGATATGTATAGTAAATTTTGATATTGTATAAGCATGTGTATGAACAGGTCTTGGTGTGTTCCGGATATACTTTGTCAGCTTTAACCGGCGTTATTGTCGCTCGCACCAGTTTCATCAAGATGCTTTTAATCGAATATTAGAGCTAGAGCCAGAGCATATTGCATTTTTCTATTTTCGGTGGTGACTTCAAACAGTGTTGAGGAAATTTTATTATAAAAGGATTACAAAATGAAAACTTTGATTATTTATACGCACGTTTAATGCATTAATTCTTTATTTAATCAAATTCAACATTTGAAACATTCATAAATTTATTCATTTATTTTTTTATGGAGAACAATCGGTGGATGCATAAAAATGATCGATTACTGAAAACATAATCACATAATCAGCGATTACAATGTTTACGTATATAGCGCATTTTCGAAACTATCATATAGACTAAGATTCACTGGTAGTGTTAATGAATGGCCCCTCGAACGGGTATTAATTTATATTATCACTTTAATTACTTATTTTATTTATTTACTTTACCTAAGACATTATAATGTCACAGAGACATGTTTATGTTTATTATTATTATTATTATTATTATTATTATTAATATTATTATTATTATTATTAAATCAGTAAGTTATTTTCACTGTCAACTTACCATTTAAAAATTTCTCACTCTCTCTTTTTCTCTCATACATATTGATTCATATATTCACATACACAGCGTAGTAAATTATTGTTTATTCATTCGTTATCGTTTGTTTCAATAAACTGATGGTCCAAATGACACTTCAATTTTTAATGCAACGTAAGTTGGCGCAACCTGTCAGAAATTCAATGACAGAAACAATTTTTAAACCTTGAAAACTTTTTAACTCCAAAAACAATATATATGGAGATATAATTTACTGAATATACTTCAGTAAAACAGCTTTGGAATTTATAAATTTAATAATATAAAAATGTAATTATTTAAATAAAAATATTTTCAAGATTTAAAAATTCTTTTACCTTTGAATTTTCTACAAGCTGTAAAGGATATAATATACAATGTTGCGTTTTAACAAAATGCCATTATATATTTTTACAGTATATTTATACCAATGATTTATATATTATATATATATAACGTGCATTTGTTACAAAGGGGCAGTTGTATACTCGTCATTTGATTGAAATATTTTTAAGCGCTCCACAATGAAAAACATTTTTAGTATAACAAATTGATAATTTTCTTGAAAAATACCACAAGTCCAATTCCTCGGTCATTGGAAAATTCCACACGGCATTAATATTGAACGCAAATAGCATTCAATAATTTATATCTCTATCCTGAGATGGGAAATTTCATCAAATCCATTATGTTTATAAATGTTTTATTTAATTACACTGAAATTTCTTGAATTTGCACACGCTTCTTAGCACTACCCGGTGTTCCGGGTTGTCTTAGAATTCCTGAACAAACATTGGGTGCAGGTACTTTTGGCGGTGGAGGTGGATCAGGCAAGAATTCGTCATCATCGTCATCATCAGCTATACCTCGATCGTGAGGCTCCAACTGATTATTTTGTGCTGCAACATCAACACACGGTGAAGGTGTTCGACTACGATTAACGCCCGGACTTTTACATATAGCGTAGGACGGTGGATCTAGAGACATCCGTTTACCTCCACCGGGTGGTGGTGAGCATTGAAACTCTTGTAATTGTAATTCGAGTTCTTGTGCAAGTTTATGTTTGTGAATTGAAGGACTTGATGAAATAGATGAGTCATTTAGGACAAAAGAAGACAGTCTTGATAGTTTTCCACTGGCACTTATTGACTCCACTCCGGAACATCCAGCTTCAAGCAGTCGTTCCTTTTTTTTGTGTTCAACAAAACCCAATGATAATGATGGGTTTATAGAGGCTGCTGCAGCAGCCGCGGCATTCCGATCGCGCTGATGATAAATTCCAGCAAAAATAAGAATATTCAGTAATAACAGAAATATACCAACAGCTATTGTTACAGTTAAGGCTGTTGTATAACTCTGATAATGATTTGATGCAAATTTACGCAAAAGATTGTTAGGCCCTGGGGATAATTTAGGTAATGGTTGTTGAGTAGAACGAGTGGGAATAATTGTGCTCATAGGCACAACTGAAATGTTGGGAGTACATTCTGTACTTTCAATAGGCTTTGAAGATATAGAAGCTTCTGTGGGCATAGGTACGGAAAGTGGCGGTGGTGGTAGCGGTAAAGCCATTGTTTGAGGCCGTACTGCACCCTCGTAAAGACTTGGGCTCTCTGCCAGATGATGATGACGCATACTGATCTCGTAACCTGGACGATGCAGCTGCGGCAAAAGATTTAGCCACAATGACATCTTATGACCACGGTAGTGAGAATGCATTTCAGTTAATTTGCTAACTTCTAGATAGAGCTGATTTATCGAGTCATATGAATCCCAAAAAGGTGAATTTTTCATGAATTTTTCATTATTTGGATTCCCTTCATTAGGATCCCTATAAAAATAGAAATAAAAATAAAAATAAAAATAAATGAAAGGATGTAAAAAAGGGTATTTGCTTAAAAAACAAATCAAATTAACTTACCCTCGACGTACAAAATTTGCAATGTATCGCACTAGCATACGTGAAATACTTTCATCTTCAATAGTATAGTTAACAGAGTATAGCCAACGGCTTGGCTCATTCCTAAGCAGTGGTATACCCAAAAGAAATGGAAGCTCATCCCCTCGTTGGCTGGGATGATCACCAGGTTGAAAGTGAAAAAGGTAACCTCGTCCCCCAGACGCCGAATGTAATAATGCTAATCTAAGAAGTGGAGCAGCAACTTGCCCATCCCCTAATAAAGATAATAAACTTTCTCGAATTGCATTAGGGCTTTGTTCATCTTTTTCCCAATCAGTATATTCATTTTTCAAAGTTGAATAAATTTCATGAAGATGATACCGATAAGTATTTCGAACGTATGTTCTTAATATTCGGTCTCTTCTAGTTGCATTAATACCATTCTGAAATAAAATTTTATTTAATTTTTTACAAACAATTTTTATAAAATAATTCATTAATTTTAATAAAAAAAAAAAAAAATTTAAACCAACTTTTAAATCATCTTCACTCAAATCCAACCATGCTTCACATGATGTTAATCCCATAAGAAGATCTCGATTTCCTAAAGCAGTAAATTCACTTCCAGGTCCTGGTACCAATGGCAAAATACCCGCCGATGAAGCAGTAGGTTGTGTTACCTTAAAAAAAAAATTAATGTTACAAATATCACTCATTAAAATGTGCTATTAAAATAAATAAATAGAATACCTGAGAACCCAATGGTAACACAGTACCATCCATAAAAGGAGCAAATCCAGAAGTAAATCTTGGAGTATCAAGATTAACATTAAGTAATTCATCAATACTTCTCAAGCGTAAACATATTGCAATGTCATCAGTTTCAACATCCCCAAGACACCCAGTTTGTTCAGCAACTCGACGTTTAATTGTGATAGGATCACGTTGTATTGCCCATGGCGATAATGCAGAACCGCCTAATAGTATAACTCTCTCAACGAGTTCTTTAGCCATTGGCGAAACTGCTAGAAAATTAGCTAATGCTGCTCCAGTTCCTAGCCCAAGAATACTTAAACGTTCAGGATCGCCACCAAATGCTTCTATATTTTCACGAAGCCAATGAAGACCCGCAACAAGATCCATAAGACCATAATTACCTTGGGCACTACTTTTTGTACCAGTTTTGAGGAAACCTATCATAAAAAAAAAAGTAATTTCGGCTCTATTTTCAAATAATAATAATAATAATAATAATAATATTTTTGTTTTTTTAGACATTAAAACATACCCAAGACACCCAGACGAAAGTTAATTGATACTACGATGATGCGACCATGAGCGGCCAAGGCAGTGCCATCCAAAGGATTACCCGCTCCCCAAGAGTAAGAATCCCCATGAATAAGAAGTAAAGTTGGCAGCAATTCTGTGCTACTGCCTGAAAATTTATTATAGATATAATATAGTTTAATTAGTAATTCTCTCAAACAAGGATATAATCACTTTTGAAGGATTATGAGCACGAGATGAAAGTGAAATAGAGTGAGAAAAGTCACAAGATTTCCACCTGTTGAAGATAAATCCTAGAAACTATTTTCACGGTAATAATAATAATAAAATTAACCAGTTTTCAAGATTAATAATAATATTATTAAACAGCGGCGAAATGTATTTGAAAAAAAAAAAAAAAAAAAAAAAACATTTTCATTAGACTTTTTATTTTTCAATCTAATATCCTGAAGATTGTTAAATATATTAGTCGATGAAGAAATGTTGATTTAACGTGAAACCACCTCACTCCCGCGGTGCTTGCAGGTTTTATGTTGTATTGAATCAACTACAATGCACTACGGAATTGAAGTGGTAACGCGCTTCGATAGATTGGTAGTTTTCCTTCTCACCTAAATGCATATCTTGTTTGATTGTCGCTTCTGGTATTTGATATTTGATGGCCTTTTCTTCGTTTCATTTCTTGGTCTCAGTTTGACTCACTTGATATCATTTATTCGAAATTCTATAGATTATTAAGTAGAGAGGAAACGGTGAAAATGAACAAGAACAAGAAAACAGAAGAAAAGGAGAGGAATAATGATTCAGAATGAGAGATTGCGATAATACTGAACAGCATTCAGCCGTCAACAAACTCAGTGAATGCATTAAAGTATATATCATATTATAAACTAGAAACTTTATAAAACATTTTTTTTTTTTTTTAGATTATATTAATTAAACAACAAACTGAAGAATGATAAAAAACTTACCGTGTTGTGGTCGAGGTACGTATAGATTGAGGTACAGGCAGTCCTCGCTTTGATTAGTGAGTAAAGGAATAATATTATCGATATAAGCACGTCGACGACGTGGCAGATTTGGCTCCAAACCAGGTATTTTTTGTGGACACGCGGGAGGCAAGGTATCCGCGAGTTTGGTGCCTCTCCATTGAGTTGGCGTGACGGGTGGCATGTAACGAAGTGCGCCCAACGGTGGCGTAGCATATGGTACACCGAGGTAAGCTTCAACACCTTCCACGGACATGGAGCGGGCAACAATGCCGCGTAATGTTCCATAACGAGTCCTGACCTGACGAGAGCTATACTTGAGCTGTTGTTGCTGCTGTTGTTGCGGCTGCGGCTGGGATGAAGAGCCGGGTGCAGTAAGAGCATCGCAGGCTCGCATTGTCCACAGTAGTCCAATAGCAACGATAAGTAGCGTTGCATTTCTTGGCCTCTCTTTTTGATGTGGAACCGCTTCACCATGTCCACGCTTTTTTTTTCTCCCAAGATTCCCGAGAGTCGTGCAGGAGGGGCGCGTCCGCATCGCGTCACGCCGCCGCGGGCTGGCCCCACCGGGCACCGCATCTGTAAGAACCTCTCCCTGCTTTTGCTCCTGCCTCTGGTTCTGATTCTTTTGCCGTCTTGTTGGTGGTCTCCAACAATGCTTCTTCCTTTGATTTCTTCTCTTCACTTCTTGGTTGTGTTTCTGGTGGCGGCACCCGACGCCGCGCCACCACACTTGATTTTTTTCGAGGATGATGCTTCGAATCCTCTTTCTTCTTCTCAATCCTATTACTACTACCAATCCACTCACACTTGGATTCCTCTGTTGTCACTTTCTGGATGTACCAACGAGGATCCCACTGCAATTTCCAGCGAGTCGACCTCGTGCTCACTGTGTTTACTCCGTTTAGCCAGCTCAGTTCCATCATCTGACAAAGTCCGCCAGTATGACACTTCTCCAGTCCAAGTTGACTTTATCAACATTGACACTTGCACCTCTTGCATCTGCACCTTCACCTGCACCTGCACCATCCACTTTCCAAAATTATCACACTTATTCTCTATAGTCTTCATCAGTTCGTCATCATCATCATCATCATCATCATCATTATTTTTTAAATGTTGGGGTAGATTTTTATTATTATTTTTTCAACTATCATCTATTTCCATTAATTTAATTTCACGTAAAAACTTTTTCTTTTCCTTTTCTTCATTACTTCATTACTTGTTGTTGATCTTCCTCCTGATTGCGGCATTTAATTGGATAGTTTTATCCATTAATTTGCAAAAATATTAATTTTTATCGAAGATATTTTCCAGCGGTGTTGAGGATAGAATATAAACTGAAATGTTTCAACACCAGAGAGAAGACAGAACAGAGAAGAGATGAGCAGCAAGTTAGGAGGATCCGGAAGGTTAGTGAGCTCCAGAGATGCATCGACGACTAACCATCCGTGAGGTATATGCCGATTACTTATACCAGAGTTTATGGTAGTATACGGTGTAATGTAACTTGGGTTGTTCTCCCATTGAATATCTTTGTATCGTGACCGTCCCGGGCAGTACTGGCGCTACCGCGAAAACGCTCGCGCCTCATCTTTCTCCAGTACTCAAGGATGAAACGACACACGACGGCGCCGACGCTGACGCCGGGTTTTACCCCCGGCTGTATTCTACAAGCACCCCCGCGACGATCGATAGCTCCACGGCAACCCTCGACAACCCTGGTCGTTTCGTCACTCCTCTCTTTTCCTCTTTACCTTTTACTATCCTCCCACGCTTTCTCTTTCTTCAGTCTTTAGTTCCGTTACCACTACACTCGTTATTCTTCTGTCCTCCTGATGAACTATCATACTCCCTTCTCATCTCATCTCATCTCATCTCATCTCTCCTCCTCTCGTACTCGTGCTCATCTTATCTTACAACGTCGAAAAAATAGCCATCTCGAAATACTTTTTTTTTTTTATATTTATTTTAATATCACAAGGATACAAAGAGTTGAAACTCTTCAATTCTGGCATGCGTCCGGAGCGATCTTTGGCTGTTAGCCAATCTTTCTCTCGTATTCCGCCGACTGCTCAGATTGCCAGCAATCTAGAAATTATTAAAAGTTTCAATCCATCGTCATAACTTCAGGCACAAGATCCATATACCATTTAAAGAAAAAAATTGTGGTCCACCAAAAGTAAAACTTGATCGATCCTCACCGACAGCTTCTTAACATTTATTTCATTTAAATGATGCATAAATATTTAAGTTCTTACTTAAAACTAGCATACAAAAAACTTAATTGAATTTTTTTTTAATTCTTCTTTTCATTTTAATCATTTTTTTTTTATTGTTTTTATCACTCTATATAAAAATTTCTCTATAGATTACTTAAATTTATTAGATTTAAAAGTAAGTAAATTTTCATCACAATATTAAATGTCATATCTTCTATTGATATTTCATAAAAACTATTCTCATTAAAATTCATTTTTTTTTTTTTATTATTCATTCAACTAAAAAGTGTAATTTTAATATGAAAATTCACGAGGTAGATGATATATTTATGGTAAAAAAAAAAAAAAAAAAAAAAAAAAAAAAAAAAAAAAGTGTTACACGTTACAGTATTTATAGAATTTAAAAAATACTTTTATTGAAGAAGAAAAGGTCAGAAAGAAGCAAATTAGTCTCATTATTGCGTGTCACGAGCTAACCAGTTTGAAAGAGATTACAGTTTCCGGTGATGGGAGTTGAGAAAAGAAATTATAATTTAACTGATGAAACATTGGAAAAACTGATTTATGAAGTTGAAAGTTCAGGTGCTGATGAATACGTTCATTATTTTATGGTAGCTTATTAAATTACAAGTATTATATTATTATTTATTATTATATATTTCATAGACTGTAGAAGATCATATATTGTTTCATTGTAATAAATTAATTTATGCATCTATGTAATTATACTATTATAATATTATATACGACTCTGATAATGTTTTAAATATTAATCAACAAATAAAATAGAATTAAACAAAAGAAACGAATAAATAAAGTATGAATAGTAAAGAGCTCAACAAACAAATATCAAGTGCAATCGTCTCAAGCGAAGTCAAAAGCATAAAACGGATCAATTTTTAAAACCACCTGTTGCACTTGTAAAATCGACAGGGATCAACTCACAAGTCCTTGTCGTAGGATCATCGAGAAAGTCATATACATCAGAAATCTACTTTACAGTGTAACTATTATCACTTTTTTTACACTCGAGATTAAAATAAAAACTCTAGAATATTGATGTAAAAAAGCAGAATAATTTAATGAGAAAATTTCAGTTTTCACAAACTTTTTATTGAATATGACAACTCGCTCAAGTATTTACGGAATTTAATGAATTTAGTACGAATCGATATGAGATTGCAATAAAATTTTCAAATTGCTTCTTTCTATATTTATTAAAGATATTGCAAAATTATAAAATTGCTTTATTTAGTATAATTTTTATACGCCCTTATGGCACACGGGAATCATAAGGGCGTATAATAAAAATTCTATTTTTTTTTCTGAGTCCAAAAAAAATTTTTAGTTTGAAGAAAACTTTATTTTTGCATTTCTGCACGTTTCATACAATAATACGTTGATTCCGGAAAACAAATTTTTTTATACGCCCTTATGGCATCCGAGGTGGGTCCCGGGAGCCATAAGGGTGTATAAAAAAATTTTTCTTGGGAACCGACGTATTTTTGTATGAAACGTGTAGAAATGCAAAAAAAATTTTTCCTCTAACTAAAAACTTTTTTGGACTTATAAAAAAAAATAGAATTTTTATTATACGCCCTTATGGCATCCGAGGTGGGTCCCAGGAGCCATAAGGGCGTATAAAATTTTTTTTTTGCATTTCTGCAGAAGAAATATGGCTTTTCACCGGGACCTTTTGCTGGTATACGCCCTTATGGCATCTGGAACGCGATTTGATAATACACTAAAAAAATTTCGATGTGAAAACAGTGTGAAATTTTCTCAGTTTTTAATTTATTCTTAAATTTTGAGCTTCTTGCATTCTTTTAAGTGCTATCAATTCTGTAATTCAATTTAATTTCTGTAAAATAATGATAACAATTGTTTTTATAGATATTGAATTATCTAAAAATACAAATTTTACGATTTCTTAAATTTTTTAATGTTTTAAAATTTTAAAAATTATTTTAATTCATGAATATTTTATGATTAATGTTAAATTTTCTACTTTAAAAAATTAAATTTAGAAAATTGTTGCTTAAATTAGTTTTAAATACGATTAATTTTTGTTCTTTTTTCATTAAATACAAATTAAAAAATACTACAATGTTTTACAATGAATAAACTCTTTTTAAAATACGTATATGAATTTTTAAAATTTTGATTTTTACATCACCGATATTTATAATTTCAAACTAAATAACGCAAAATATAGATTTAAAAGTTATTTAATACAGTAAACAAAAGTTATTTCTTCTGATTCATCTGCTTAGAATATTTTTCAATAAGATTTATTAATTTAAAAATACTTTTACCGAAATCAAAATTCTCAGATGACTTTTAGATAAATTAAATAGATTTCTTATAAATAATTCAGAAGTTACGAGGCTAATCGAGATCAATGAAGATATTTAACATAATTTAATTATGGTAATCCTGAACTCTTCAAGTATTATTAATTTAATAATTACTTACCGATACTTAAAAATTCTTGTAATATCGGACTGAAAATATTTAATATTTTAAAAACTTTTCAATTTTCCTTACAAAAAGTTAAAAAATGATCGACAATTGTTCAGCTTTTGTCATCGTTAGATGATGTTTACAAATGTTCATAAATCATTCAAAAAAAAAAGAGATTCCACTCTATCCATTTTGTTGACATAACTTTACGCAAAGACGAGGTCTGATCACCCACGGGAATAGCCGCTAGTACTACTTTTTTTTTGTTTTATAGCGACCCTTTCGGATAGGAGAAAAAAACGTATCCATCTTCAAAGAAAGTAGCGACATTTTCCCTCGGGTTCATCACTGCTAGTTTTCATGAAGAAAATAACTTTCTTTTCATACGTTGGATGTCCAATTAATAAGACCAAGAACTTCTATTAAAATTTGCAAGATAAAAATTACACACCCCATGATATCTGGAAATATTTATAAGGCAATTGCACTTTATAAATGGAAAGGTCTTTATTTCATTCATTCTTTACTTCTATTCATTCTCCACTTTTTTCCATACAAGCATAGAGAAGAGACTGCTTCGAATCGTTTAGCTCTCTTTCATTCCCTGAAAGTCACTTAAATTTGCAGAACTTTTGAAAACTTTCAGCATTTTACTCATCTTTGTACTCCTTCCATTTCAAAAATTTCTTTATGATATCTTGAATCGAATAATAACTCATAGAAATATCATTATTAGTTTTATGTTTACTTTAAAGGCTCACGTTTGACTTATCAAAGATTGAAATTTAATTTTTCATATCTGTTAAAATAAAAACAGACTTTTTTAACACCTTTGGAATGTTCGATAGGATAGATACAGTTTATAAAATAAAATATTGATAAACTATCTTTACTATTTATATATTGATTTCAAGCGCTATATTAATGCTATCTTTCGTTCTATAAATTTGTTGCACATCTGAATTATTTGCGTTTGGCCTGTGAAAAAAATGTAAATTTGTTTCTTTATCGATAGAATCACGTGCTGAAGATTAAATAAATGATAAACCTGCAGATAAATTTACACAAACTTAGACTGAGAGTAAGAAAAATTATTGTCAAGACAAGGATTTCTTAGCTCGAGAATTTTTTAAAATAAACTATTTAATGTAAAAGATTCAGCTATTGACATTGGCCTAGTTGTTTGACTCTTGTAATTTTATTCTAATTAAAAAAATTGAATGTTCTCAGAAAACTAATTATCTTAAAATTTGTAATTCAAAAATTATATTTATTTATTAATTTATTAGTTGATTTGTTTTTTTTTTTTTCAACTAAAATAAAATTGTAAACAACTGTCTTAATTATTAAGTAAAAACTTTGAATTAACTTAAAGTATTCTGTAGACAATAAAATATATTTTTAAAAGTATTTCTTTTTTTTTCAGTATACTACTTATAAGAAATTAGAGAAACAAGAGTATACAAATGATAAATTCATTAAAAATTTTCGAGTTTTCAAAAAATAATTTTTTCACATCTTTAAAACGATGAAAACTTAAAAAAAATTACGAGAAAAAAAATTTTTATGCACATAAGTAAGAAATATCTGTTCAAAAAAAGAAAATCATGAATATTTGATTATTTTTTGGAAACTCTTCTCATTAATATTAATCCGACGAGAGTTTACTTGCGGAAAAATATCGGGTTTTATTAATAAATAAAAAAAAAAAAACAAGCAGGTAACTATAAAAAATAATAATTAAGACAAGACCAACTTTTAAAAAATAATAGTGATTTATTGTACAAAAAATTCAATTATATTTCTATAGTTTAATTATACAATAAATTCTTTATTCTTTACATGATAACCTTCTTTGAACATATTCAAATTTATGATAATCATAAATTATATATTATTTTTCGTGAATCCAAGATGATTCGATTACAGAAAGACTGCGGATATAGCATCGTCCTGTTGCTACGACTTCTGTGAATAAAACTAATGAAGGTTTTGAAGCATAAAGTGTCGATGAGGGATGTATTGTCACAGGTTGTCTTGAGGAGAGCTAAAAAATATTAAAAAATATTTTAGAGAAATATTTAAATAAATTCTAAAAAAATAAATAATAAAGTGATCAGATAATTACAATCATATAAGTATTGTCTCTTTGTAATTCGGCTAAATTTCCACTGAGACCTTCTAAAAGAGCTTTTCTTAAACGTTCAGTATTAGATCCACAGCTTGATTGTTCTAAATTCGCTCTTTCTGTCAATCGAGCTAATTGTGCTCTTATTTCAGTGGCATATTCTAGATTTCGGTGGTGCATAAAATTATCAAAACACCAGAGTTTTTTTTTATTGTCATTCAAGGAGGTATAGTTTTTAAAAACATTAAGCAATGTTACATGATCACCTTCAGGGGAAATAAACCTGAAAACATTTGATACGGTTATAAATAGATTTTATAAACAAGACTTGAAAATTTTTTAGGTAATTACTTTAAACGAGCAGCCAAAGCTTGTTCACGTTTCGTTGGAGGCTCTGTAAATATAGATTCACCAGAAAGAATTGCGATTACAGTAAGTGCTTCATGAAGACATTGATGTTCGACAGATGCAAGAAGAACTTTAGTAAAACGTGGATCTAGTGGAAAGAGAGACATTGTTCTTCCAAGCGTTGTTAATTGTGGAGGATTCCCTAATAATGATGAATTCAGCTTATTAGATTAATGTATGATATAATAATTGAATTAATTCATCCATTTATTACCTTTAACAGCTCCAAGTTTTTCTAAACAAGATACAGCAACATCAATTGATTCTTTAGGTGGTTTATCCATAAATTCAAATGTTGTTATATCAATTCCAATTGCCAATAGTTGTAAAGCAACTCCAACTAATGAACATTTCTGAATTTCGGGTATTGGCATTTCTCTCATTTTTGAAAATTCGTCTTTTGTATAAGTCCGATAGCACTTACCAGGACATTCGCGAGCAGCTCGGCCTGTGCGCTGCCATGCTTGTGCTTTCGAAACTTTTTCTATTTTAAGTATATCTAATCCTGTAGTCGGGTGATGAGTTCTTACTTTTACTACACCCGTGTCGATAATATGCCGAATACCTTAAAACAATTATAAAAGTATTAAAATGTCGCGTGCCTAATGCAAAGAGGGCGCATAGCTATAGGTTAGTAGGGATCCATGCTAAAAGGGCGCATAAAAAAATTTTTTTTGTCAATCTTCTTAAAATCACTCAAAACACAAAGATATGTAAAAAAAAAAAATTCGAGCATCCTAAAGCTAAAAGGGCGTAACTCAAGACATGAGCCCTTTTAGCTTTTAGAAAAGTAGTGCCTAAAGCTAAAAGGGCGCAAAACAAAAATTTAAGTTTTTATGTAAAATTTTGATAAATAGCTTCACAAGAGATGAAATAAAAAAATTTAATAAATAAAAAAAAATTTCTTAACTGCCGGTCCCTATACGATTGCAACTTTACATTTCTCTCCTAGACAAAGAAGAATTTTGAAAAAAAAAAACACTCTGCTACACAATAGATTTTTTAATTATCTATTTCGTAGTAGAGCGTTTTTTTCGAAATTCTCATTTGTTTATAAGAAAAACATAAAACTGCAATAGTTTTATAATTACGAGTGCAACAAGGATAGTACGGTTTTTTTACAGCGAATGCGAAGCGAAAAAAAGAGAGGATCGGCTGTTAATATTGAAAAAATAATCATTTTCAACTATTTTTATACAAGCAATAGATAAATAAATTAATCGAAAACTAATGAGATTAAAATAATTTTAAAATAAAAAATAAATTAATACAATTACGCATATTTAGCAATTTTTCAAAAATATTTTTAATTGTAATTTTAAAAGAGTGTATGTTTAGTTAAAATATGCCTCTTTCGTGTGACTCTACCGTTTTTTTTTTTTTTTTTTAATTTTTAGGCTAAAAATAAGCATTTTAATGAATTATTTAGAAAAAAAATTTATAGGCCCTTTTAGCTTTTGGCACGCGATATTTTTATTCATTTTATTAATAATTCTTACTAACCTGAGATAGTGACCGAAGTTTCAGCGACGTTAGTCGATAAAACTAATTTTCGCATTCCGATTGCCGAACTCTTGAATGCTTCTAATTGTTGAAAAGTTGGAAGTGCCGAATAAAGTGGAAATACTTTGAGATTTGGATACCCTTTACCATCTAATTGTTTTGCAACTTGCCTAGCTGTAGCTGCAGCGGCTTCTATTTCTTCCTGACCGGTTAAAAATATTAAAATGTCTTCACTGTAAAAAAAGAAAATAAGAATCATAATTACTGTAAGTGTTTCTAAATAAAAAAAAAAAAATTATCAGAACTTTGCTGGTGCTTCACGATGAATTTGAAAAGCCGTCACTAATGCCGAAAATGCATAATCATCTTGGGACTTTATTGCATGATATATTTGAACAGGATGTTGACGGCCTTCGAGGTAAACCACTGGAGCTTGGTAATAATTGGCAAATTTATCGACATCCATTGTAGCGGACATAATTATAAGTTTTAACGGAGGTAAATTCTTGTGCTTTCGGATATTCTGGGCTCGCCGAGCAACTCCAAGAAGAACATCAGTTGATACAGATCGTTCGTGTACTTCGTCAAGAATTACAACTGAGTACTCTGATAGATTCTCATCGGTCATTGCTTCTCGAACCATCATACCGTCTGTTAAAAATTTAATTCTTGTTTGTGAACTAGTTACATCATCAAAACGTACGCAGTATCCAACGAGATTTCCTAGTTCAACAGATTGTTCTTGAGCGACTCGACGTGCTACGCTAACAGCCGCTACTCGACGCGGTTGAGTAATTCCAATACATCCAGATGAACCGGCAATACCACTATGCAATAAAAGTTGAGGTATCTGCGTTGTTTTCCCACTTCCCGTTTCACCAATAATAATCAAACTATTGTAATTACGAATTTCTTCCAACAATCTAGAAAAGAAAAAGTTTATTAATAAATAATTACACTTTTTTACTAAGTTCGCGAGTCTCTACTCGAAAAAAAATTATTGTACAAGCAATATTTTTTGATAGTATTTAATTTAGACTTTTAATTGAATTTATTTTTATAAAATACATCAGTACTCTAGTATTGACGGTAATTTTAGTAAAATATTTTACGGGTAACCCAAAAATTTCCTAATTGTTGACGTCTGTATTTACTATGATTATAAAGGATTCGGTTAATTAAAAATTATTAGCTTCGACTTAGTTTTTTATTCTCCTACTAGTTTTACCATATTATTAGCGCCGCGCATTAATAAAACTTGTGTCAATTAAATTTAAAATGTCCCTTGATTACAAAAAAATAAAAATAAATTAATTGATCATAGGAAAAGTTAAAGTAAAAAATGTTAGATAGAATAAATCAAAAGTTACCTTAATCAGTCAACCTACAAACAGTTTAGAAAAATGATTAGAATGAACCGAAATATTATTTCAATATTTCATGTGGTATACAATAAACTTCGTTGAAAGTTTCAGTTTATTTTATTTTTACGTTTCTAATTTTTCTATTTGAGTTCAGGTTGAAACTTTTGCTATAAGTACGTGGTTTATTAAATTTAATACTACTTAAAAATTGATTCAATATCTATTTGCTGAAAACGTCAATAAATGAAATTTTCTAAATTATTGAATAGGAAGAAATTAAATCTAGAAATAGGTCAAATATTTGGATAAAGGTCATAGTGTAATCAATATTTAACTGCAATGAATCGTAAATATTAATTGCGTGTATTTCAAATAAATCTTATCACTTATTTCTAATTAACCGATAACTCGTCAGATCAGTTAGATGAATAATTTATCCTAGCCCGTTACTTTAAATCATTGTAATTGAAGTTCAGTGACATGCAGTACAGACAAATAGTTTATTTTTAATGATTGGTTTTTATGGACTGTTCATTGTTGCGAAATTTTCGAAATCTACGCTGAGAGGAAAAATTGAGCAATGTTGTAATAAGAAATAAAATTATTTAAAATTTTCAATTAATTAATTTCTTGTCACAACAATGTTTATATTTGTCAAAAGAATATAATATATAATATAAATAATATAAATAAGTTTTATTTGTATCACAATTTTTGTGTTTTACAAAGTCACATTGTTGTATTTACATATTTCTTTCATATAAAGGATTATTTACTCTCTTTATTCTATTTTTCTCTTATTTTAATTTTTGGCTTGCACTATTATTACTAAACATTGTAGTTGACTATAATTAAATAAATTATGCTTTATTTGTGCTACCAATATACACTTAACTTTCTATTTACTCTTTTATTGCTTTTTCTTAGACTATTTTTAATATTAATTTCTTAACATTTTTCATACTATTTGTCAAAAGAAATTTTTTCTTTTAATGTATGAGCTTTTCTTCGAATAAAGTTAGTGAAAAATTTTCCTAAATCTCATTTCTACAATTTGCAAACTGGAATTATGATAATTAAAAATATAAAAAGATAAATGTTTAAGAAAATATTGAAATACTAAAATTACGGTAAGATGAAAAGAACATATTTAGTAGTTACAGCAATTATTTAGTAGAGGATCCACAGATTCGGTAGAATCTGGCGCCAAGTTCCGTTCAAATCTGTTGTCAACGGAGCGCCAGACTACCGACTGTGTTTACTGTAAGCAGAACGGTATTTTGAGGTTGCAAAATTTTATTTAATTCTACGGTACTTTTTTTTCCTAAATTGTATATTATAACAGTAATTCATACTTTATTTTACTGTTATTAATTAATTATATTCACTTATAACAATTAATCTACTTGAAATTAATAAATTTAATCAGCACAAACTATAGCAACGCAAAAATTTCGATCCTGACTTTTTTTCGATGGGCAAAGTGATCTGCCACAGACTAAAATATTCGAGAATGCATAGTAATCCTTCATAAGATGGGACACTACAGTTAAAAAAAGATATTTCACAACTTGCATCTACACCCGCCAGGGTGCGCTAGAATTATTTTTACATAAACTGTAGCCTCAAGGGAATAGTTTGCTATAAAAAATGCAGCCAACGCGAGATTTAAATTGATACCAATTGTAAATTTTTACTAAAATTACAAAAAATACTAAAATCCGAACAAAAAAAGTTTCACTGTAAAAAAATCGCGCCAAGTCCACATTCATAAGACTATTAAGAAAAAAAAAATTAGTTTTTTCTTTACAAAAAGATAAAAAATAAAAAAATTAAAAAATCCTCGTAACCGATATAATTGTTTATGATTTTCGGAAATTAAAAAAAATTTTGATGTAAAGTTAAAAATCGAAAAAACAATGTTAGAACGTACTTGGTGTGCGTCATATTGTGCATTTCAATTTTTTTAAAATCCTAGTAAATAGATTTTACGAATTTAATTAAATATGATTGTTTATGATTTTCGGAAATTAAAAAAATTTTGTTGTAAATTTAAAATTTTACGAATTTAGTTAAAAGTAAAATATTTTGCATTAGTAAAATATTTTGCATATTGTTACTTGGATTTTTTAATTTTTTTATTTTATATCTTTTTGTAAAGAAAAAAACTAATTTTTTTTTCTTAATAGTCTTATGAACGTGGACTTGGCGCAATTTCTTTACAGTGAAACTGTTTTTGTTCGGATAACATTTAAATACATCTATATCAACTTACAGAAATAAATTATGTTATTTAGAAGAAAAACATGCTTACCGTTTGCGTAACTTATAAACAGGAAGAGATTTTCGTTGTTGTTGTAAATTTAACGTATTCTTGTCATTTATAAGCTTATTTTTTTTATTTGTTTCTTTTTCAGTTATTTTATTATTCGACATTTCGCCAAAATTTACAACGGTTGGTTTTTTTAGTGTAAGTTTCAAAAAACTTATACCATTTATCACATTGTATTTGGAATCAGCATTATCATGAACACCCATAATTCACCTAAAAATTTTAATTACTATGAGATAATATTTTTTAGAACAAGTTTAGTTTTACGAGTATAACACAAGCACGTGTTGATTTGAGACTGACAGCACAGCTGTTGCATGCTTATAAAACACCTGTTTACATGGAATTCTTCGCTTTATGAATATGTGCACATGAAAACAGGACTTAAGTTTTTTTGAATTTTCGTTCACTAAATTGACACTTAAATATCAATCATGAGTTGAAAATCAGTCAGTAAATATAAATAATCTTACATCTTTTAAAGAGATTGAGTAGTGTTGCAATATTGAATGTCAGAAAAAGGCTGTCATTAATATACAGGGATAGATACTAAGAATAAGTATGAAATAGTATTAATAGTAATGAAAATTAAGTTAGCTGACATCTGAAAATTTTTAGAATTTTTTTTTTATTGAAAAAATTATCACAAAAAAAATAAAAAAAAAATTTCATTTGTAAAAAACTTGAAAAACTGTAAGTACAATTTTTAAAAAATATTTTTTTGTTCTTATTTAATTAATTAAAAAAAATTAAAAAGTTGGCTAACTTCAGTATCATTAATAGTATTGTAATGCGACTGTGATATGAAAGATGAGGTGTGTAAAAAATTAAAAGAGAATAATGTAAATAAATGTAAATAATTAAGATACAGTTTTGTAAAATACAACATGTGATACAAATAAAAACGATATTCTATTCTATAAATAATCTAACAATTTGTATAAAAATTTATGTTTATTTAAAACTTTTAATAAGAATTTATAAAATCATTAAAACTGAAATTACATTATTTAATGTAGTCTTATTATATATTTATATATATGTATATATTATTTTTAACAGGGCTTAAATGTATCACAGAGTATTAATGAGCGACCGGAAGACACAGTGAACATTAAAAATCTAATACATTGTTTTTTTTTTATGTACAATTAGCTATTTATATATGTATATAAATAATATTTATTTATTAAATGCAGATCATCGTAGTGCACGATATGTCGTTGCTTTTGCTTGTGTTGGCAACTAGAAAAATAAAATTTTTTCGTTTGCATGTTATAGCTTATAATAAGTTAAAATTTAACTTACTATTGGGCCAATGCGAGATAAATAACGATTCCTAATATTAATATCAGACTGTGGCTGTAATAAATCATCACCAGATAAATCTGATGTTGATCCAGCGGATAATAATTTTTCTCTTTCCGTGGTATTAATAGAAGGTTGACTTTCTTCATAAATTTCGCGTTGTTTTGGTGTCATGTTCAAATAACCGCCAGTTTTTGAAAAGTCTATCACCCATATCAACGTGCTGGTTATTAGTGAAACTATAAAATAATAAAATGATATTATATATTCTCGAAGGAAAAATAAATATATAATATTTTATCATAAACTCACTGCCTAACCAACCGAGGAAGAACATTTCTAGCATGAAATATCCACTTTCATCGACAATTGTACCAGACAGGCTATTGACAACAGCTAATCCCAAGTTTTGAACAGCTTGAGCACTGAAAAAAATATTGTAAATTTATTTTTTTATATTATTTTTTATAAATATAATTTTAAATGATAAATTTAATCATACAGTCCATAAGCAGTCCCCAGTTGATATTCTGGAATAACAAGTGCGATAAGCGGCCAGAGACTGCTAGCTAACATAGAATAAGATAATCCCATTGCTATCATACAAGTGTAAGGATCAACATATGTGAATGCTAATAAGCCATGTGCTATAATTGTTCCCACAATGCTGATAAACACCCAAAGCACATTCTTTCCGGTTTTATCAACTAAAAAACCGAATAGCGGTGATGCTATCGCTGAAATAGAATAAATCAATGAATTTGCAGTATTAGCAGCTGCTGGGCTGTACTGATACTTTCTTTCAAAGAATACTCTAAAAAAAAAAAAAAATCAATATTAATAAAAATTACTCAATCGGCACTTGATTATTCAATAGTTTAAATAACTTACTTTGCAAGTGCAATGAACGGAAATATTGCCATATAATACGCTATGCAAATAACAACAATCAACCAAAATATTCCTTCGAAGTCTTTAATATCCGTCAATCTTACAACTTTTGGTTCTTCATTATGACCTCTTCGTAATATTGTTTCTGTACGTTTATCCATGAGTCCAAGTAAACTAGCACATATCATGGAAAATACACATGTCAGTGAGGCAAGGAATAAAACGATACCGATACATTCTGGTCCAGAATAATCTTTAGCAACATAGTTGTATATAGGTTCCATCACCAAAAAGTTAACCGTTGATCCGACTCGAGCAAAACTCAGCTGTAGTCCAAAGACCATATTCAATTCTTTTCCTTTAAACCAAAGAACTGCATAACTGTTCTGAGCAACTGCCAGAGATTCAGCACCAATTCTATAAAAATAATTATATAATGTTGTTCAATTTTTAAAAGTTTCAAGACTCAAAAGAAAAAATTAATTGCAAGAAAATAAATAAATAAAATCATTACCCAAAGATAAGTCTACCAAGCATCATAAGCCAAAATTTATTAACTATAGCACCAGTTGCAAAGACAATTTGTCCTGCTAATGCTAATGCCATATATATAATCGTTCCCAATCTAATACCGAATATCCGATCAAGAAGAAATCCTCCGATGAAACAAAGAACAACATTTGGCCATGAATAAATTGAATATAGTAAAACGAATTTACTCGTTGACAAATCCAAATCATTTTTAAAATTATCTTGTAATGCTGAAGGATTGTCATAACAAAAATATGAACCTATGACAAAGAAAAAAATATAATTAATTAAATTATGTAGAATTATTATTTTTTTAAAATAGCAAAATTTACCAAAACCCAGAAGACACATTAGGGCTAAACCTAAAAATCTCCATAGTCGTCCTTTAGGATGACAGCAAACTTTTGAAGAATCATCTTCATAACTAGATGCACTAAGAGTAGTATCTGGAGTTTCCATTATTCCGCCTTCCATAATGCAATAGCTCGTTTTGACCTCGTTTACGTTTCTTTGTTGTCTAATGAACTCTGTTTTTTTTTTATATAAATATGGAATAAATGAATCTAACAACTGTCACAGTTTATTAATCATCATATTTTTTATTTTGTATTGATAAAAAACGCACAATATTTTTTTTTACAATCTATAATTGTAAAATAAAAAAATAAAAAATAAATTCTTCAGAATAAAATAATCTACTGCACTGGTTTTTAAAACAAAACTAAAGATTTGTCATCAATAGTAATTTTACACAATATGACACTTCTCATTACTCCATACGAAGTATAGTAATAACACGTATTTACATTCTAAATACATAATACAGTTAGTGCTACAACAAAGTAAATATTATTGTAAATAAAAAAATTTTTTACTCCATAAACCATCACAGGGTTAATAATTATTCCGCTGTTAGATTTTGTCGCTGGTCTCTTTTTTGTGCTGGTCTACCAATCAGCTTTTAATAAGACTAGAAATAATGTGCGCACGCAAGCTGCCCTCGGAACGAGTTCTTTATTTACTCGACCCGATTCAACCTAAAGTCCATTAGAAAAACATACTAGAACTAAAAACAACAAATTAAAGCTTATAAAACTAATGATTTTTTTATTAACAAAAATAATAATAATAATAATTATAAACAAATAATTTTTTTTATTAATGAAAAAAAAAAAATTTCCATTTTGTGATGCTCCAATATTTAAGTTCAAAAGAACGCTCTATTTGGATCTAAAACAAAAAGAAAATTACGATGAAAATTAAGTTAGCCGACATTAAAAAATTTTTATAATTTTTTTTTATTGAAAAAATCATTACAAAAAATAAAAAAAAAAATTGCACGTCTAAAAAACTTCAAAAACTGTAAGTGCAATTTTAAAAAAAAATTTTTTATTCTAATTTGATTATTAAAAAAAAAATCAAAAAATTTAGAACGTCGGCTAACTTTAATAACTTTAATGACATAAATTACTGGCAGTAGGTAGAACAATGAAATATTGAAATATGTAATTAAAACAAAAATAACAGATGACACTGCAGTTTTATTCTAGATTTAGCGAATGTGTCATCTCTAATCCAAGTGATTTTGTTTTTTAGCATGTGTGTGAGTGTAGTTGATTGTAAATACATCGAATCATACATTTGACAGTAGAGAAACAGAATGATGGCGGCTTCATAACTGTGTCATAGATGTACAAGTGTCAATAAAAAATACAGTATATAAATACATTTATATATTTGTATTTATAGTAAACACTGACAGCAATATTTAATAAGCAAACTATTAATCGGAGTGGTTGATATTCAAGCTGTTAAACTGACCGTTTGAATTCTATTGTTGTAACAAAATGGGTGATGGTCGTGAGGGCGAGCGACAACCGCTCTTAAAAAATGAAAACGTCAATTATAGTTCACGTACCAGTGATGCCATTGGTAATTTATATTTTATAATTTTAATTATTTAGATTACTGTCATTTAAAAACTTTATTCACATATTTTGGAGTCTGATGTATTGATTTTATATTTTTTTGACAAAATCATGTTCAATAAAATGATTATTATGTTATTATTTTATTGTTGTAGATGGTACAGAATCAAATGTCAACACAGTTTCACCAATTGGTCCTGATGAGGTGCCACCACCCTATCAATCTGCGAACCAAAGCGGCATGCCGATGGTCACCTGCAGAGTGTGCCAGGCAATGATTGATATTTCCGGAAAAAAAGATCAACATGTTGTCAAGTGTAACCAGTGTAATGAAGCTACGGTAATTTTATTATTGCGTGCTGATAATAGACCTGAAAATCATTGTTTAATTATACTCAATTTTTTCATCTTTCATTATTGTTATTGTTATTATTTATATGTTTAATGATAATAAATAGCAATAATTTTTTACAGCCAATAAGAAACGCTCCACCGGGTAAAAAATACGTCCGATGTCCTTGCAATTGTTTATTAATATGCAAGAGTTCATCACAACGTATTGCTTGTCCCAGACCAAATTGCAAACGCATCATAAACCTTGCGCCTAGTCCGGTTACTCCACCGGTGCTATCGATGCCTGGGATGTGTCGAGTATGCTGTGCACATTGTCATGATACATTTTTGGTAATAAATATTTATTTAATAAAATAATAATAATAATAATAATAATAATAATAATAATAATAATAAACAAGATTACTGATTGAAATAAATGCTAAAAATAATTTGAGAATAAACAAAAGATTAAGAGAATTAAATTATAATCGTCGGATAAAAGAAGAAAAACATTGGATAAATTTAATTTTCCAACACCTATATTTTGTGAAAAGAATGTAATTAATGAATTTTTTATTTTTACAGTTTAATACTCTCAATAATGCATTGGCGCGATGTCCACATTGTCGCAAAGTGTCTTCCGTTGGACCAGATTTCGCTAGAGGACGTGGAATAATGTTTATAACAATTGGAATTATAGCTCTTATTATTGGTATTTCTGTAACAGTAAGTATTATTTGTCTAAGTTAAAATCCATATTTATGATTTATGATAATTTAAGTAGAAAGCTTTACTAAAAAAGTCTTTATAATAGGCCGGAACGTACAGTCTTGTCCGTGATAACGGTGGAATTTACGTTGTATACATTGGTAAGTATTATTACTTTATTTTATTCATAATTAAATTAAGTAAAAACAATACGCTTTGATATAATTTTAATTGTGATAAATTTTTAGGTGCATTTTTAATTGCGCTCATCTGTCTAGCACGAAGTGTTTACTACTGTACACTAAAGAACAGTCTGATTGAGGGTCCATTGTAGGAGTAGTCGACGATTTAATAAAAAAAAATAATAAGTTATAGATATATTATATATAGGATAACAACAAAGGAAAAAAATCATAATACTTTTACTGCTAAATGTTGCATAATCGATTTAAATTAATTACCATAATTAATCATAATAATAACAATTATTTCAAATAACAAAAAATATTAAATGACAATGACAGATTTATTTTGACGATTATTTAATATAGAGTTTCGTACAATGTAAATTTATATCACTTGTTTCTCGACAACTCTTTGGATAACAGGTAATAAAATTTCAATTTTTATATACGCGGCTGGTCCAGTGATGGTGCAAATATGCAATGAGTCGAGAGCAGAGTCAACTTATTTACCTACAACAGTTATAATAAAATTTTATGTTCGCTTTAAATTTTTTAAAAATAATTTTCGGTTACTTTTTTTTTTCTAACAGAACAATTATGGTTATGATTATAATTACGATTACTTTGACTTATACATTAGCTATATCACGCGTATGCATGCCAATTTATACGTAACAATCACGCGCGTGATATTACCCGTCATTCCTTTATACGCGTGGGTTACTTTGTGTTTTTTTTTTAATTTTATAAAGCCTGTGCCGTATTATTGCATTGATATAAATGAATTAATTAATTAAATAAAATTAAATGTATAAAATATATATTAATGTATATGTTATTGTATTCAAAGTTAATTTTAGGGATATCAATAAATCATTTTATGTCATTAAAAATATTTTTATTTTAATAAATTCGATAATTTTTAACCAAAGTCTTAAAGAGAAAATAAATGAAAATTAGCCATCAACTTTCATCATAATTAAGTAAAAGTAATTGTCTCTTTAAACACTTTAAGAGCATTAAAACGTTTTTTTATATTTGTTCATCTATTAATGACTAATTGCTTCATTACACGATGGAATCACCAGAGTTTTTTTTATAAATTATTTATGAAATACAAAAATTTTAGCTTAAAAATACTGTTTTACAATATATATATATATATTCTATAAAATTGTAAATATAAATTCAATAGAATAAAATATATAATTATAAGTATTACAAGGACATGATATAGAACTTTCAAAGGACCTTTTGATATTGTCTCAAACGTTAATTTTATTACCCTTATAGCGACAAACTTAACAATAAAAGATCATCATTTATATCCTTTAATAAATGAGTAACGAGGGAAAGGGAGTGCCATAAATAAAGAATTATTGGATCTGACAGTTATTAAACAATTGCCGTCCCTAGTCGAATAAATTTAAAGCAACAATCCAAAACGTTGAATTAATTATTTCTAAGAATTGTTTTTAATCTCGTGTCCGGTATTTCAGAATATAATTATGTAGATTTTAAGAAAAATCAAAATTATTCTAAAAACGGAAACATAATAATGGTAATAATAATCTAGATAAATATGTATATCGTTGAGAAAAACTATTAAAGAAGAATCCGTTATTATTTTTCTCTCACAGTACATTTTGTTTACCGATTATCATTACGCAATTATTCCCACGCTGTTGGTATGAAGTTAAAGTAACAATCTATAAACAGCAATCTTGGATATATATATATATATATATATATACCTTGACAACTATTTCCCGGCGATTCATTCATCTCTGACGGGACTCGTTTACATACATGGAAATCGTGTGAATTCTATACTATTTTTTATTACATCCATGACTTAATTTTTTCACATCTTACATCCGTAAAGATATTTAACTAATTTATTTATTTATTTAATAAATTATCGAGTTAATAAAAAAAACAACCAGTTTTATCGAGTAAAGAAGAGATAAAATAACAATAATAATAAAATGAGGAAGATCAAAGTCAGAATATTGATGTGCGTGAGTGGAAAGCGAAAGTCGTATCTGCTTGAGATGAATCACAAGGGACGATTTTATTTATCGTCATTATTATTGTTATTTTTATTGTTGTTGTAGTCATGATATAAAGTAAAGAATGCGAACCGAGTCAGCGAAGAAAGAAGAATTTAAACAATGTCATCAAAGTTACATAATTACGTCTATAAATGGGCTAACTATAAAATGTTATTCTTTTTTTAATAAAAAACTTTCGTTCTGTAATTTCAGTGAGTAAATATTAAATAATAAATATAAATATAGGTCGATCGCGGTTATTTGTATCTTGTAACATTGCAATAAATTTTGCAAGTTTAACTGAAGACGATGGAAGATGAGAGATAAAAGTAATATTTCTTTTCGGTTAATTCACGATGAGGATTAACTATTTCATTAGACACTGATTATGGCGACGAGGATTATTCTATACTTCCAAGTGTTCAACTGTCGAGTTCGATATCGCTTGCGTAACATTATAATAAAGGGGTTCATTTAATTTAATTGCGAGATACAAATACAATGATTTTTAAACCATAAATTTATTATCTTTAAGCATTGTTTTATGTCTTAAACTCCCATCTTGTAATAGGACACTTTAAAGTTTCTTAAAAGCTTTCTCAATCTCGGACAATTACAATGGTTCAACAGATAGAAAATTACCACAAAGGAAAGAAAGTTCGAGAGATGTTAAAACTCGAATATTATTACTAATGTTGAAATTTTTTATAATTTTCCTTGTTTGTTTATTTTTTATTTCTATTTGTATTCGATCATAATTATAGTTATAAATTGAGATAAAAAAAAAAAAACATTTAAGTGTCTAGTAATTTTTCAATGGTCAGAAAACGCTACGGATACGCAATTAACTTCGGCTTTCTTTCATTTATTTTCTTCTCAATGTCCTTTTATCAACCATTTCTTATTTACAAATAATTAATGACTGGATTCAAAAACTGTCATTGAATATTTCTTTACCAGAATTTTTGAATAACATCTCTTCGCTATTCTTCCTCGGGTTCTTGCCTAAAAAGCATCAGTATAATACTAATGAGAATGGAGCAAATAATTAAGAAAAAATAAATTGATATTTTCTAAAAGTAAATTAAAAAATTGAGTGGTCAAATGTCTGTAGTAACTTTCAAGTAAATAATTGCAATAATAATTGCATCTTGTTTATTCAGATGGTTTTTGCATCACGAGCTTATAGGTAGCAATGGCGCGACCCCGAATGATAGTTCAAGGATTTATATTGCCGAGGATAATGATCTTATATTTATAGTACTTGAGATATGTTAAATCTGCGGTATAATACTTTTTATTGTATATGGGTATACACATATCATATTATTTATTTATATAGAGGAATAGCAATGATAAGCACGAGTCTATCCGCGGTTTATAATATAACGAGTGAAGAAGAGACAGCAGTATCAAGTGAGAGGTAGGAAAGTAATGGGGAAAAGGTAAGAGGCAACTTACCTATACTCATCCCTTCTTCCCATCTTGGGTGCGACGTGATTCTTATACTACGACTCTGGATTTGCTGTTGTTATAGTAGTTGTTGTTGTAGTAAGAAGGCAAAGAAGCCCAGAAGAAGTGCCGGAGATGAGTATTGAGAGTCACAGTGCAGTGATCTATTGTCATTGAGTGAATCGCGATACTCTTTTTTGTTCACTATTACTGATAATACTACTAATAATCCTAATAGTGCTTTTTTTTATTATTATTATTTGCCGATGTTAAAAATTAAATTTTGAAAATGATGCGCTTAGTATCCTGTAAGTTGGAATATTCAAAATTTTAGTTTCAATTATAAAATTATTTCTTCACTGAGATAAATAATTACTTTTATTCTTGTAGCTTTTGTTATTCTTATTGTTTGTCAAAAAATTCATGGACTTGACCCTATAACTAAGGATGACACTCCAAGGAAAAACCATGCGCATCGTCGAGCGGTTGACGGATCACGTGGAAAGTAAATTTCTGAAAAAAACAAAATTATTATAAATAAATAACACATTATCATTATTATTCGATATTTACTTATGTTGTTACTTTAATTATTAGTGTATAAATTAAAATATGTTGGTAAATAATTGCAGCAAGTATTACGAACCGGCGGTACATGATTCCTTTGACATTTACGATCCGTACGACGAAGAGACTGGTAAGAATTTTCTTGTTATAATCATCTTGACTATATAATTTTAACAATATAGTATTCTTAAAAAAAAAAAAAAAAAACGTGTTTTTTCACTAGACAATTATATAAGCCAAATAAACTTTGTGTTTACTAGATTTATCGGACTACAGAATCAACGTGCCTGGAGAACCGGGAGTTGATTATCCATCTTACACGAGGATTCCACAGACTAGTTTTACGTGCGAGCGTCAATTCAGAGGTGAGGTCATTTATCAAATCATCAGACCCTTTCTCGTGACCTTCTCAAGGTTAAACTCCTGGAAAAAAATATATTTGTAACTCTACCTCCACATAACTTACAAGCATGCTATGAGATGCACGACACTGAAGTTAGCAGACGCTTAAAAATTTTTGATTTTTCTTATTAATTAAATTACAACTAAAAAGATATTTTTAAAAAATTGCACTCATAGCTTTTCAAGTTTTTTACATGTGATATTTTTTTTTTAATGTTTTAATTGAAATTTTTTTTTTAATTTTGAAATGTCGGCTAACTTTATTTTCATATGAGATGCAAATAAAATTTGTTGGGACACTGAAATGAGTAAATTTCTGACAATTTTTAGAATTTTATTAAACAAAAAATTGTAAAAAGTAATTTGATAAAAATTCCACATGTAAAAATTTTAAAAAACAATGAATGTAATTTTTATAAAATATTTTTTTCAATACTAATTTATTTTTTTAAATAAACTAAAAATTATCAAATGTCTGCTAATTTCAGTATCATAATTCATTAAATATCTTTGGAAAGTTAAATAAAATAACAATTAAATAAATGCATGTAAATAGTTACCAAACATTGACACAAGGATCTGTTGCAATTGATTATTGCAAAAATTAAAATTTAGTTATATACTAATTACACTGTCATCTTCCGATGACTAGATAGCGCGGTAATTAAAAAAAAAAAATTTAAACTTTAACTCTAACTCCAAACAAAAAACCGGTTTGAGAAAGAATAATTATCTCTAAAACATAATTGATACACCTCATACACCGTGATGCCGTCTTGTCTGTACGTAGTGTGCATTTAGTTAAAATATGTCATTCACTTTGACTTTTTGTCACCTTTACCATCGATGTCAAGGATGAAAATACGTGGTGTATGTATACTAACGAAGTGCATCAGGATGTTAAGTATGGTACCGCGTTACAAGTCTAAGAGATATCACGGAATATCTGTTGCTAACATTTTATTAGCTTTCGTAATAGGTCACCGAGTCGGTGAATCAGTCTTAAGTTTCATCGGCGTTATTGAACCTAAAAATGTATAGCAAATACAGTTTATAAGTCAAAACAATACATATATAATACATTAATGTATATGAATTGAATTTTTGCGCATTCTTTATCCATATACATAAATAAATGCTCACCAGATTACATCTAGTTTATTATATGGTATTTAAACAATTTGTAGCATCATTTATGATCATCTTTGTTGCTTTTATATATATATATATGTATTTATATATGAAAACAGCATATTGATTAAAGAGTGCTCTGAAGCTGATTTTGCAACAGCATTATAGCGCTTCATTAAATGTAACCATCGATACGAGACGACTTTCCGGGTAAATAAAAATAAAATAAATTATAAAATATTCTTCTCGGATTTATCTGACAGAAATCTTTTTTATACTAACTAGTCTCTTAAAGATCTAGATTATACCGACGCACGTGTATTGTGAAATAGGAGAGCTATTTAACTATTGCTTATATTTGTAGAAAGAACATACTAAGATGATGTTACTATATGAAGCACCATTGATGTGTTTTTTTTTCTTAAACATTATTGCAACTTTTAATTAGCGCTATTATACAATAATTAGTGAGTTATTAAAGCATCATTTAAATATTATAATTACCTGTCATTAAAAAATTTTTTGAATATTCAGGATGCTGATTTAATAAAGCATTAAATTTATTAATGGCAATAATTAAAAGTACCATTATTCATTTCATTTCTTCTATTATATTTTGTTTTTCATTCATAAGCGCAGGCGTCATTGGCGGGCGTTAACTAAAATGAGAAATTAAGTTACACAAGCTTAAGAAATCAAGGAAATATTATTTATTATTTTATCATTATTTTTACCAGGTTACTACGCAGATGAAGAAGCTGGATGTCAATTGTTTCACGTCTGCGATGGTAATTTTTTAGTATCTTCATTCTTATGTCCAATTGGTTCAACGTTCAGTCAACGTTATTTGACATGTGATTGGTGGAACAAAGTTGACTGTTCCGCTACAAAATCATTTTATCAGAAGGAAACTTCATCGACAAGTGAAGTTATTGATGACGACGATGAGTATCTTCGCAAGGCTTACGAAATGACTAGTCTTCAGTCATCCGGGAACGGTGTTTCTGCAGAACCTCAAGATACACCGATTGATCAACTAATTAATGAAACTCCGCACGTTAATGATCTACACAGCTCCGAGCGTTTTCCAGATTACTCGAACGATCGAAGTTTAGATTATTCGCAATACAAGTACAGCTCAAGATATACAAATTCGAATTCAGCGTCAGGTAATCGAGGTCGTAATTCACGTTATTATTCACAACAGTCCAGTGATAGTATTGAAAATAATAATGGTAATAGCGATAACGATGATGATGATAATAATAATAATAATAATTATAATGATGGTGATGATCAATCGTCAATTAAGATCCATACTATTGGAAGAGATAGAAAAGATCAAATCAATACGAGGTACAATGACTTTAGACCTTCTTATGCACCAACAGTACCAACAGTTACAACAACAACGCGAAGATTTTATTCACCAACGATCCCTACGATTGTAAGGTCAACACCGTCACGTTCAAGGCACGATTTAGAATTTGAAAGCTCCGATCATTTGTATTCAGCTAAAGGGAAAAATCGTGGAAGGATTACTCCTCCTAGACCATTGACGACGACGACCACCACCACTACTACGACCGAAAAAGTCACGTCTGTAACTCCAGCTTCTATAAAATCAACCTCGTCGTTTATTTTAGAAGTTCCTCCAATTTTAAAGGAAGATGGTAGTTTTAAATTGAATAAAGTTTCTTTTCCACGACCAGCAATTCGATTGCGAGCGAAACAGAATGATGATATAAGCACCGAAAGGTCTAACTCTATCTCTGAATTTTCAACCATTGATTTAAATCCTTTCTCAATATTTACCTCGACTGAGAAACCTCAGCAAGCTTCGGAATCAACTGAAGTTAATGCATACACCAGAGTTTCTGGTACGGAGAAATCTCAACGAGTTTCCGAGATTTCAAGCATTGAATTTTATCCTTATAATGACAATAGCACCGATGAGCAATCAAATTCTTTAGAACAGAATGACAGAGCTATCACCAGGCCTTCTTCAAGTATTCTCCCACCGTTTTATTATTATTCAAACGCTAACCAACATGACAATGTGTTACTTGAAAAATCAGAAGAATTGGGAAATCATTCGTTGTTACTATCAACACCATCGTTAACATCTTCATCGTTATCTCCATCTCCAACTACATCTTCACCCGAAATAATTAATATACCTACAACACTTTCGTGGTTTCAAACTACACTGGAGTCTCCTGTCACTGACGTAATTCCTTTATTAAAAAATGAGGTTGAGATTAAAGAACAGGCGTACACAACAACTGTTAAAAGTGTTGAAAAATCATCATCTTCAATAATAAATACCACGGTAATGGATCTTCAGCGGGAAATAATAGAACCGCCGTCTATAATTTTTAATCCGCCTCTTATACATTCACTTATTGAGATTGAAAATTCAACATACCCACCAGAAAGTTATGAGTACACATTAGTTGATAATAAAAATGTTCATATAAGTACTGCAAGTGGTGAAGAGTCTTCAACAATTTCTGATCTTTTGTTGTCTAGCTTTGAGAATAACCCAGCAAAAGATAGTTTTGAGGAGGTGGAAGACGCTGCTGTTGGTGAAAGTTCTCCGGTTGAAGTGACATTGACTGTTAATAATGATGAAGATTTAGATCCGACTGGTGAATTGATAAGAAGTCTCATTGCTCAGCACGATCCCACGTCTTCTGATTCAATCAGAGACATTGAAATACTCAGATCTAATTCTCGACCTTCTTCTATCATTGATAATTATCGGAGAAATAAAGTTGTGACTGCTGCTACTGCTGACAACAGAATAAAACAAAGATCTAGAACAAGAGCAAGAGTTAATACCGAACCGACGACTTATTCAGTAAAACGAAGAAATAAACTTAAATTAAGAGCTGAAGATTCATCTACTGATAATCTTCCAAGACCATTTTCATTATCACCACCTTCGTACTCTTCTGATGTAACGCTACCCACTGTTGACTTCATAGAACCACGACCAGTACACCCATCAAGAATACGAAATACTGAAACAGTTGTTAAAGATAATTATGAAATTGGTAACACTAAACATGAAGGACTTTTGCAATCTTCTCATACGTTATTTGACTTACCTAAGCAAGATAAATTATCAGATTTTCAAGGCAGTCATAACTTACCGCAAAAATTTGAAAAAAACAGTAAGCCAGTTATTCAGAAAAATGAGACTAAAGTTGAAACTGAAGGCAAAGTTTTAGTCGAGACACAGTTAGTTCCTGCGCTGGGATTTTCTCTTAATACTGATGAAGAAAGAGAAAAATTTGCTCATGCTGTTCTTCATGGTTTGTTTTCAGACGTTTCAGCCGAATCGAATGTCAAGAAAAAAATGGATGGTGACCTTAAAAGTTGAAAGCGTTGATTTTACAATTATTTTTGAGTTTTCCTCAGTTGTTATATTTATATTAAGCCTGTAAAAAAATAAATGTAATGTTATAGCTCTTAAACACTATTGTACTATAAATAAATGAAAACGAAGTAATAAATGATGCAAAAAAACTTTAATTCATTGTTTAATCGTAATTAAATTGTTTATAAATAAAGAATAAATTTTTAAAACACTTATTTTATTTCTTATATTTTTAGTTATTGCAATTGCCTGTTAGTCATAATTATACTAAAATACATACATTGAATCTGTAAGTTAATAAAATAGTTCAGGATATTTTTTTTTTATGAACGAAATTTGAAATAGTAGATTACATACCTAGGCCAGTAAAATAAGAAAAGTCTCAGACCACATGTAATTGTTGGCCGAGGCGGAGCCGAGGTCGACAAACATGTGGTCTGAGGCTTTACTTTTTACTGGCCAAGGTGTGTATACTATTTTTCTGCTTGACGTAGCCGGAATGTGGCAACTTTGTTTAGCGCAGCGGCCAGAAAGTTGCCACTTTCCGGCCGGAGGGCAGAAAAATTATTTTTAAATAAAATAATAATATCAAAAAATTATGATATTAAAGTTAGCCGACGTTTTTAATTTTTTGATTTTTTTTTTAATAATTAAATTAGAACAAAAAAATATTTTTAAAAAATTGCACTTACAGTTTTACAAGTTTTTAACAAATGACAATCTTTTTTTCTTTTTTTTTGTAGTAATTTTTTCAATAAAAAAATTCTTTTTAATTTTTAAATGTCGGCTAACTTAATTTTCATTAAAAAATTATGAAAATTTTTGAGTAAAGTAAAAAACATTTTTTTTTTTTAATTCCCGGTAATCGTCGCCACGCTGAAAAATCGATCTTTCGGTTCGAGTTACTGTGAAGAATCGATTTTGAATTGTGCTCAGTTAGATATTTTTGTGAACACAAACAACAATGTCGGGTTGTGCTGTTTAATCTTTTTTAATATAAAAGGAAAATTTTCTTATGTTTGTTGAATGAACATTTTTGTATTAGCAAGATTTTTAATAATAAATATTACCACTATGTCATGTAACATCGTAAGTGTGGATGAGGTATGTCGTAAAATTTTCTATAAATTTTGAGGTTAAAATAGTTTTTCATGTCGCTTAAAATGTTTGAAAGCCTATTATAATAATAACATTGCGTACAATTTTAATTTATAGGTAGATTTCATAAAATCTATCTATTGCATTGGCCCTTGTGTCAAAATTCACACAGAATTTCGTTACTATATCAATTATTTAGTCGAGTACGGCTTAAAAATGACGTTGGTTTGGAAGTTTATATATATATATATATATATATATATATATATATATATATATATATATATAAACTTCCAAACCAACGTCATTTTTAAGCCGTACTCGACTAAATAATTGATATAGTAATATTCATCAATTACTCCAAAAGTTTAAGAAGCTGAATGTCATCTGAATCAGTTTCAGACAAGCACACAACACAACGCGACTTGTGGACACGATTACTTTCAGAATTCTTAATGAATCTTTATGAAATTTGGTAGACTTATTCTATATACAATTAGCTTGGATGAGTTCAAAAATGAGCTAAATCCTTCAAATAGTTTAGAAATGGCAGCCATTTGAAATTTTCGAAAATCTAATAAATCACTGTATTTTAAAATTTGGCAGCCGATTTACTTTTCTGATAAACTTGAGGAATAATAATTATTCATAATATCGTAATTAAAATCATGGATTACATGAAATCTACCTTCCATCTTGGCTGGTGCCAAATGGCCTTTTTAAATAAATATTTTTAATATTATAGAAAAGTGTCGTCGAAAGCGGATTCGAAGATTACTTTAACATACCCGAAATGATGTTGGCTCCCAATACTACTAAAGAGTGGTCATACACTATGCGACGAAGCATGCAGGTAAAAATTACGTTTTTTATTCTAATATTTAATTTTTTTATATTTATTCGTAATTGAGAGTAAAAAAATTCATGAATCATTATTTAATTTTTTCACAGGAAGTAGCACCTCATTTATATCTTGGGCCTTATAGTTCAGCGAGTCGTTCTCAGCTACAACCATTGAAAGAAATAGGTATCACACACATTATTTGTGTGAGACAAGACATTGAGAGTCAATTTATTAAGCCAAATTTCCCTGGCGAATTTGAGTAAGTTATTTTATTTATTTTTTTCACAATAATAAATACATCATTGTTAAGAAAATTAATCACTGTTATAATTAGCAAAAACTAGAGTTTAAAATATTTGTAAATGTAGTCTATGACCAGTGAATTTTTATTTGCTTTATAAATTAACAAATTGTAAAAGAGTTTACTACCTCGATTAATTAAATAAATTTACAGATACTTAGTCCTCAACATTGCTGATACAGTTACGGAAAACATAATTCAACATTTCCGAAATGTAAAAGATTTTATCAACAGAGCATTAGCTTCTGGAGGACGAGTTCTGGTGCATGGAAATGCCGGTATTTCACGATCAGCAGCATTAGTACTTGGATATGTTATGGAAAAATATAATTGTACACCTAGGTAAATGTTATAATATAATAATAGTAAATTATTATCTTATTAAAATGACTTCATACTGATTTCTTTGTTTATTTTACAGTCAAGCTTACGTACTAGTACAAAACAGAAGATTCTGCATCAATCCCAACGACGGTTTTATGGCTCAGTTACGTGAGTACGAGCCTATTTATAAAGCACAAAGTATGGAGATCGGTCATCATAACGCAATTTCTGAAAACCGTTGCAAAAGAACGATTCATCAGATCGATGAGCGAGTTGAAACTATGGACAGTTGATTATTACTTATAAAACTACCAAAGTTACCAAAAGACTTATTATACTAGAATTTAGATATTAATTTATGTTTTTTCTTAACCTTTATTAATTTTATATTTTAATTCATTAAATATTAATAATCAACTTCATTTAATTCGATAATGAAATTTTAGCAACATAAAAGTATTATTATTACGTAAAGATGTTGTAACATAGAGTTTCGAGTATCAAAATAACAAGATAAGGATCTTGGGGACTTGAAGGCTTGAAAACTAAAAGCAATTGAATTTTACAATAATTTGTATTTTAATTACATTTCATTTTTATTATCAAATCTCGATAATCCTGATGAAATATTCAGATAAGATAATATTGACAAATTTATTTATTCATATGGTTTAAATCAATAATACAATTAACAACAAAATTTTAATTAATAACCCGAAAATTAAGTAAAATTTTTCTCGTTTTGTGGATTTAGTATTTTTTTTTAGTAAATCGTATTGTTTAATTAACTCATGTGGGTTCAAAATTTCTTATTATATTTGAAGCGGATAAGAGTCTTTGATGTAATTAAATCATTATTAGTTTATAAAAAATCTTTTAAGATGATAAATATGTCATAACTTACGACAATATCTGCAGCCGACTATCAATGACATTGAATGTGACGATTTTGTGAGTTTTAAAGAACGATGTTGTATTTTACGTTTATATGGTATTGTATGCCTAATTTTGGAATTCAAAATACTTGAATTGCATCAAAACGTTTAAAGTAATTGTAATCTGATTGAAAAAACTATAATAAAAATGCCAAGGGTTATTTGAATAGTAGAGTATATTATTCAAGAAAATACATTAATACATGATAATTTCGTTTTTCTATTGTAATTGCTGGATTTTTTTTCTGTATTTTATTAAATTTTTTAACACTGTTATTATTAAATGTAACAAAAATTAGTTTTAAAAATATAAATATTTTCCAATAAATTGATTTTTGTTTTATCAAAATAATCCTCAGTGATCGATGATATATAATTAAGTAACTATTTTCATAAGTTTTTTTGTATTTTTTGAAAAATGTCCACCATTAATTGCTTTTTTTATGTGTTTATTTGATTCGAGTAGGTATCAACACACAGACGATGTTTTTGTCGTTTTCATCATTGAGTTCCCATTTCACGTCAAGCTTGATCTATAAAATAATATTCGTCAATTAATATTGCGAATTACTCATGTTTTTATTATAATTATCCTAGAGCCATTTTAGTTATGCTAAATAATTACCCTGGGAAATTTTTTTGAAATGGGTAACGTTGTTGTATAATTATATGGACCATCATCCTTAGTCAATGGACATGTTAATCCTGATGATTGACAGGCGTCAGGGTGAGTGATTTGGTACGGCATTGGAGTATCAAAAAAAATTGCATGAACGACAGCCTTCTTTGATATCTTTATCTGATCTTGATATCCTACACTTCTTTGATATCTTTATCTGGAAAAAAAAAAAAAAAACTTCAGAATTCTAAAAAGAGATATTTTAAAATAGTTCTTATTTGTAATTTATCTAAATTGAAGTTTATTTCAATTGTCAAGTTTTTACCACGTTTCACTATACATAATTTGGCATCAGGATTACAATTACTAACAGTCACATTGTAATAACTTCCAACTTGTGAACCTAAAAAAACAACTATAATTAATTATTGTGAAATAATATTTTTTTCGGAAATACCAACAATCATTTTGAAAAGCAATTAATAAATTTTTTTAAACGTTATCTATTAGTAGAGCTATATTTCGTTTGTAATTTGCTCGATCAAAGGTCAAAAGTTTATGTCTAATTGTTACAGATAAAGCTACTAAAATAATACGCCTAAAAATATTTTATTGTAGTTTTAAACTTATTCTGTAAATAGTTTCAACTTTTGAACCTGAAAAACCAATTATTGTCATTAATTAATTGCGAAATAATAGTTTTTTTTTCTGTTAATTTCGAGATATCAACGTTAATTGTAAAGCAATTAACACATTTTTTTAGATTTTATCTATAAGTAGATCTATATTTCGTTTGATAATTTATAATCAATTTGCTTGAGAAAAAAATAATCAAACTCCAAAAATTTTCTTTTTTTCCGATCTGGTGACGAATTAAAGAAGAAGAAGAAAACAAAATTATTATACTTTATTTTTTACTAATACCAATATCTTTGTGAAATTTTTTAAATGACAAATATATTATTGCATTTGAATGGATCGCATCAATTAACTTGATTATATCATTATGTAATAAGTAATAAGTACAGATAAATATCTATGGGACACGTCACTGCAAATCGACCACTTTTGTCTTATTGGGTTCGGGATCTTCAAGAAATCGGCTTTTTTTTCATCTTATTAAATTCTACAACATGTCTAATGGAATATTGTTCTAAATTTTTAAGTCGATCAGAGTAGGGGTATAGGAGATAGCGCCTTAGGAATGTGGCTCTCAAGGCTAGTTTGGCTGAGCACTCAAAACTTTAAACGCATTTTACTCGAAACGCTATTTTCAAAGTAGATTGTAAAAATTTCTTAAAGGCTACTGAACCGATCTTGACGAAATTTGGTACGAGTCTTCGAGATACTATTGTCAAGAACTTGGACGGAGGATTTTTTTTTTCAAATCGTAACTAATTTTAAAAGATCGAAATGTAGTGCAACTTTGAGTAAAATTAGAATTTTTTTTAAACTCTACCGAAAATCCAAATTTCAATTTTTTTTTTTTCCAACGTCTAGATTCTATTTTTAGGTATTAAATAAAAGACCCAATTTGATTTTTGAATTTCACATGATCCTGTAATGAGTTATGCTGTCAATGCGAAAGCACCTTTTTTCAGAGGGGTTTCTGGAAGAGATGTCGCAGTAGCTGAGTTTTAAATATTTTTCTACAAAAATTTCAGAAGATGATTATAAAATATTTATCTTCAATTTAACAAAAAGTTTGAATTGAAAATTTAATTATTTAGACAAAAAAAAATTGTTGGAAATATACTCTAAAAATTGTTGGAAAGACATTTTTTAGAATTTTTTTCAAATTTTCTACGCAACCAAAAAAAAGTTATGAATTAAAAAAAAAAATGGTTTTTTATATATTTTTGAAATGGCTAACTTTTTTTGAAATTCGACTTATTGAGATGTTTTTTTTTTTCAATTTTTTTGAAAAAAACAAAAATCTTTCGATTACTATTTTTGAAAAATGTCTTTTATAAGGTAGGAAAGGATAAAAAAATTTCAACCAAATCGAAAGGAGTCGGGTCAAAAAGTGGTCGATGTGGCGTAGAATATGCCTCCTATATATATGGATGTTACACAACTTCATAACTGATTTATCCTGTAAGATTATTCGTGGCACCGATAGAACTGAAGATTTATACAAAAAATTAAAAAATTATTATTTTTACTTATGCGTTGCTAAATAACGCCTAGTGATCAAAGTCTTTAGATGAAAAAGAATAATGTAAAAAGTCGATTAATAATTTATTATTTATCATCAAGGAAATAACGAAGTAACAAAAAAATAATAAACATTTATAAGACTTGATTTGGAACAAGAAAAAGATAATTAATTTAATTGAAAAACATTAAACAGTTTTCTAAAATATGAATAATGACAAAGAAGAAATTAGCTTAGAAAAACAGTAAAACTAATAAATAAAATAATATCTTTTTTTTTTGAGACAGTGCATGATCCTTTAAAGGATATTAGAGTATTCAATAAAATTACAGGTATAAGTACACTTTTAAATGAATAATAATAAATAAAAAATAAGTAAAACATACCGCAGTTCTGAAAAGCAGCGTAAGCAGACACGGCGAGGTATACAACGAGACCCAAGGAAATACGATACATCTTGTAGAATCAAAGTTTCTTCTTGTTTCTTTCTATATTGAATTTACTTGTGCCGATCTCTGCAATTTAAACCAATGCGTCAAATATGTATGCTTCCTCGTGTATACAACGAATACGCTTACATACATATGGCTAAATACCCCTGCTATGATAAGAAACTTCTTAACGCGGTAAATTGGACAATAATAACAATAAAAATGTTGAGTGATGAAGGTGGCCTTTGTAAATCAATTAGGGATAGGAGGGGGGCAAAACGGGGGAACTTTTGAAAAATTTTGCTATTTTCTGACTCAGTTCGTCAAGCTGGTTCAGAAAATACCATTAGTTCAAAAGTTTATATATGTATGTATTTATATATACACTGATAAAAAAATTAACTTGACTCAAGATCCAAAATCTTGAAGCAAGAATACCATTTTGAAGAAAATGATTTTCTTGAGTCAAGAGAATAAATTCTTGAGACAAGAAAAATTTACTTAAATCAAAAATAATTTCTTGACTTAAGTATATTTATTGTCTTGGCTCAAGAAAATCATTTTCTTCAAAATGGAATTCTTGGTTCAAGATTTTGGCTCTTGAGTCAAGTTAATTTTTTTATCAGTGTACATACGATATAACGCGGCTTATCCGGACGATAGCGTCTCTAATTCATAATGGATCCTTTTCAAACTCAACATACTTAATTTTTAGACGAATACCAAGGCCAAGTTCAAATATGAGCTTAATCGGTCAAGTAGTTCAGAAATTACAGAGTTTCAATATTTTTAAAATCCTAAAAATTCATTTTTTGGCAGATTCTTTCGCGCATAAGGTAAAAGCCCCAATAGATGATCATGTACCAGTATATGATTACTCCATGTATTTGTATACCTATATTTGTGAATATAGATATACAAATACATGGAGTGATCATCTATTGGGGCCTTTACCTTAACTTTTGAATAAAATAACTTATCAAATTTTTATAAATTGCATTTTATAAAGCCCATTAAACAAGCTTTAATTTTCGTACCATTTCATTCTTCTAAACTTAAAATAACCTATTCGTGTGTAGGTTTTCAATGAAATTTTACTTTTGCAGTCGTTTTTTCGATTGATTTGTCCAATATATCTCCTATAAATCTATACATATTTTTATCTTTATTCTCAATTAATTTTTTTTTTGCATACAATCCTAGTAGTTTTTTTTTCTATTCATTATGAAATCTACTTCCATTTCAGCTGCCGAATGGCCTTTTTTTTGTTTATTCTTGTTTATTTTTTAGGGGTTCGAGACAAGATATTGAAAGTCAATTCATTAAGCCAAATTTTCCTCGGGAATTTAAGTTAGTTATTTTATTTATTTTTTTTTTACAATTATAAATACGTGACGGCTCAGAGACTCTATCACTGTTACATTTAGCACATAGTATTCGTTGTATTTGAAGCGATACCCATTCAAAGTTATAGAAATATTTTCTACAATAATCACTAGAAAAAAAAAGATAAATGCAAATTTTATTGAAATTTTCAATCCGTGTGTTAGTTAAAAGTACATTCCAGATATATTTTAAATCTAGAGTTAAAAATGCAATTCTAATACACCGAGCGAAGCAGACAGGTAGCAGCTAGTCACTTATAATTTATTGTAATTTTGTATATGAATTCTCAAAGATTGTCGGATAGGATAATCCAGATCTTAAGTTACATTATTTTGATTAGTATTTGACGAAGAAGAAATGTGTTATTTATTATTGATATTTTTATAACGTCAAGTGTCCACTTAATATTTTAATTGTAATTTTTTTCTGTTTCTGCAATGTCCTTACAGAAATTTAAATTTGAATTTTGGCGGGAATTTGAAAAGCGCTGTTTGACAGATCTGATTTTAATTTTATTTTTTTTTATCAATTGGACTTCCCCCGATGATATTTCAGAGGTTCAAATGTTGGCTTTATTAGACGTCAAATACAAATACTTTTCGCAAGATAGTCCGCGGCGGTAAAGAACGATTGACACATTGACAGCGTTAGTACTTGGATATGTTATGGAAAAATATAATAGTACACCTAGGTAAATGTTATAATATAATAATAGTAAATTAATATCTTATTAAAATGACTTCATACTGATTTCTTTTTTTAATTTACAGTCAAGCTTAAGTTTTAGTACAAAACAGAAGATTCTGCTTCAACCCCAACGACGGTTTTATGGCTCAGTTACGAGAGTACGAGCCTATTTATAAAGCACAAAGTATGGAGATCGGTCATCATAACGTAATTTCTGAAAACCGTTGCAAAAGAACGATTCATCAGATAGATGAGCGAGTTGAAGCTATGGAGAGTTGATTATTACTTATGAAACTACCAAAGTTACCAAAAGACTTATTATACTAGAATTTAGATAATAATTTATGTTTTTTCTTAACTTTTATAAATTATTTAATTTAATTCATTAAATATTAATGATCAACTTCATTTAATTTGATAATGAAACTTTAGCAACATAAAAGTATTATTATCTACGTAAAAATATATAAAGATATTGTAACAGAATTTCGAGTGACTTTTGTTTCAATCAAATTTTATTTTCATTATTAAATCTCGATAATTCTGATGAAATATTAAAATATAAGATGATATTGATAAAATTGTTTACTCATATGTTTTAAATCGATAACACAATAATCAACAAAGTTTTAATTAATAAACCGAAAATTAAGTGAAATTTTACTCGTTCTGTGAATTTATTATTATCATTACTTTTGAAGTAACCAAGATAGCCAATTAAGTCGTATTTTTTTAATTAACTTATGTGAGTTAAAAGTTTCTTATTTTATGTTGTGTTTACATGGTACTGTATGCTTAATTTCGAAATTCATGATACCTGAATTGAATTATAACATTTAAAGTAATTGGAGTCTTATTTTAAAAATATCAAGGGTTATTTGATCAATAGAGTATTATTCAAGAAAATATACATTAATATAAGATAATTTAATTTTTTATAGTAATAGCTGGATTTTTTTTCTGTAATTTATTAAATTTTTTAACGCCGTTATTATTAAATGTAAGAAAAATTAGTTTTAAAAATACAAAATATTTCCTAATTAATTTATTTTTCTTGTCGTTAAAATAATCCTGAACTATCCATGATCAATAACTAAATAAGTATTTTCATCGATTATTTTTTTGTATTTTTTGAAAAATGCCCATCAATTATTAATTTTTTTTGTGTTTATTTGAGTTGAGAAGGTATCAACACACAGATGATGTTGTTGTAGAATTCATCCTTGAGTTCCCATTTCACGTCAACCTTGAGCTATAAAATAATATCCTTGTAAATATATATTGCTAATTACTCATGCTCTGATTATAAATAACATAAAGCCATATTAGTTTTTTACTTATGCTAAATAACTACCTTGGGAAAATAGGATTCAACGTGTAAGTTTGTTTTGTACTCATACGGACCACCGTCCTTAGTCATCGGGCATTTTAATCCTGATGCCTCACAAGCGTTAGGATGAGCGATCGGGAACGGCAGTGGAGCACCTCCAATAACTCCATGAACGACAGAGTTCACTCTTTCGATATCTTTATCTGGAAAAAAAAAAAAAAAAAAAAAAAAATCAGAAACTTTAGAATTTTAAAAAGAGATATTTTAAAATAATAGTTCTTATTTGTCGTTTACCTAATTCGAACTTTATGTTAATTGATACGTCTTTACCACGAGTTAATGTACATATACTGGCATCAGGATCGCAGTTACTAACATTTACGCTGATATAACTTCCAATTTTTGAACCTGAAAAAACATTATTTTCATTAGTGTTTTGCGGAATAATAGTTTCTTTTTCCTTTAATTTGGAAATATAAAAGATAATTCTAGTGGATTTAACATTCATTTTAAGCGTTTATAATTAGAGCTTTATTTCATCTAATATTGACCCGATCAAAGGTCAAAACTTTATATCTAACGTTTACTGATAAATCTATTGAACTAATGTCCCTAAAATTTATTTTATTTAGTTTAAAACTTATTCTGTAAATAATTTATTATCAGTTACTTAATCTTGTTCACGGTAGAAAAAAAATTATTCAAACACCGGAAATTTATCTTATCTTCACCAACGAAATTGTATATTTTTCTGATCTGGTGACAAATAAAAAAAAAATAACAACAATTTATTTTAATTTCTACTGATACTAATATCTTTGTGAAAATTATTTTATTGAAAAATGTGCTGTTGCCTTTGAACGGATTGTATCAATTAACTTGATTACATCTTCGTGTAATAAGTAATAAGTACAGGCAAACATCTATATATCTGGATGTTACACAACTTCATAACTAATTTATTCTGTAAAATTGTTCGCGACACCGGTGGGACTAAACATTTAGACAAAAAATCCTTGTTTTTATTTTTGCGTCGTTAAATTACGCATAGTGACCAAAGTCTTTCTCTGAAAAAAAAAGATTATAAAAAGTTGATAAATAATTGATTATTCATCGTTAGATAAATAACGAAGTAACAAAAAAAATAATAATCTTTTATGAGTCTTGATTTTTAAAAAGAAAAAGATGATTAATTTAATTGAAAAACACTGAACAGTTAACTAAAATGTGAATAATAACAAATAAGAATAGGATGACATTAAAGTTAGCAGTCATTAGAGAATTTTTCAATTTTTTTTAACAAATAAATTTGTTCCAAAAAATAATTTCTAAAAAATTGCATTTTTTATTTTTTTAAATTTCTACATGTCAATTTTTTTTCTAATTTTTTTTTGCCATAATTTATTTGTTAAAAAAAAAATTCTAAAAATATCTGCTAAGTTCATTTTCATAAGAATAGGAAAAGTTAATATCTTTATAAAAAAATAAATGTGTTATTAAATAAGCATTGTTCGACGTAAAACCTCGATAAGGTATCACTTAGATAGTCTGTTATTACAAAGTTAAATATTAATAAAAAGCAGGAAATCAGCTTAGCAAAACAGTAAAACTAATTATTAAATTAATATCTTTTTCTTTTTGAGGCAATACACGATCCGTTAAAGGATATTAGAAAGTTAAATAAAATTACGGGTCCGTAATAAATAAATCTAATTTGAAATACATTTTTAAATAAATAATAAATATAGAATAAGTAAAACATACCACAGTTTTGAAAAACAGCGTTAGCAGACACCGCGAGGTATAAAACGAGACCCAAGGTAATACGATACATCTTGTCGGCTCAAAGTTTCTTCCTCTATTGAATTTACTTTAACCGAGCACTGCAATTTAAACCAACACATCAAATATATATACTCCCTCATGTATACGACGAATACATTTACATATATATGGCTAAATACCCCCACCATGATAAGAAAGTTCGCAACGCGGTAAATTGGATACTAATAAAAACTTTGAGTGATGAGTCGACTCAGCTCAGGCAGCCACTGTAATTCAATTACTGATAATTTTTTTTTATTTATGATTTATTGTAATTTTATATTTAAATTCTCAAGGATCGTCTGATACGATAATCCAGATCTTAAATTACGTCATTTTGGTCAGTATATTGTAAAGAAAAAATGTGTTATTAATTATTGATATTTTTTGTAATGTTAAGTGTGTCTTTAATATTTTAATTTTAATATATTATTGTTTTAATTTTAATATTTTATTATTTAAATACAAATTTTTTTTATTTCTAAAATGTCCTGACAGAAATTAAATTTTGAATTTTCGCGGGAATTTCAACAGCGCTGTTTGACAGATCTGATTTTATATTTTATAGTTTTTATCAGTTGGTCTCCTTGACAATGTTTTACGTCCACGATCCAACGTCACGCCAAATCAACGGAAGTGACGATTGCATGAACTTGTGTCCACGTATTGTTGAATGAATATACAGTTAAGTATTGAAGTTGGCTTCATGAGACGTCAAATACAATACATTTCACAAGATAGACCTCAGCAGTAAAGAACGTGAGTTGTATTTCATTTATAATTTTGTTTTTAAAAATTAATGTGCAAATAAATAATAAATGGCCAAAAGTATCGTTGATGAATAAGTTTTATAAACAATCCATTTCATGTTTATTGTTGATTGTGATTGTTTTTGTGTTTTAACTTTGGAGTAAATTTTGACAATTTTTTATAACATATGTACATCGGGTTGTGCTAAAAATTTCATTCGATAAATTTTGGTTAACTATTATTCAATGATGTGTTTTTAATTGCAAATATTCATTGATTTTATCATTTTTTAGTTACTACTTTGCAATGGATCAAATCAAGAAATTCGTTGAACCAAGCCGTAAATTTACTAAGGACAGCATCAGATTAGTTAAAAGATGTACGAAACCCGATAGAAAAGGTAATTAATTATTATTTATTGTAAATAGTGTTGATATACTTTTATACTATTATCATGTTAATTGTTTGTGTGAATAAAATGAGTATTAGTTAAATTATTTATTTAAAATTTACAATAAAAAATTTTTTCAGACATTGTTGCGAGCAATTAATTAAATAAATAAATAAATTTATTTTTCAGAATTCCAGAAAATTGCAATTGCTACAGCTATTGGATTCTGTATAATGGGATTTATTGGATTTTTTGTTAAACTTATTCACATTCCTATTAATAATATTATTGTGTAAGTATTCATTAATTTTAATTCAAAAATAATGATAATGAAAACAGCAAATATGTAGACCTAGGATCTGATCAACAATTTATATTAAATTGTATTAAATATTGATATTGTTTTATGAAAATGAAGTTAGCTGACATTTAAAAATTTTTAGAAATTTTTTATTGAAGAAATTTCAATTAAACAATTAAAAAAAAAAATTTCACATGTAAATAACTTGAAAAACTACAAGTGCAATTTTTTAGAAATATTTTTTTAGTTGTAATTTAATTTAAAAAAAAAAAAAAAATTTTTAGACGCCTGCTAACTTCAGTGTCATATTGTTTTATAATTTTTCGTTTACTGAAAAACAACTTTGGATTATTGCTGCTTTTTCATTATTACAATTTATACTATGTTTTCAAAGATAAATTAATTTATATTTTTGTTTTTATTTTTCAGGGGTTCGTAAATTTAGGATGAAAATTTTATTTTATTTATTATTAAGATATATTTTCTGATTACTTCCGGCAAACTTCCCACGATGGAATTAAAAATCAACTATTAGCTTGCATAATAATAATATTTATACTCCATAAATTACAACTTTCAGAATTTAAATCATATTGAGAAGTAAACGAAAGTAATTATAAATGCGTGTAATAATTAATTTTTTTTTTTTTTTTTTAATAAAATAACAAAAAAAATTTAACATAATTTATTTTCTTTATAATCATGAACATTAGTTGTAGATTATAAATAAAGTATAAGGCACTTTCACAATTTTTACAACTGATAGCAAATAAATTAACACATTTTAGGTAAATCTTAAACTGTTTATTATTAGTTATGCTTTGATCAATCAAAAATTAATTACTGAAAAAAAAATAAAATTTTTATCATGAAAAAAAAATATATATGATAATATTGTAATTTATAATGATAAACTATTAAGTGGTATAAATAAATGATTTATAGAAGCTTATTTAATAGTTTTACGCTAATAAAATTGTTCTAGTGGTAGATATTAAATAATTGCGCAATAAAATCTTATTTAAATTGTTTCATTTATCAATGGTAACAATGCACGTTTATTATTTATATTCATTCAAGTATAAATTTAATTTTTATAAACAACGAAATAATTGTCTTGTGTAGGTAATATTAATATTCCTGTGTCTATTTTTGATGTCAATATTTTTAAAAAATCTTTAAAAAAAACCCTCCAGATCATCCCTGAAATATCCGCTTTTAGAAAACGATGTAAAAAATTGTATGATCGTTTGTTAAAAGTAGGCCATCAATTAAAACTTGAAAGATTAAAGCAATTATGTGGAAAATTGATTTCGAAAAATGATCTCATCTATAAAAATTTGATAGAAGAACATAACTTTTTCGAGTATTTTAATAACTCGCATTTTTCAGTTCATTATTCTTAGTCAATGTCATACCATAGTTAATAATTATTATATTTTTCAGATTTAGCTAATTAAAGTCTTATTCAATATCGCACAATTTTCTTCATTTCTAATCTAAAGATGAAACTTTGAAGCAGTTTGATGTAATATGACACTTAGCTTGTATGAAAATGAGGCATGAATTTGCAAGGAAACGAAGTCAAATACAAAATTTGCATTTTACATCATTTTTACAATTAATATTACAGATAATCATGGTTATATATCACTGCAAATATATTTATCTTTTTCTTCTGTCTTTGCGGATGATTTTTAAACATCTTTCTGGAAACAAAATATCTATATTTTGTTTATTTTGACGTCTAAATTGTCAAAGTTTAGGTAAAATTATTTAGCCATACTTTTCAATTTTCTTTTTTTTTAAATAAAAAAAAATATTTAATATTCAATATAATTTATTTTCTTCATAATTATGAATATTAGTTATAAACCATAAATAAAATATAAGGCACATTTAATAATTTTTACAACTGATAACAAAATAGTATAGACGTCAGACAGCAAAGTAGGATATCTCAATCTGCATAATTTCCACCCTTGCCTTGAACTCTGAAGGCAATTTCACACGCAGGTTGAAATATTTTACTTCCCTTCTTCGAGTATAATATACTATTAAAAATCATACTGAGGTATATCGTTAGGTAATACAAATTCTAATTATTTCTTTTTGCATAGTAAAAATAATACGGTATTATTTTTCGGTCAGTAAATATGACTACTATCATACATATATAATTTATTTAAATACAAATGTCTTAATAACTATTTCATACGATTTTATTTTGATAGTAAAAAATATTTATATGCATTACTTTGTTATTAATATTATTAAATATCTATTCGTTTTTTAACAATATAAGTATCTTTTTTTTTTTTTTTCGTTTTCGTGTTACTTTTATATACTATACTACGTCATATATCATAAATTTTATCTTATAAATCTTAGTTAAACGGAAGACGAATTAAAGAATGAAAAATAAATCGAGTCTTTAACTATTGATTATATTAGTTTTGTATGGAGGTTGAGATTGAGAGTGAACCGGCACTAGCTCAATTTATTTACTGGCTCTTATTTATATTTTTGATTTAAATAATGTTAATGTATATCTTATTTTATTTATAAAGAAATGATTTTTCAGCCAATATGTTTATATTAGAATGTCACAGTAACACTGATACGCCGGAATGTCTTTTGATTAAACAAAAAATTAATTATTCAAAGTATTGATAATAATAAATTATTACAAATTAATTAATTAAAAAGTTAATTACTTAATTAGTGAAGAACGTTGCAGTGGTCAATAAGAGAGCAAATAAAGATTAATTATTTATTTTTGATATTTATCAGAAAACCAAATTTAAAAATAATTAATGATTTTAATTTGATCTTAGTAAATTAAACTAATTAATGGTAATTATAACTTTTCGAGTCATTCCAAATAATAATTAAACGGTCGGTGGAATGCATATCAATAAATTATTTCGCTGTCTTTCAATCCAAAAACATGCGATAGATTTTATGGTAGTAAAAATAATTAATAATAAAAAAAATAAAATAAAACAAAAAACAATTAATAAAGTTATAATCTAAACAGTGCACCCAGCATCTGAAGTAGGCACATAAGGACTGTCTTGTCTGTAATAATTCTGCGGCGTTGAATCATAGTTTTCTATTTTAACCGGAAAATCAATAGTGATACAATCCTGCGGTTGATCTAGCGTCGTTGAATAATTGTCGGTAAATGGCAGTAGTATAGGATCACTATTATACGGTTGCTGATAAGCCGTATCAGTATTATTGGTATTGGTGTTTCCTTGTTTAAGACACGTCGGCCCGTGAAGACTCAACATATCAACAAGTCTACGTCTCTGGGTTTCTAATTCTTGGATTTGTGACTTGAGATCGTGATTTTGTGATTCCAAAGTCTCAGACTCTTGAACGAGGATCACTGTTTTCTCACGTTTTTTTAATCTACACTTTGTTGCTGCTATTTTATTACGTTCTCTTCTTCTTCTTCGTCGTTCCTCGTCTTCAGGCGTCAACTGAAATCAAATAAACTAGTTAGTTGAATAAATAATCCTTAAATTCCTTCTAATACCATAAGAAGACATAAATTCAAGTCTCAAGTCTCGGACAAAAAATTATTCTAGTCCTCTTATGGTATATGGTAATTTAATAATATTGATATTTTTAAACAATAAAATTAAAAATAAAAAAAATTTACCCCAACACGACTGCTATTATTGCCAGAGTCATCATCTTCTTCATCATCAGCGCTGCCATACTCTTTCTTAGTCTTCTTTTTACTTTCGTCTCCGCTATTGTGAGCTCTTCTCTTAGTCTGTAGTGTCAACTTCAGCCCTAATTAACAATCAAACAATACCTTGGATTTAATTTAAATATTAATATAACAAGGAATCAATAATAAATTAACCAACTATCAATAAATATACAATTATCATTTTACCTTCTTTTATTAGCTGACTGCAGGTGTGTTGAACACTGGGTGGACTGAGATCACCACCGCTACTCGTTGAATCCGTCCTATCTCGACAACGATCATGAGAGTAATTCTCAAAAGGGTTCGTCATTGCGATCAGCGAATTAACGATCTCCGGAGTTCGCGGTGTTACCTCGCCCGCTGACACTCCGAGAAGACCCGCAGTAGCCGTTGGACTAGGATTTACATTAACATTTAAGTTATACATCGTGTGGCGGGTTTATTTATTTATCATTGAACCTGAAATTAAATATATTTAGATTTTAATAATATTACTTTTTTTAAAACTAAAATTGATTTATATTGTAAATAATAATGCTGGCTCGTTTCAGATCTTCCGGTCCAATGAACAAAGAAAGATTATATTAACAGTGTTGGATTCCCATTCCCAACACTGACCTTCAGATTAAAAGCAAGAAAGGTAACTGTGATATAACGAGCTAGATCCAAGGTCACATCTTTCCTGAGGGACCGCGATTTTGTTATTTTAGTTGTTTAGTGACTGAGATAAATGTGACCTTAATTATAATGAATTATTTAATAGCTAGGCTTTACTTGTCTATTAAAATTATTTTTTAAAAATAATTCAATTTTTTTGTTCTTCCGGTTGAGTTTTTTTTTTTTATAATTTTTTTTTTACTTCGGCCTTAAACTTTAAAATGGTCTTAAATATTTTAAAAAGATAAAATAATATTTATTCAGTATACTTAAATATAAATAATTGTTTGTTAATATATTATTGATGTTATGATTATGAAAGAGATTATCTTAAAATAAATGTTTAAAAATATATATATATATATAATGTAAATAAATATGTAAATGTAATGTTAATGACAAGTGCGGTAAACAAAGGTGGCAAAATAATATTTGGGTGCTCGAGTTTCCGAAACTAAAACTAAAAGGCCTGTCAATTTCTGTCAAAACTATTTTCATCGGGTTCGGTTTAGTTGTTCCTTAGCAAGTTTTCAGCATCGAGTTATTCTATAATAAGATTTTAGTCGTTACTCTGGACGTTAAACTGCCTAGTAATGGTGATCGTTAATTTAGTAGAGTTAAGCGAATCTAGGTGAAATGCTTTTTTGTCTGACGGTAAATATGCTACACAATTTGTTAGTTACAATATGTCAAATAAAATTAGATGCTTAAGTTATGCAAACTTAAATAAAATACACATTTTTCTTACACGGTTATTAATATACAAAAAAATGGGATGACACTGAAGTTAGCAGACGCCTAAAAATTTTTGATTTTTTTTATTAATTAAATTACAACTAAAAAGATATTTTTAAAAAATTGCACTTATAGCTTTTCAAGTTTTTTACATGTGAAATTTTTTTTTTTTTTATTTTTTAATTAAAACTTTTTCAATAAAAAATTTCTAAAAATTTTGAAATGTCAGCTAACTTCATTTTCATAAAATGGGGCTCAAATGTTAATAATATTTGCAGTCAGTGAAGAATATGGAGTGATTAATCATCAATAAATTCAATCAATTAATTAACTACACAGAAAAAAAAATGTTCTTGAATCAAGCATATAATTTTGATTCAAGACAATTACCCTCTACAAAATTATTTTCTTGGTTAAAAATTATATTCTGGATTAAAAATACTACGATGTAATTACTGTTATTATTATTTATAATGTAATGTAATTAATGTTTGATTGAAAAAAAAAAGTATAAAGTTATTATGAACAATACCTAAACTTTGTACCAAGTAACATGAATTAATAATATATTTTTATGACTGTGATTTTCTATCACAAGTAGTTTATTGAATATTTCAAAAGAGAAAAAGAAATAGTCAAATTGAGGTCACTTGTCCCCTCTTTTTATGACTAAACGTTGTATATTCTAGAAAAACCCATGGATTTTCAAACGCATATGCACTTCATGACTAATGATAAATTTCCGAGTTTAATGAGCTCGTTTTTTTTTTTTTTTTTTTTTCTATCAAGCGGATACTTTCTCCATTTCAAAATTTTTAATTTAATTTAAAAAAAATTTATGTGAAAATTATTGTGATTAAAAACGCTTAGAAAATAACAATAACAAATGTTTACTTTTATGATTGTCATTTTCCGGACGTCAAGGTATTAAGATAGTGAAGATTACAAAATTATAAACTCGTGGGAAATAGAAACAAATATTTAAGTAATAAAATAAAATTAAAAAAAATATATATATATATTTCCTGTCATTTCCCTGAAATTTGTTAGTCTCCAAAAGAAGAAATCCTAAGATTTTACTTTTGTAGTAACTAAATAATTTATAGCCTATGAAACTATACAATAATTTTTCTATAATTTTATCTATATTTTAAAAAAGGAATAAAATTAAATAATCTTATAAATAATTTAAATTTATAGTTATTTAATTGAGGGTCAACCAGTATTGCATAACAAAATTTTTTTCAATCCCTTTTCGACCTTGTAGAAAATAATTTCCTTTTGCCCTTTCTGATCTATCATTTCATTTTATAATACCTTATGAATAGTAATAGTATTGATCCCATCTAATATCTCGCGAATAATAAATAATTCTTTTATTCGGTATTATTTACTCACATACCATTAGTTTACAACTCTCATATATACACACATTTATATGTCAGATATTATTACATTCTATCGTTCGATGTGTTCTGTTCTCTATTCTCTTTGTCGGCTATTACATCAAGGAGTCGCATTTCTCTCTGACAGACACAAATCGTCTACGGCTGTTTATATTAATCTACAAAGGGTTTCACCCGAGCCTTTTACCACAAAGCCAGACAAACGACTAAGCAAATGGCATCCCCAGTGACCCATATACCATATAATACAATGTACAAAACATTACATAGCAAAGAATACATACACACGCATCAAATTTACAAAAGAGTCTTCGTCCTCTGTTTATCTCCTAGACTCAAGTTGCTTACTATTACAAAACCAAAAACAATAATTCATTTACCGAAAATTAAAATCTCATATTTTTCTTAAATAAAATTTTATTTAGTGCGTCATAAACTTGTCAGATTTTGAGCTGAGAGAAAATAAAACTGATTTAAAATTTTTAAAATATTCAATTTATAAAATAAAAATTTTGATAATTGAGTAGGTTGAATTATTAATAATTAATAGGCGTCAACTATTTGAGATTTAGCGAATTTAAAATATTAATTTTAGTTGAACGGTATTGCACATCAGTAAATCTAAAAATAGAAATCATTTAATTTTGATGTATGGTTGGGATCAGCGGAATTCGAGGGTTTCTCCAACGCTGTATTTCAACTGCATAATCTTCAGCTTCATTAATCATCAATATCATTTATTTCTTCTAACAATTTTATCTTAAAAAAAAATTGAGATATTAAACTTTATACATCAACAAAATAATAATTATAATTATTTATTTTCAATACTTCCGAGACTAAATAGCAGAATTATCAAGTAAAGGTACAAGTATTAAATTACAGCAAAGCACACATAACAAGTTACTGCACGTAAAAGAATTCATTAACGATAACTATAGAATTCCATATAATAACATAACCTTATATACTAGTTGTAGCACAAAGCTTCTTTGTAACTCGCAGCACTGCGTGTTAAATTAAAAAAAAATATATACTTGAGTTAACTTCTCTGAGCGTTGGTTTGAGATCAGATGGCTTCGTGGAACATTCATGGGATTAAAACTAAGAATCAACAAAAAATGTATAAGTATGTACTAAAAAAAAAAAAAAATATCACGAATAATATACATACGCAGCAAAGTCGAGATTATTTAATTGGATGATTTTAAATTTTTTAGGGAGGATTTGTAAAAAACAAGTAGGAACCCTTTTTTGACGACAAAAGCGCCGCGGAATGGTTTCACGCGTTTTTTAGATGTTACGTAAGTTGAGTTTGGCAAGTAATTTTTATTTGTTTTGTTTTTTTTTTTTAGTCAACATACTTTGTAGGCGGTACTCATTCTTTCATTTAGTAAAAAGTTTTTTATTTAGATAATAGTCTGGAAGTATACACTTTAAATTGAAAAAGTTGGTTTTAAATAAAAATCATTTTTAGGTTAAGTTGGAATTCAAGAATATAAAACAAGAGAATTCTCTTGAGAGAAGATAAAAGTTTTACTGTGAAAATTAGACAATGAGAATAGTCAACAATTATGCTAACAAATATTTAAAAAGGTAAGTTATTGTTTTGTTAATTTTTTTTTTAGTATTTATTTTATTTTATATTCTACTTTTTTTTTTTTTTTTTTTTTTTTAAGGTAGAAGAGTTAAAAGTTTTAAAAGAAAACTAGTTGAGTATGGAAATAAAATTGTGGTGAATGTATACAGGTATAAGGTATAATAGAATCAAGCTGAACATAAAACGATAAAAAAATGAGATACAGGACCAACGATGAATTTAAAACCAACATAAAACTACATGCGGTGGCCGAGTGACTCGGGTGCGTTAGGTTATACTGGTTACTGGTATACAACAAAAGTTAACAGCAACAGACAAAATATGCTTAAAACACTAGATGAGTTGAGTGAAGAGGAAACGGACAAAGGAAATGAAATAGCTACAGTACACGAGTGTGACTAGTGTATTGTGTGGTATGAACAATACAAGGTCATTGTTAAAAGAAAATTTATCAAGACAATAGGTGTAAAAATTGAGGTAAGAAGTATATAATTAAGATTACCATTTAGTTCTTTTGAGTGAATTTACATTTTTTCAGACTAAAAATATCAAGTTAAAGTAAAGACAATTTAATTAATCGATTGTTTGTTTAATAGAGGATATTGATATGATCTATGATGAATGATAAATGGCAAAGGCTCCGTGAAAAGGACTAAGTTTTCATTAAAACTCAATGTCTATTCTGTTGTTCGCGTTTGCCCACTCTTCTATGTTTGGTGCTTATAAAATTTATGCTTCCTGTTCACTCTTACAATGTGCTCGCTTGTTAATGTATGCATGTACATGTGAATGTAGTCACACACATGGTTAAACGTGAACCAAAGCTTTAAACCAGCCTGCATGTTTGCTGTAGATGTCTTCAGACTGCGGCTCTTTTTTAGGTATAATCTCAAAAGTTTTCCTCGTTTAACTTTAAATTTACTGTAATAAAAATAATTTAATATAATGCTATGTTTTTTAGACCTGAACTCAAAAGTATTCTCATCATATGTGAAGATAAGATTTTGGTGAGAATATTGAGGATTGCTG